GGTTATGTGTCTCTTACGGTTTCCATAAATTTCTATCAGCCCGCACCGGTATCGCAATTCTTTTCCGCCCTGCCATAAATAAGCGGAAAAGGTAGACCGCGTTAATCGCGTTACTCTTCCATTTTCGCGGTAAAAATTACGTGGCGTGGACGCTGCTGGTATACAGTTAATTTAATTCGCGAAATATATCGCGGCGGGAACGATAATTGCGAAAATACATTTGCGGAAATTGGTGTCCTGGTACCGTTCGAATCCTGCTATGATAACTCTTTGCTGCATGTTTTTAAGGATATTAATCTTTTGAAATGCTTCACGATGATATATCGTACGGCGGAACTCGGGAAAAACGTGTCGCGTTCTTATCGTTCGAGTCGAAGACGGTCAGTCTGATCAAAGATGGCGCTTGCTACTGGCGCAGTAGAAATCTCAACGTTCGATCGTACGATCATAATTCGTTCGATTCGAACTATTTCTTATTTCACGTGTATTTAAATACACGCGTATTCCATCTTTTTCGAACTTTCTTCTATTCGATTTATTCATAGAAATCATTATCGTTTGAAATTTTCACAATATTAAAAATAAAAGAGTGTCTCTACGGTTAAAAAATTGCGTTCTCGAAGTTTCCGAGACCATTTCGGGCACGTTGAACCGAAGAACGCGCACTGCGGTCTTGGAAACTTATCGGATTTGCATAATTCCTAGCCGCTGGTACATTCGACGAAGGCTTTCGTGCTTTAAGAAAGTGCTCGGTATTCGTAAGAATAATTGGTCCACGATGTAATAGCTTTCGGCGCGTTTAAACAAAATCAAAGAAAAGTGGGCGGTAGCGAGGCGGAAGAAATAATCGAGTAAAGAGGCTCGAGCTGCCTCACGGCGAGCATTAGTGGCTCAGAATCAATTCCACGAACGGATGAAAAGGTTACTTTGCGGAATAGGAATGGCTGAACAGTCCGAGCATACCTGTACATTGTTATACCAATTGCTATAATTCCTATAAAAATTGTTTTTGGAAATTGGGAACTACGAATTACATAATTAGTAAATGCAAAAGTGTTGAGAAATATGGTGTTCGGCCACCCCTCGGAAAAATTGTAATGGGAGATTCTTGAGGCCAAAATAGGACGAAAATCAAGAATACCAATTTGTTGATGGAGGCTTCGTTAAAAAGTTATTAACGTTTAAAGTTCCCCACGAACTGAATTTTTTTCTCGAAAATGCGCAGGATTTCACGGGTATTTGTAATGACCAAAAATGATTGTAATCGACCGCTGCATACGAAAATAATTTTTTTAGACGATTTGGAATTTTTTAATTTTGTCGAAAAATTTCACAGCTTCTCGAATTTTTTTCTAGAAAGTAGGTAGGATTTCGGGGGTATGTCTATTGACCAATAATGATTGTAATTAACCCCCGCAACCGAAAATAATTTATCCAGTACGATTTGAAATTTTCTTTTTTCGTTGAAAAATTTAGGCAGTCGATTTTTCTTAAAAATTCGTTTTTCATTTGTAGTAATTTTGTTTGACGTCCCACAGAAAAGTTGTCTAATACTTTTTTGTAGGCGCCCATGAGCTCTACTTCAGAAAAAAGTTTCATTGAAATGTATTTACTATTGCAGAAGTTATGGCTGTTTGAAAATTGGACCATGTTTTTGGAGTTTTTCTAACTTTCCATGGTCAAGGAACAACTTTTTCAATATAATTAGATTTTTCACATATTCTTCGCCAAAATACGTGCAGTTTGCCGTGTGAAAAATTAAAACCCTCCAATTCGTTCAGAAGTTATGACGTTTTAAAGATACGCAAGAAATTTTCGAGTGAAGGAATTTTTTTCTCAAAAATGGTTAGGATTCCGAGGGTATGTCTATTCACCAAAAATGATTGTAATCAACCCCTACAGCCAAATATAATTTTTTTAGAACAATTTGAAACACATGAAATTTCAGGGTAATCATTCATTCATGATCAGACATTATGTTTTCGGTAACGAATTTTTTTCTCGAATCTGGGTGGAATTTCGGAGGTATGTGTATTCGCCAAAAATGATCGTAATTAACCTCCGTAACCAAAAATAATTTTTTCAAAATGATTTGATATTATTTAATTTAATTTTTCAATAACTTTTTATCGAAGCCTCATTCAAGAAATTGATAATCTTGATTTTCGTCTTATTTTAGCCTTTAGAATCTCCCATTAAAATTTTTCCCAGGGGTGGCCGAACACCCTTTATAATATTGTATCGAGAATTATTAAAGGAGGGATTCTTAACTATTGAAGTTATAAAACATACATACAAGAGTAACATCGTAATATCTCGTTTCATGAAGAATGGGCTATCAACGACCGATGGATTTGCCAAAAGGCAGCAATTAATGATAGAAACGATCGAAAATAAACCGTCGAACGACCTTCGCCTTAATTAAGACCCTGGAATCAACGGAATGAACGATAGTTATCTAGGTATCGCCGCAGGAGTAATTCATAGCAATTCCGTACTGGTGATTAAGTATTAATACATTGCCGAATTATTAACACGCCGCGTCGTTTTGGCCCTTTATTAAGGAACCTTACTTAAGCCTGCAAACCGTCATGGTTGCTCCAGTTCCCATTAACTTCCACGTAATTATTTTTTACGGCCACGTTGATAGATACCAATTTGTAGAATTATTGTTTGCATCGATAGGAATAAATTTGATTAGAAAACGACCGAAACATGGTCCGTCAAACAAGTTTGCCACGACGTCGCTATAAAAAAAAATAAACTACCGCGGCGACGAGGCGTTAGCATAATAAATTAATTAAAAAGAAATCTCGTTCGAACCACCCTCGTGACGTTCGTAGGCTCTCGATGGATGAACATTTCAAGTGAAACGTTTGTTTCTTTTCCTTTAGCCGACAACGGGATTTAACTCCCACGATATCTGTTATACTCCGCGTGTACAAAGCGAAACTATTAGGCACACCGGCCACGTAGGTAATACGATTTCCCCGACTTTGAGATCACTTGTGAGATCACATTCGGGTTCAGCGAGACCTATTTACTCGATATTCCGTGACCGTTTTGCGTAACACAATACCCCTCCTTTGTTTTCCATAGCGTCGACTAACAGTGGACACCTTCTTCCTCTTCTCTCGTTGTCCTGGAACAAATTTGTCTACAAACTACCGTCCATCATCCATTGTTTGCACCAAACTCGCGCGAAACGCGAACGGTCGCGATAACAGGAAGAAACGATACTGTTCATTCGCTCCTGGCGTCCTGGAAAATTTGAGAAATTAATTTTAATACTTTCTAAACGAAACTCTCGCGCGAAACAAGTTTTCACGACTCTTAATAGTTTTTATGGCCACGTTAGGGACGTGTCAAGGACCTTATCGCGGCATCCGGTTTAACGGGAAAGCTGTTACTGGAAAATTGATTTCCCTCCAGGTTCTCGCATATTCATAAATGACGAGCTAATTTTCCCGTCCCCGGAAGTACGTCCGCTTTGTTTTTAATCTTCCGCGCGGCCGTCCGTCTGCTGTATAATGGCGCTGTAACGTTGCCCTCCTTACTTAATTTACGAAAATTGTTCACGAGCTTTGTCAGCGAGCCGTTCAGAGGAAACTAAAAAAAATATAAAAGGATACATGCGTCGATATAAAAGAAAATTACAAAATTAACTTTAGACAGCCGAGTGGACGTTAATAAGCAACCAATTTGAGGGTTAACAGTCGACTATTATAAATTAATTAAAAGTTCTTACGAAATAATTAAGTTATTGTACACTTTTTTTTTTTGGATCTATCGTTAACTATTAGAAGTGTTCGGCCATACCTGGGAAAAATTTTAATGGGAGACTCCAGAGGCCAAAATAAGACAAAAATCAAGAATATTAATTTCTTGAATGAGGCTTCGTTAAAAAGTTATTAAAAAATTAAATTAAAGACTTCAAATCATTCTGAAAAAATTATTTTTGGTTATAAGGGTTAATTACAATCATTTTTGGTGAATACACATACCCCCGAAATCCCACCCAGTTTCGAGAAAAAAATTCGTTACCGAAAACATAATGTCTGATCATGAATGAATGATTACCCTGAAATTTCATGTGTTTCAAATTGTTCTAAAAAAATTATATTTGGTTGCAGGGGTTGATTACAATCATTTTTGGTGAATAGACATACCCTCGGAATCCTAAACATTTTTGAGAAAAAAATTCCTTCACTCGAAAATTTCTTGCGTATCTTTAAAACGTCATAACTTCTGAACGGATTGGAGGGTTTTAATTTTTCTTACGGCAAACTACGCGTATTTGGGTGAAGAATATGTAGAAAATCTAACAATATTGAAAAAGTTGTTCCTTGACCACAGAAAGTTGGAAAAACTCCATAAAAATGGTCCAATTTTCAAACAGCCATATCTTCTGCAATAGTAAATATATTTCAATGAAACTTTTTTCTGAAGTAGAGCTCGTAGGTACCTACAAAAAAGTATTACACAACTTTTCTGTGGGGCGTCAAACAAAATTACTAAAACTGGAAAACGAACTTTTAAGAAAAATCGACTGCCTAAATTTTTAGACGAAAAAAAAAATTTCAAATCGATCTGGAAAAATTATTTTCGATTGCGGGGGTCAATTACAATCATTTTTTATGAATAGACATACCCTCGAAATCCTACTCACTTTCTAGAAAAAAAATTCGACAAGGTGTGTTTTTCGACAAAATTAAAAACATTCAAATCGTTTAAAAAAATTATTTTCGGTTGCAGAGGTCGATTACAATTATTTTTGGTCATTACACATACCCCGACAATCCTGCGCACTTTCGAGAAAAAAATTCGAGTAGTTGGTCAAATTTTTAAACGAAATTAAAAAATTCCAAATCCTTCTGGAAAAATTATTTTTAGTTGCAGCGGTCAATTACAATCATGTTTGGTGAATACACATACCCCCGAAATTCCACGTACTTTCGAGAAAAAAATTCTTTATCGAAAATATGCCGTGTGACCGGAAATGTTTCTATAACTTCTCAACGAAGCCTCCATCAACGAATTGGTATTCGTGATTTTCGTCTTATTTTGGCCTCTAGAATCGCTCATGTATGCACGGTTTTTTAAATTACTAATATCGTTCCTTTTCCCAGGGATAACAATGATGGGTTCAACTATCGTGATGCTGATTTCGCTGACAACCATGTCGATGGTCTATAACAACGTTTCCGCGGGTCTGCCGACACAGTGTAACCCTGGATTCCTCGACGATCTTCCTCCGAGGATCCGCAAAGTCTGCGCCGCCCTTTCCAGGATATACGAACTTGGCTCAGAAATGGAGAGTTACATCGATGACAAAGAAAGCCGCATAACAGGTGCATCTGAAACTTACACACAAAATGTACTAACACAGTTTGGCAGACAAAACCGTAAACACTTTGTTCTATATTCTGATCAAAGAGAAAACCACCATTTTACTTAGTTTAGTTAGTAAATCTAGCTTAAAGAACTTTAAGCAGTTATAATATTACGTTAGCAGAGAGTTACAAACTTCTATTAACAAAGGGTATAGCCGAATAAGGGGGTCAAATGTGCCCCCAAACCGAATGGAACGAGCCCGGGGTCATTCGATAGCAAAAAAAAAATAACCCATGTGTGCAAATTTTTAACTTGAAATCTCGACCGTGGGGGTAGTAATGGGGTGAAAACGAAAATCATGTTTTTGAATTATTTCTCTTGACCTATTGAGTAAAAAAATGTAAAAAAATTCAGAGACATTTCGGGTACCGGGGCACATACTTTGGGAGATTTTCAGATTTTTTGATTGAAGAACCAGGTAGTGAAAAATAAAAAACAGCAAAAAATGCCGAAAAATGCCGATTACGTATTGAAGGAGGCCCGGAACTACTTTTATACTTTTACAGTAAACAGGTATTACTATTACTATTACTCTCAATTTTTTCAGATTTTTCATTTTGGTGCGCCGCAGTGAAAAAAAATAAAAACCGAGTTTTTCCTCGTTTTCTGCGTATTAGAGTAACTTACACGTTGAATTTTTATGCATCCTTCAATATATAAGTGTTTTGTAGACTGTTTAATGTTTCTACACTAAGCAGAATTACATAACAATTGAAACAAATAAAATAAAGCCAACCGTTAAGCGCAATATATCCTAGAAAATCAACGATATTTTCAACGGCGTCGATGGGGCAGTTGGTAGAGTGTCCGACTGCTGAACCGCTGCAAGTTTTTTTACCATAGGTTCGAGTCTCTCTTCTGGACTTAGGATTTTTTTTCCTTCATTATTTTTTTTTTTCAAATTCTAACTATATAACAATGCTTTATATTTATTTATAAATGTTCTGAAAGCATTTTACAAATATTTTAACCTGAAATATGTATAAATATAGTTTTGGAGTGTTTTTTTCGTTTTTATTTTTTTTGTCAACCACGATTATTGTTTAACATCTCTTACACTGAAATTAATGTGAAATGTTAGTTTTCAAATCTCTTACCTTTGACTACTGTGAATGGATCGGAGCAGAAGATTGTATATTGGCTTACTATTACTTCTTCTCGCCCTTCGATCAAGCAGATCTTTCCTTCTTTTTCTCTTTCTTTGATAAATATGAATGTTTGCTACGGCTTCAGTATCTAACGTAGACATGTAAGGGCCATTCCACGCCAAATCTATTAACCCACTCTCTGCCAATTATACTTTTTTCTAATAAACCCATTTTTAAGTACCAGTTTGATCGTTTCATGCTTATTTTTGAATGAAGTATCATTGCTCGATGGAAACCACGGGAAGGTGGTGGGCTTCTTCCATCAGGAAAGGCGAAGGATGGGTTAGAAGTGATCACATGGATCGGATGAGAGTAAATGGCGGACATAAGTGTTGGAAATAAAAAAAAGCATGGCTCAATCTTGGTCGCTGTCGACGTTAATTACGGGATTTACTTGTTCGATATTAAATAATTTACTCAGAATTTCTGCAGGACGTACAATTCGTGAAAGCTACCGAGCATGCGATAAATAATAAATTATTGCTGCGACATGTGAACAGCAACCGACAGTACGGTTACCATTCGCACATTCGCAACAATAGCGTTTAATCCCGGAGTAACCAATTGAATTTGGTACGTAGTTAATGTAACATCTATATGTTTTACTATTGATGTGACGCGATCTCACTTCACATTTAATAATATTTTTGTCTGCTTAAGGCAACGAACAATTATATTATTATCTTCATCCATAATTTCTGCTAAGTACGATATGGCTTGTGATAATTGGTATGTTCCCGTAAATAGAATTTTTAAATCTTGTTCTGTTAATTCCGGAAAATCAAGAATGTCGGAAGCTGAAAGGTTGAAAAGAGATTTTCGCCTATTCCAATGATTATTTTCTACTTCCACTGCTAATGTATTTTCGATACTGTCTTCTGATATTATTTTCGCTACTATTTCATTAGAAAGCCCTACATCTGAATTCAAACGTTTTCCAAACGTATTATGGAGATAACCTGCTATTTTGCAAAATATACCGACTTTGGGGAGTAACTTATTGCTCAACTGGTGATGTAACAATTTATATTTTTGTCCTAGAATTCCGTGTATCGCTTCGACTACCCAGCGAACTTTTGTAACACGACGCGATTGATTTGATTCTGTTGTGGTGAGCTGGTTACGCTTTCCCTTCAAAGCCGGCATCAAAACTGTATAACCGCGATTTTCTAAATCTAATTTCACATCACGAAAACCTCTATCAACAATACAAATATCCCCTGATTTTAAAAGACTTGATAAACCAGTTGGATTCTTCAAAACAATCTTTAGAATCTCCGCGTCATTTTGGTTAGCGTAAAAGGGGCCAAGTATATCAACTATATAACCATTTGTTGTGCAAATTGTAAAAGGTTTGCACAATGGTACCTTTTTTTGACAGGAATATGATTTTCGCTGGTACTCATTATTTGAACTTTTCTCATGTCGAATATATGTTCCATCAAAAATCAGTGCCAATTGGTCTATTAAATTATATAATTGTTTAGCATGAATGATGTTTCATTTTGAATCAAATTATTTCGAGAAATGGCCGCGAATCCGAAATGAAATGGTAGTATATCCTTTTCGAATGAATTTAAAACAGATGTACAAAAATCCGATATTTGTTGTTCGCGTTCTATTCCAAGAATTGCAGCTATCATTTTATTTGAATTTCCGGTACGTAATTTCAGTAAAAAAACAACAATGGCTTGCGTAATAGTTCGCTGCTCAGAATTTCTTAAGGAGGTCATCATTTCGCGAAGTTGTAATAGATTTTCCCACGTTAAACCCGTAAATACTTTTAATTGTTCTTCGGAAAGCGTAAAATCACCTACTTTATCTTTAATATGTGCAGTATTGTTGACTGAAAGATATTCAAAATAAACGCGTAATTCTTTAGCATCGATTATACTACTATTAGAATGTACTCTTAAGTTAGAAATATCTTCGTGGAATAAACGTTTTTTAAATAAATGGTTAAAACAGCACCGATTTCCTTTAGGAACATATAATCTTCTCATGAGAAATACTTGATGTCTAGTTTCGATTGGTACATTAATGAGAGGTTTTGAAGATCCACAAACGAAGCAATATTTGTGTGTTGAAATGACTCTAGAAAATGGCATTTCCACAAATTGTGATTCGACTGGTTCAACGCTAGTGATATCCATAATAAACGATGAATCCTGCACGGAAGAGACTGATGGAGTAGATGTAGAGGGAGATTCCTCTGAAGAAGATTGCTGAATGGATTCTTCAGGTGACGATATCCTGATTGAAGATGATCCCGGTAAAGATATTGGATAGTTTGATACTTCAGTTGAAACAACATGAAATAAAGAAGATTTTACTGAAGAGATAGTTTCACGTGAAGATCGACTAAAGGAAGGCCGCTAGAGGTAGAAGGTACTTCTGAAGAAATAGTTTCAGTGGAAGAAAACATTCCACTTGCAGAATGAGATTTAAATAAAGAAAACGATTTGAGTACGAAAGGGGGTCTGACCGAAGAAAAAGTTTCGATTACAGAAGAAGAAACTTCTGTTGAAGTTTCTCCAAGCTGAAGAAATTCTGGAGAATTACTAACATTCGTAGTTTGTACTATTTTATGCATATAAACGCGACACTTATTACACAATATATCACCTATACTCACTGCTCTTTTAAGATTGGTTGAAAACAGTACTGCTTCAGCTTCCGTCTTGATTTTCTTAATCTGACCAGTCAATTTACGAATTAACGAATGACAACGAATACACTTAACACGCAAGGTTTTCCTTCCAACAAATTGTACTTTATTACTAGACATATTGAAAAATGCAAAGGGAACGAATGCACACGAACAAAAAAGTTTTAAGAAACAACTTATTAATAATAAAGTCACTGGCGTGAAAGACAAAATGATCATTCGACGGAACTCCGTTATGTTTGATATTTCAACCAAGACTGACAATTTTTCCACGCGTTTGCTTAAAAGAAGATTTCCCATGTACAGTTAATGGAAGGGATGAGGTGAGGGTAGAAATAGTGGGTTATTGGTTGCATTTCCGAATTTTAAAAAACCTGAGTTCCTATTGGTGGGTGAACAATTATCCTTTCCTTACTGGCTGGTTTTAAAAATAATGGAAACACTTGTAGGACCACACTCTACGGACCATGCCAAATAATTATGTATAAATCCCATCGCATATAGTAGCCTGAACTGAGTAATTAAAAAATAAATCTATTGTGACTCTTTTCCAAACACTGAAAACTGACACTATTATTGCCCATAGCAGTTATAAAGAACTAAAATCAGTGAAGCCATAAATTCTAGATATATCTAAAATCCTCATTTGGGAATTTTCAGCACTAGAGTTTACGGTACGAATACCTCTACAACGCTATTTTTAAAAAACGGATGAAGACATTAAAACGTTACTGTGGATAACTAATCCTCAGTACATGTTTTCAGTGCTTTGCTCCTCCGTGCACAATAGTAATTGACGTATCATAAATACATTGTGGAACCTGAACGCGACAATCACCCATTGACCTGAACGGTCTGGGCCCTCACCCAACGAACCTTTATTTCCTTCGTAACGCAGGTAGGACAATTAATCATTTTTCCCCGTTCAAAAATAAGCATGAAACGATCAAACTGGTACTTAAAAATGGGTTTATTAGAAAAAAGTATAATTGGCAGAGAGTGGGTTAATAGATTTGGCGTGGAATGGCCCTTACATGTCTACGTTAGATACTGAAGCCGTAGCAAACATTCATATTTATCAAAGAAAGAGAAAAAGAAGGAAAGATCTGCTTGATCGAAGGGCGAGAAGAAGTAATAGTAAGCCAATATACAATCTTCTGCTCCGATCCATTCACAGTAGTCAAAGGTAAGAGATTTGAAAACTAACATTTCACATTAATTTCAGTGTAAGAGATGTTAAACAATAATCGTGGTTGACAAAAAAATAAAAACGAAAAAAAACACTCCAAAACTATATTTATACATATTTCAGGTTAAAATATTTGTAAAATGCTTTCAGAACATTTATAAATAATATAAAGCATTGTTATATAGTTAGAATTTGAAAAAAAAATAATGAAGGAAAAAAAATCCTAAGTCCAGAAGAGAGACTCGAACCTATGGTAAAAAACTTGCAGCGGTTCAGCAGTCGGACACTCTACCAACTGCCCCATCGACGCCGTTGAAAATATCGTTGATTTTCTAGGATATATTGCGCTTAACGGTTGGCTTTATTTTATTTGTTTCAATTGTTATGTAATTCTGCTTAGTGTAGAAACATTAAACAGTCTACAAAACACTTATATATTGAAGGATGCATAAAAATTCAACGTGTAAGTTACTCTAATACGCAGAAAACGAGGAAAAACTCGGTTTTTATTTTTTTTCACTGCGGCGCACCAAAATGAAAAATCTGAAAAAAATTGAGAGTAATAGTAATAGTAATACCTGTTTACTGTAAAAGTATAAAAGTAGTTCCGGGCCTCCTTCAATACGTAATCGGCATTTTTCGGCATTTTTTGCTGTTTTTTATTTTTCACTACCTGGTTCTTCAATCAAAAAATCTGAAAATCTCCCAAAGTATGTGCCCCGGTACCCGAAATGTCTCTGAATTTTTTTACATTTTTTTACTCAATAGGTCAAGAGAAATAATTCAAAAACATGATTTTCGTTTTCACCCCATTACTACCCCCACGGTCGAGATTTCAAGTTAAAAATTTGCACACATGGGTTATTTTTTTTTTGCTATCGAATGACCCCGGGCTCGTTCCATTCGGTTTGGGGGCACATTTGACCCCCTTATTCGGCTATACCCTTTGACGTCAAGCCACGTGACTTGTGAATCTTAACAATCGCGTTATTATGGTCCACAGGTTTCCATGAAAGCATCCCCTTATTGGACAGCGGCGTGAAAAGACAGGACGTCGATCATGTTTTCCTACGCTTTGGAAGGCGTCGCTAGGCGCCACAACGAATTATGCTTTACACTCAAATATTGAACAACTAAAGTCTTTATCACTCGATCGCCCCATTCTCTAGCTAGGAAAGAATATTTTCGGATTTATTTCGGAGCTCGATGTAGCTGAAAAAAACTGTATTTTCTCCCTAACTGTCTCTTGGCTAAATAATACCGAAAGGATTACCTTCTTCTCGCAAATAAATTGTTCAGACAATGTAACAAGAACTTGGACGAGTTATCCCGCTTTACTTGAAGTCTGTTGTATTTTTATAACGAAAACAGTCGAAGATCGATAAGTACAATAGGTCTAGTCAATATCTAGTCAGGGCATGCTTTTCGGTTTCTTCTTTTTTTCTCTCTTTAATATCGCTTTAAATCGAATTTGCATTAACAGGGAAATTATATACGTCATTCGATCATTCGTCAAACTTAATATAAATATAGTTTAAAATAAATGGAATAAATATTAATGAACAGAGATCTTATTAAAGAATCTAAATGCCAATTGCTTTCTCGTTTAAAAATCTTCAGCTTCCTATATAAACTACACTACACTCTCTTCTCCGACAGACTAGAATGTTCTCTTGCCGAGGCTTGAATCGCACCGGGAACCTTTGGTTGGAGTTTGTCGAATAAAAACTATCTTCGCGAAGAAAAAACTGACAATTTATTTTGACGATAATTTTATTGGATCACATTTCAACGGAGAAAGAATAACGATCGTGTAAAAATAAAACGCAAACTCGTTTTACAATGCACATTCACGACGCAGTTTAGTTCTCGCATGACGATCACTAAGTTTATAACAACAAACAACAGAATGTAAAAGATCAAACATGCACGCATAACAATCCAATATACAATGTATCTCGAAAACTGTACTCTATCCAATACTTTCGCAATGTACAGCGTCGTGTAATTTCAATACGAAAAACATATTCGACAATCTGAAAAAGTAGTGATCGCGAAATTTGATTTTATTCTCTATTTTCAGATTGCTTCTGTAGCTTTTCGTTACCCTAGTATCTACAGAATTAGAAACGATTCGATCCGTTAGAGTCTTGGATATTTACCGACAGATTACGTTTTTCACAGGCCATTAACACTAATTGTCGTCACGCTTCAAAGGAAATCAACATCAATTTGTTACATTTCAGCAAATTTTTCGCAACGAAACTTCGTCCCTCGAGGAGATATCGAAAATAATTATTCGAACACATACGCCTCCGCAACTTAAAACTTTTATTGCAACATCCTGAACAAAATTCTCAAAATTCGACGTAACGCTTCAAAGGGGCAACTATATTCATTCGATATTGCGGATAAAAGAAAAAATTGAGCTACAATCGGATGCCTGAATCACACGGTTCGTCTGTAACAACAATGGCATGCAACAACGGTTATATCGTTGGATGGAAAAAAATTGTCCGGAAACGTTATGGGCAATTCTGAAGGCACCTAATCATCAAAGCTGTTTTAAAACGCTTTAAACGTGTCCCTAGAACCGGTTCCTCGAAATATGTGCGTCACGCGATACGATGGATCGATTATCGTTACGCGAAGCCATTTTACTAAATTTACGTATTCAACATACGTGAGCTTTATCAGACGTTACGGTACTTATGCTAAAAAAATTCGATTATTTACAAGCCCTATCCTATCACAGGGTAATGAGTCACGGTTCGTCCAAAACGTTTTACGACGTTTGCCGAGAAATCGAATTTCCGACGTTGATTCTCGGCGTGCAATTGCAGCTATGGCGGTGCAGAATGTGGAGGCTGGGGTCAGCAATTTGTAGTTCCGCAGTGCTTCTCGTTAGCGAAATACGACACAGACACCACGTCCCCGCCGACATTTATCAGACACTGACCCTAAAATTTCATCGACACATGTACCACAGGAGAAACAGTAGAAGCTTAAACAGTTAAGGTTAGGTTACTTAGGTTAAACAGTTAACGCGATGAATATGTGGGTAACAGGACTAAACGAAAAGAACACAAGATTTTTAATAAAATTTTGTACGCTGGTAAATAATTTATGTGAAAGTATAGAATTTCATAAATTAACGAATTACAAAAGCCTACCTGATTTTTATGGGGGCTGTGAAGAAGCACGCACTTGGTCATGAAAAATGCCACCATTGCGTTGCCACCCAGGGCCGTAATGTGCGCACGAACGATCGCCAATACCTCCATCACAAAACTGTGCGTAAACCCGCTCAAACCGCCGTTCTGTCGTGGGCAAAAAATTTTCACCGATTTCAATTGCCATTTATTTTCTATTAACATTCGAATAAGATAAATATTTGCTCTGACGTGTTGAACAAACCTCTCTGATAGACGTGCTTTCGCGAATGAAGAAGAAATTTAAGTTCCCTAAGTACCTCTCGATGCGACCGCCTGGCAAATAAGATAGAGGCGTTATATCCACACCGTATCTTCCTTTTAAAGGCACCTATAAAATATAAATCGACTTCGATTATATACTATGTAACGTGTATTCTTCGAGTATTCTCGTTCTTGATCTTAAACAGCTTCATAATATTATTTTTTAACGGATTTACGTGTTTGTGTTTATGCGCTGCATGAATCTTGGTCCGTAACGGCGAACGGGTTCTGGATTTCAATCCCGGTGTGTTAATAAGAGTGGAGGAGTTCACCGTGATAATACTGGATGCATTATCCGACGAAATTTCACCGTGGTCCACGTCAAGGTTGAATATCATATCGCTATCGTCTAAAGGGAACATTCTGATGAGTATTCGCGGTATAAAGACAGAATCGTAACGCTAAATATTCTGATAATTATTTTAGTCGTAATGAAATACAATACGATTGAATCGTTTACCTATTTTCTTGACCTGATCCTTGCTCATGGAATGGCTGATTACCTTCTTTTTACATTTGTTCATTTTTACGGGATCTCCGAGTCCAAGAGCCATGCCGATTACCGTGAATTGTATCTCGTCTGGTTCAGGAAGTGCCAATTTAAACTGCATATCACAAAGTGCACAGGGTATCATTCTCCTCAGCTTGAAGTACACCGACTAGAACAACGTATTAATAGAGTTTTGAATAAGAAAGCCTCCTTTCTACGAATAATAATCGAACATATAAAATATAATACCTGAAGTAACTTGGCGAAATATTTCGAGGGCATAGAAGCGACCTGTCCAGCAGGTATTTTTGTCCTCGAAATTTGCGTGAACATCTGCAAATTCCTTACGATTTCCAATTCGTCGAGACCGGGAATAATTTGCGTATTTACTACGTGGAAATCGTCCGGGGGTCTGTCGTCCATCAGTAACGATATTCTGTCCATGTCCTCGATGTCATCTACCTCCAACACGCAGGCGTCTCTGGTGCCAACATTAAAATCTAAATCTGGCAGATCTTCGTCCGACTCGTCGGTGTCCGAAGTTGTGACTCGTCCATTCTCAACGTCCTGTAACAAATAAACCGTTTATCAACGATCAAGGATTCTTGAGAACGAACAAAAGAACACTTACGCCAACCGGCTTCAGACGATAGAACTCTCTGTTCTTTTTGACAGTCTCGACCAGAGTCTTTTGAATCTTCGCTAATTGCTCCTCTTTGGGCCAAGAGTTCCCGGACGCGATTTGCGGTATCGAGGGGGCGGGCAACGCGGTTAAAAAGACAGCGGTGCCCACGGCCATGCCAATGATCAATCGCTCCCCGACAGAGACCTGTAGCTTCAAGCCAAATATCGCATTCATCCCTTTGACCTTCAATTTGTTTAAAAGCAAACTATGTAACTCGTACTCTAGGAATGGTAAGCAGTCCGATATCTCCTTGGCGTTCAGTTCCCCGCGTAGGTCTTTCTTGGTCTTGCACGCAGTCGCTTGTATGATACATCCTCGTCCCGTCATTAACACGTTCTCCGGTAGCTCTATGGTGGTGAACATCACGTCCGGTACCCTGGCGCGCTTGCATATAGCGCATTTCGAAACGTTCACGCGGAACGGAACGCTCACGTCGTTGTACGGCAAGTGACAAAGACTGCATTTGCATTGAAACTGAACCTCGTGATCCTTGCTCTCCGACATGTGCCTCGTTTTGCCGATTTGATGAGCCGTAGCTGGCACGAACGTATCTGTTTCGCTCTTCTCCGCTTTCACGGGTATCGGTTTCTGTTGAGTTTTATCGCGTTCCACCTCTGCTGGGTTCACGACCGTACCCGATTGTCCTTTACCGATGAAGACGTTGTCCGTGTCTTGACTCGGATTGTACAGATTAATCACCGCCGCTGTACCGTACGCGTTCAACACGCAAACATCGTCGCTGCGATTAAACAAACGGGCAAATAAGATACTTCAGAAAATGGAAAACAAATATACAGTGAACAACTTTAACATTCAGACACTAAACAATTTTTACTTTGTTGCATTGTAATTTCGTTCACGATAAAGAACAAAAAAAATTAATTCTAAATTACATTACTGTTGTATAGGGTCTAATTAATAAAAGCATAATTTTTATTTATATAATTACTAACAGTTTCTAAGTATCCTGTTTCAAACAAAACAATGTCCAGTTTTAACATGACAATAATATTCGGCATGTAACAATTCGCGTGAGCTAGTATGACTTTTAATGCAATTGTGAGGTATGTTTATAAACATTACAGTCTGCGTAAACTGTCTCAAGTATCAGAAAATTAGTTGTGTTTAGTTATTCATTAAGTTCACTGGTAATAATGGGACGTAAGAGAAACACTTCATACAACATACGCCAACTTGTCATTTTTCACAATGGAAAAGGTGAATCGTTTAGGAAAATTGCAGCAATGCTTAAAATGAGTAAAAGTACACTGGGAGATGTTAAAAGATTTAAGTATGAAGACCGAATAGAATCTATTCCGCAAAGAGGCCAACGAAAAATTTTGGACATGCCTCCAAAGTGCCCGAATATTATTGTAACGTTAAAACCAGACATTGTTTTGTTTAAAATAGAATGTTTAATAAACGTTAGTAATTATATAAATAAAATTTATACTTTTATTAACTAGACCTTATATAGTAATGTAATTTTGGATTCAATATTTTTTTCCTTCGTATTGAATAAAATAATAGTGCAATAATGTAAAAATTGTATAGTGTCCGAATATTAAAGTTACTCACTGTACAGAGCGTTTCGACTGTAATAGAAAGTGTGTATCGCAATTCTTACCAAATACTAGTTTCTTCTTTATAACCAATGACTACATTACACGCCAATGCCCTCGCGTGCGATCGTACTTCCATCCTGACTTCTTTCCACCAAGCATCGCGACTCTCAGGTTCTTCCAAGTTACTAATTCTTTCTAACAACTTGACCGATCTTGAACTTACAAGGCCACCTGTCTCAATATACACACACTATGACTAAATTTTGCAATGGAAACGCGTGAAACATCAAAATCAGAGTGGCACCACAGTTTTTTTTCAAAATATTTTTATCGACAAAGGACCCTGCACAGATATTATGGTCAGAGGGTCAGAGGGTCAAGGGGCAATATTTAAGGGCCCACAGTACAACTACTGAGTTTTAAGGGGTCAAATAAATGGACAGTGTACAACAGTGCTTCTTACACCCAAATATGCTCAAACGTGGTAGTCTTTGTTAGGGGATAAGCTCCTGTGAATGACATCGGTGATGATTTGGTTGAGTGAGGTTGGTAGTGATGATGAGTGAGGGGAATACTGTGTGTATCGAGAAGACAAAGGAGTCATGCAGAACAAAAGAGACTGGGAAGAAAGAAAGAGTGTTGCATATTTGTTAAGGGTTTGGTTAAGTTTTTTTTTGTATGTTATTATAAATAAATCTGTTATTTTAAGAAAGAAATACAACAGTCTAGAATAAGGCGCACTATTATTGACTTTTGATCCCCCGTATCTCGGAAACTGTTCAATTTATGAGCTTGGACTCATTGGAACTTTTCATCGAGACATCATGAACTACATCATATCAAAAGTTCAGCTAATTTAACCAGGGGTCATTTTCCATAAGATCTGTACGAGGTCCCTTATTTACGTTCAAATGCCAACTATCGATCAACAGTTTGAGGATTATCAGTGCTTACCGATGTGTAAAATGAATCCTGCCGGATAGTGTTGCATAGTGATAAACGGATATTCTAACATATCAAATGCATCCTGATTCATGGTTCTTATCACAGCGGTCGACGTCTTCAAGAATCCAGTCATCGACCTATCATTAGTTCCCAGAGAATTACCTACAACGTGCATTATTATTTGCTGTTATTACCAAGAAGAAAACGAAGAAATGTAACCATATTTATAAAAACATACATCGCAAATATCTTTTCTATAAACGAATGTCTCATAAAGTGATTCCTTGTTTGAGAATATATCTTTACTACTCGTACCGTAGTCGTACGTTTTTAAATTACGAATATCACTGACACCCCTGAACAGGCAAAGAAATATAATAAATATAACAAAAATGATTACCTATAACAACGTGGAATCATCGTGAATTTCTTCTTTGCCAGGTATTATTTCACTTTATGAGGCATCCGTGATTTGATTCGTGTGCAACGAACAAGACAAACATGTAATTATAATTCCGATTCGTCGGTTACCTGACCAAATTAAAATTTGGGCAACGAATTAAAAGTAAAAGTGTAAATACGTCGTTTCAAGCTTAATTTATGTACACTAATCTGCTACTAATCACTGCGATTTATATGCGCTTGTTGCAACTCACCTTTCGGGGTAATGCTCAAGTCAGAATCGCTGGACCTTCGATGCAACGACACAGTGGGTTGTACCTTGGTCGTTGGTAACTGACATACTTTTGAGACCACGGAAGGAACAGCCGGAAGTGGATAAGACGGACTTAAAGATGCCTCGTCCTGTTGCCTGTGATCGGGAGAAGGATGGGGCACACACGAGTTGTAAGTAATATTAGCAGTGTTAGTAATATTAGTAAATTCATCATTATTCGATACCTCTCTTATATTACAAATGCTATGACTCTTATGCACTGCAGGATCTAGGGAGGTGGATGATATCGAAGGGTTAGTATCCGTTGGCTTTAGTTCCTTCATTTCTAAGCTAACATTATCTCTAATCGAATCGCTGCTCTGGCTATCTACAGTTAATTCCTTGGCAGTGGCTTCACGGGACATTGAATCGTACGCGGATCTTTTAATGGGGAAGCTTCGCTTTGAACGAAATGACTCGGCTGTTCTACGTAAGCGTGATTTAATTAACATATCGCTAGTGATTATACTCTCGAGAGAGGAATTATAGGAGGATGTGTCAGGCATGGATTCGTTTATGACTTCTGTACGTCTGAAACTTTGTAGACGTCTCCTTAGGAACCGATTGTGTAGATTTTTGTGCAGGTTCTTAGGGTTAACGTTTCTGTACATTTTTTTCCTTCTGTACCGACCATTGACTTCCGTAGAACCTTCCGGATGTTCCATCATCTTTGTATCGATTATTCTAATCAAATCCAGCATGCGTCGTTGTCTATTTTTATGCGTCGTGTCGTGCAAGTCGTTGCACGAAGACTGTATTAAACTTTCGATACTGGACGAAGTTTTCGACTCTGTGGTTACTTTGTGGTCCACGTCCTCTCGTATATTGGATTCCGCGGACGCGTGAAATTGAAATTGCTCCAACGACGGCAACGAATGCGTCGACGCGGAAAACTTTAGCACATTGTGCTCTTCTAATTTGTCGAAGCGTTCTTTGTTCTCAAAAGTATCTGTAAGAGGAACACTCCTCTCTTCCAGCAGGGAAGGAAACCCTTCTTCTTTGTATATCTGTTCGAGCATTCCATTATTATCTTTTCTTTCCGTGTCGCTTGTATTTTGCAATAGTATGTACGGAGAAACAGATAATACAGATCCATCGGCAGAAGACACATCGTCGTTTACGTTATCCATATTGTCTTCTATCAGACGAATTTCATTGCGTTGTTTGGACGGCTCTTCTTGAACATCCACGAAGAAAGGAAGACGAATGTCTACCGGTGTGCTCGTCGCGAGAGGTTCTCTGAAATCTTGCGAATATTTTCGTTCGCTTTGCACACCACCATCAATGCTTTTACCAAATTCTGACGACGGTTCGACTATCTCGGAAGCAACATTTTCAGTCATCGTTTCTATAATCTCCTCCCTTTCTCCTGCTTTGTCAATCGTGGAGCATGAGTTCTTCATTGAATGAATTTGCGAGTCTATAGTGTACCTAAAATAAGACGATATTTCACTCATGGATAAATATTTAACGAGCAGATGCGTGCTTTCCTCGTGAAGGGGTCGCGTTTCTGTATCCGTCCTTTGCAATTTTATTCGCGACGACCTCATTTTCAATGGAGGGAAACTGTTAGCCCTGACAATTATTCTTGCAAATTTACTGTTCACGTGTAACGCAACATCGCTCGGAAACTTCGAATCGCGCAGGATATCGTAATTGGCGCTATTTATCGAAGAGTCGTCCGAAACGCCATTAGAACTGGGTGTGTTCTCTTCGAACGAGGAATCGTACCGTTTCTTTGGTTGCGCTTTTGCAACACGAGTCTCATCGTCGCGATCGACTTGTTCTCCTCTCCACTGACTTTCCTGATTGTCCTGACTATTAACATTTTGATGTTCAAAACGTTCAAAATCATCGTTTAAGTTACTAGACGGCGAAATCGATGTTGGGGACTCGCGACTCTCATTGACATTCTCCAAAGGTATGCTGTGCAGAGATTTGATCAAAAGAGCAGCTATACCTTCTGTAACTTTATAATTCTTCGACGCGCTCTTCCTCCTTGGAATACGTAAACTCACGATAGAAGACCTAGTCGATTTGGTAGACATGCTCGAGCGTGAACTGGTCATTTTTATTTCCGTGTCGCTCGAACCGAACAACTTTTTTATATTTTTCATACGTACGTCCAATATACCTTTGTTGCCCTCGCCCCTTTCGTCCTCCAACGCCAACATCATTCTTATAGACGCGTCCTGAACTACCGATTCGGACAAACTCGCGGAAGAGATCGGAGACTTATTCAAGCTGCTCGTCCTCGGTACAATTTCGATGGCTTTTGTACCGTCCGATTCGTCGCAGGAATGTTCGCTCGTTTTCACGTTACGTTTAGGGCTTCTTGAAGACTTTAAACGACGTGGAAAATTGTCTTTTATGTGCATGACTCTCGTATTTGTCATAAAAGGATCGGGGATACGCGTGGGAGTAACGGGATATACCGGCATACTCTCATCGAGTCCTGTACGTTCCTTTTGTGCTTTGTGTTGTGAAAAGAATGCCCTATATAACATATGCAAGCGGGTAAATAGAAAAATATCTATTAGTTCACGCATTGAAATTCTATAATAAAAACGTTACTCTTCGAAAGCTTGAATCGTAAAAATAAAAATTTTACCAAAGTGACTAAGTTTAAATTCTATAGCTTCGTACTGTTTGTCCACATTTCTTAAAAAAACAAGGCATGGGCTAAAATACTGGAAATTTTTAAATAGAAAAGATTAAGAATTAGAAAAATTAAATGTATCTAATCCTCGAAAGAAAATTATCTGGAAATTGCACAATCCTCGGATAATTCATATAATCGGTCATTAATCGATCAAATTATTAACGATCAAAGTTGGATACGCGTGTAGCGTACCTATAGTTACTTCCAGTATATCGCAGTGCTCCGTTTTCTATATATTTCGTCCTGGTTTCTATTCACGCGCATCAGACCTCAATTTAGCTTCTATATACCGGGTGTCCTAGAAAAATGATAAGCTAATTAGAAATTTATTAAATATTGCTGTACTGTTTTACAGACATTTTTTTGTACTCTGTAATTTTAAATTAGCAGCAGCTTCGAGAAATTAAATTTTCCATCGAAATTAGTAATAAACGATACGTAAGCGAGACACGGAAGATAAGATTACAAAAATTAAGGAATTTAACAGTAATATCTCATCATTTTTAGGACACCATGTACATAGAAGTTGAAGCACAATTTTTTTCATAAAGTTTCAATAATTAATACCCTCCTGTACACGTTGATATATTCTCAGCGTATATTAATACATTATTTATCTATTCAATGTTAGTATTTCTCGAAAAAAAAAAGAACAATAAAAACATGTTTAATATCGTTGCTATCAAAATAGAACAAAACCTTCCTTGTAAAATGAAAAGAAATGTGGTTTCACTTACAAAACTTTTATCAGAAACTAATATTTAAATCTTTGTTACATGCATTTTGTTAATAATAATCAATGTAAAGAATCACATATTCCTACAGAAATATATGTGCAGGCAAATTTCAATACTTGATTAAGTAATTCAGCATTATAACTCACAACACAGAACACTAGCATAATGTCTGAAGTGTTACTGATTTTGTCACGTCAAAAAGCACTTAAATCGATGTTATAATTTTAGAATATAATTATTCTACAAGTTGTTCACAAAAGAACAGGCTAAGCACATTAAAATCAAAGGCATTACGATCTACTTACTCTTCAATATTGTCGGATGGCAAGTTTAACGTGTCCTGTAACTTTACAAGAGTAACTGCAGTACCTATACCTCGAGCCACGATACCAGATTCACCTTCCAGATCAAAATTTTGTAAATATCTATATTTAAGGAGACAGTTTAAAACATTCTAAATTTATAATTTATTCAGTAACAATTTCATAACGAGCTAACGTACCCGATAACGGCGTTTCCACCAAGGTCCAATGCTTTCAACCCAATTTTCCTTTGCACTTCTCCGCTAAGTTTAAAAAATAACGTTTGACGCGCCTCGTTCGAGGCTCTGGGTGTTCTTATTTTATCGATCCATTTGTATTCAGGATCGTCACTAACAACTAGTTCTTCTACAAAACCGTGTATGCTCTGAGTATGGTACCCATGAGGTATATTCGGTGCTAAACAATATTACACAATATATCTGTTATGGAAAATTACTTATACTTTGCTTATAAATAAATATATTTACAGTAAAAAAATTGTACTCCGCACGAGGATTGTCTGAACTTGTTAAAATCAGAAAACAATTCTACTTTGACTATGATATTAACTTCGCCGCGAATACCGTGCATGGTGTCATACACTGGGATCCATCCGGTCATGACTGAACCTATAGTGAATTAAGACACCATTAAAATTATTTAAACATTATTCGCGAGTAACATACGTACCAGTCTGTGAACCAGTATTTGTATTCATAGCTGCCTCCAGCGTCCAAATGTTTTTAACGGTAGGAGGGACTCCAGGTAATAACAATGGATTTAAGTTTATGTAAACTTTGCCTATGGCATCATTTGCAGAATATGTGTCATGGTCCATCAACCTAATTTGTAATGGTTCGTCTTGCAGTTCAGAATCATCGACTTCGAACCTATACCATTCCGAGTTCCACTGAGGGTTCAGTGATTTTCTGCACACATCCGTTTTAAACGTTATATTGCCAAACTTCAATTCTACATATGCATCGGTCGTATCGCCAGAACGATCCATTACTGGTAAATTACGCCCTGCTAGTACTTTAACTTTTATTTTGCCAGGCATTGTGATACTCTGTAATCAATATACACGACAACTTTTATAATCATACAACCGTAAATCTTTCATTCGCATCTGCCAATAATAAAGGTTATGTTTAGAAATAAATTGTATCTCAATAAAACATTCAACGTTCGATAGAACGTAATATTAATCAGTACCGTTTGAATCACACTGCAATACTCACTTTTGTCAACAGACACGGTGAATATTATCGCGAATTAATGTTTCCAACTCATTTAACCACCAATCCTGTAGATTGTTATTTATGATATTAATGCGTAAAAGCTTCAGTTTAGCAAACATATATTAAAACACACTGTATCATTCATTTTAGCGTGGCCTGTAACTTATATTTCTTCGCAATATGCTGAATTGACATTTGTTTACAGTCACATCTTGAAAACTGTGCATTCCCCGTTCCTTTATCTTCACTCTACGCAAAATAACAGATTTATCGTACGAATTCTACAAATGTACGCAGAACAATATTCGATAGAATGTTACTTTGTGCAAAAAACTCGATAATACGGCATGTAAATTTCATCATAATGATGCTAACTACTAATTTTATCGATTACTTTATCACCGTTGGTATCCTTCAGCTTACCCTATGCCCTATTGTATTGCCAATAACGTTCGAAATCCGAATATTATGTGTAGAAGCATTATAATTGGAATTGGAGAGCACCCAGATTATTGCTCTTTAGGGAATTCCTACGTTTTATTGCATTAAACGCAAAGCATCGTGCAATTTAGATATTTTCTATATCGCATGCATACTTCTATTTTAGGTTACAAGAACAGTGAGAATGTCAAGTGTTGTGCTTCAACTGAAAATGTACGAATTCATTACCGACCGAGATATTGATTACAACGTTTAATTAGTTCAACCATAGACAAGATATAGAATAGACGTTGCATGCAATGTGGCCAGATCTGGCATAATTGAGTACATCGACGGCGACACTAGTAACGACGAACTTCATTAACGTCTATTAGACGCCGTCTAACGGATACATGATTCACATGATCTACCGCACAAGCCATGTTACGAGCTTACGAGACTGGGTTATACGAGAGCTGAGCAGTAGCACTTCGCGCAACTTCTTGATCTTGAACAGCTGATCTCATGATTTTATAAAAAAAAATTGAGTATATTGAGAAGAAGAGAGAATTTTTCCTTATTTCTTTTAATAAAATGTAATATTCTGTAGAATATAATCCTTCAATAGTTATACATATGTATAAATATTGCCCTAGATATCCTCGAAGTTTCAACATTTTTTTAATTCGAATTGGAATCCATGTGGGGAAATTCGAGTTTGTCATTTTTATTCGTTATTCTGTAATAAAATTTGATAAATTCTGTAAATAAACATAAAATTAAAGCTATAGAGAAAAACTTAAGTCTGCCCATGCGTCGGAAATCCCTCATGCGGTATTGCGGAATTGTGATCGCTATTCGATGAGTGCAGTGCGTCGACGGCGACAGTCTGGTCACACTGCCGCGAAGTAAGCTATCGTTTAAAAGGTTCTCATATATCGATTACGCTATTCTTCAAGCTCAGAACCCCTGCTGTGTTGTAAACAACGAAGGTGGCTTAGAGTTATCATTCTGTTCCATGTTTTGTTGATTCAGTTAACATGAATTATGTTACTTTTTAAAAATCCAATCCTTAAATTTATTCAATGAGAAATTAAACTTTGTTTATAATCATGGCTCAAGCGAAAATCAACTCGCAAGACAAAACAGACAACACGCTTAAGGATAAAGAGAAAGAGGCTGATGAAAAGGAAGGTATATATTCGTCTAAATTATTTAAAAAATATGTAATCATGCATTTGTATCGAATTTCATCGACTATTCATTGACAATTTGATACTAATCGTTTCGATAGTACTTCATTCGAAACGTGTCACTCGATTTAAAGTAATCACAAAAAAATATGTAAACGTCTGAAAAGTTTCACTTTGATTTATATCTCAACTGAAAGAAGTGATTTTCTGCAGTTGCATGATTTTTTCTTACTAAGACGAGTATAAAATATAAAGAGGATTTAATAAAATTGTATTAAAACGGTATGAAATATAATAATGCCAAAATTGTTTATTTTTGTTCACTAGGCTCAACAACAGTACCTGAATGTGCAGTCTGTCTTCAGCCATGCATATATCCCGCAAGATTGCCATGCAATCATGTATATTGTTACCTGTGTGTCAAAGGTGTTGCGAATCAAAGCAAAAGGTGTCCTATGTGCCGTCAAGAAATTCCTCCTGATTTCCTTGACAGACCACAATTGGTAGATGTAGACGAAGCACTAAAGGAATCAGAACATTCTGAAGAGGAATACCAGTGGTTTTATGAAGGCAGAAATGGTAGAGTATCTTTCTTTACATAAAATGATTTTGTTAAATGTATAAAATAAAGAAAATTAAAAGAGTGGTATAAATATATAAAATTTAAGCGATTGTAATCATATTACAGCAAATGCATGGATAACAGTAGATATATTCCAATTTCTAAACTTAATGTTTATACATAGCTGGTGGAACAAATATAAGGATCTACTTAAATCAATTCTAAGTTCTCTGTTAAATGATATCCCTATTGAGTAGTCATTAAATGGATTTTTTTCCATAGATTAATGGTTTGATAGTTGGAGGATCATACTGATTGGATCTGAATTAGATTTGCTTTTATCCTTTTTTCATGGAATTTTGATTTTTCACACTTTTAAAGATAAATATTTTCATAAAAATTATACAATTTTATAAAGCAAGTGGTAGAATATATTTGTATTATTACACAGAGAAAGGTCAGTTACAAGTGCACCTACAAATCCTGTTGTATAATACTGACAAAAACAATACTGAATTGGAATCATGTTCATTAGTATAGAATTTGTTACTTGAATTTAATACTGTTTGCTTCCTTCAATACCTTTTATTTTGGAACACATAGACAGAATTAATACTTCACTGACAAGGGTCACGCTAAACATACTACAGTTTTTATGAAATTGCTATATTTCTTCCAGCTAGTACCCATATCATTTGTACCATGTTCAAGGATATATGAAATAAAATTATTTGTACAGTAACATAGAACATATTGTAAATAATAAATCAATTTGACTTCGTTAATATATTAAAAGAAAAATAGATGACTTCATTATTCATTAAAAATATGTGATGAAGTATACAAGTTTATATCCTACCCCTTCATAGCTTGGTGAAAATACAGTTCAAGAATCAGCTGGGATTTGAGGACTATTTACAACTTTGGTAGCACCCAATGTGAAATTTTAATTTGCGGCATGCTTTATGTAATTGATTTTTAAAATAAATGTTAATAGAGAAAAAATCAACCATCAAGGGTGATAAAAAAGATGCACCTTGCAAAGGTGTTTTAGGAATATTAGAAATATTATACTAATATTTGTATTGTGTACCTACAAAGATAATTGGCATAAAGTGTCTTTAAATGCATTTACATTTCATCTTAAAATTTATAAAACTATGTGTAGTCTTATACAAAACTCAATATCAATTTTCATGTAAAATATTATATTAGGTAAAAGTTATAAGAATTTTATTGTCTTAAAAGAATAAAAATTAGTTATATTTTTTGCAAATTCCTTAACTAAAATGCTTTTATTGTTCATAGCTTACATTTTGTTCACTCTTTTCTATTAAAGGAAAATGGAACTTGTATGATCTTGAATTATATTGTTACAGGTTGGTGGCAATATGATCAGCGTACAAGTCTTGAATTAGAAACAGCATATAAACAAGGCAAACGGAATTGTGAATTATTAATTGCAGGATTTCTTTATATCGCTGACTTTGGTTCCATGCTACAGTTACGTAGAAATGATCCTTCTAGGCGAAGGAGAATTAAGCGCGATTTATACAATGTTCCCAAAAAAGGAGTAGCAGGTTTAAGATTAAATAATCAGGATGAAGAAATCATTAGAGAAATAAGGGGAGCAGAAAGGCCAGCTAGTCCTGCGAGTGACAATATGGGTATAATGTTTAAAAAGTCTTGTCATTATGCATAAAACTTCTGCAATTCCTGTCTGTTAATGTTAGTTATTTAGACAATATAATTTTACGTTTTTAGGTATAGGTGATGAAACAAATACTTTAGTTCCACCAAGTAACACCCCACAAACACCAGCTGGTGGCACAGCAAGTGGTGATGCTACTCCTTTAAATGATAGACTAGAACAAAGATCAGACTCTTTACATCAAGTATTAGAACAAATGCGTTCCTTAGTTCAAAGAGAACATTTGTCTTCAAATGCAGATAATGAATTAGAGGAAATTGTAGAAAATGAATCACTTTCCACTCATCCTACATTATAAGTACAAACGTGTAACAATTCCTATTCATCGAAAGAAGAAAATTATTTAAAAACATTAATTTTATTGAAATAAATGTGGCATCGCGTTAAATGAAAAATATAATATAATAAATTGGTGTATATGTTTAATAATACAGAACATTCATATATATATGTATATATATATATATATGTGATGTACTAACATATAATCTGTACATTGCTCTGTGATGCTTGTTAAAAACAAACCAATTAAATACAATTAAAATTTTCATAATTAAATAAATGCATCTTTTGATCATTCGCGTATTATTATGAATCATTAAGGTTTAAAAATGTTTAATTAGTATATTAGTAATTTTACATTTTGTCATCTTCTTATGAAATGCTCTCCAAAAGGAAAATATTTATCGTTTCATGCATCTATGTTCTAGTAATGATACTTAATTCTAATTTATGTAATTTTTGTAATTATTATAGATTACGTACATTACGTAGTTTATAATTGTAAGTAACTGAGAACAATGAAAAGTTTCGTAAACAAACAATGATACCTTTCATTTATGAATAAAGTATAATACACTGAGAACAATACTTGAACATAATTAATGTAATATTAATTAAAATAATTTAAGATTAATTTCAGATACACTACAAGATACACATAATCTTTTTGTATAAATACTTGAATTGTTTAGATTGCAATAAATTCAGTCTAATTATAGATAGATGAAATAACTAAATAAGAAAAATGTTTCCTTGAGTAAATTATATAAAGAACTTAAATAAAAACAAAATTCTAAAGAATATTATATATCATGAACATTTTTTTTTATCGAAAAACAAATTAAAAGGATCATAAATATTTAATTTTTTTTGTAAGAAATATTTTTCTAGCAATTTTTTAACATTCTTTATTGTCAATATTTATTACGAATTAATAGCTACTTAATGTTAGTCACATAATTTACATATTGTGGTTTATCTTATGTTAATTATAATCGATATTAACATAATGCTATGAGTACATACAATGTACTATTTAGGTATAAAAGATTGTAAACATTTCCAGTAAGATTACCAGAAAACTTCTTCAAGATTTTGATTACAACTTTGAAAATTATTATGAACAAATAAATGTATTACAAAATATAATTTATTTTATCTAAAGGAATTACTTGCAATATGACCAACGTTACCTAAAGAAATTATTTTACTAACTTTGAATAATTATTTAAATCTTGAAAGAGTTTAATTTTTGATGAAGAATATAATATGAAGAAATATAGCATGTATTTTCTTTTGATGTAAGATATTGTAATGATTGTTAAAAATTAAAAGTACATGCTTTTATTGAATAATTGTTATATTTATTTCCAGTGATATGTTTGTATACATTAATATGTAACAAAAATTATGTTGTTAAATTAATATTTGAAGCTTTTGTATTTTAATTATATTATATTCATTTCAGGTCATAACACACAAATTCCCAAAGTGTAGGTCGCGTTAAATATTAATATTAATTTAAAAGTAGTAAAGGGATATTTCGTATTCAATTTTTGTTTTTTTTTAATACTTATTACAAGCGAATGAGTTGTGAGAAATTACTGTTTTTAAAAGCGGGTATTCGTCCATAAAAGTTTGGAAAGTCCCAATATAATATAGTAAAATAATAAAAGTATTTCTCACCTTAACGCATGTACAATGAAAAGAACTATAAATCATTTAATCGATTTAAGACATTATTACTTATAAGGTTATTTTTTATGGAATTGATGGGAATTCAATTTTTCATTTTATATTAAATATAATATTAATATTTCATTCTATTGAATATGGCATGTTTCATGGCATTGATAGTAGTTATAATAGATTCACTAAATTATTTGAAATATTAAAGTTTATCTATATTTCGTTTTATTAATTATTAGTATAATAAATTTAATTTTCGCGCCGTTAAAATATGTCAAAAGTGTGATTCTAGTGTGATCAAAGTAACTTCCATGTGGGTGATACGAAGCCGGTCAACTGCTAGATTTCCAAGTTATTTACAAACGTGAAATTTTATTAGAGTCTTAGGTTTTATTAGTTATTAGCGATATAAGTTTAAAAGAATGTGTTTGAAATACTATTTGTAAGGTGTGTATGACGTCTAGTTACAATGTTAACATAAATTTTTTCATACGCATTATCACACAGAGTATCGGTTTACGTACACACATTTTTAGTCGTAATATAGTGATTACATGTGTATTTAGTATCACAAATAGAAAAACGTTACGGTTTACAAAAATTTCGATAAAAATTATTATAAATGTTTTAAACATATTCGAACGATTAGACGATTCGTTAACAAATTATAATTAAGTACGTGATGTCCTGATTGCCCAGTGCAATACGATAAAAGTAAAAAAATTCGTTTATAACGATAATTAACAGAATGAAACAAAAAAAAATTAAAATACAATTGCAAAAAAGTATTTCAAGTTAGAACGGTCGAAATCGTCTTGTCTTCCGGTCGCATTACTCGATAAACTCTCGTTTAAGGTGGCCCAGTTTCAGTTAACGGTTAGGGTTAAATAAAAATACTTTCGCAATACTTAACAAACATTGTTTCAGATTGCAATAAGGTTGGTCTATGTAGTCATACGAAAGTTGGTGTTTTATATAAGAAAACATATAAAACGTCATGAGTATACAACAAAGCACAGAATTAATTATTTTTGTGACCCATGTCGAAGCAAAAGATTCGCTTCTCAAAATTTGGGGTCAAGTCGATAAAAACGCTGCAACATGTGTAGAACGTATGATCTTACCATTGGTCGAACAATTTGCTCGAAGTCAAGGTTGCGTTGGTCCAAGTTCAATCAACTTGCATATAAATGCACTTTGCTGTGCCCGATTCCAAAATGACGGATATTATCGAGCTAGAGTTATTAATATACGTACTGATGGTATGGTAGTTTTGCAATTCATCGATTATGGCAACATTGAAGTGCTACCGCATCAAGAGATTCATTTGCTCGAAAATATACCTGGTTCTGAGTCACTGCAGTCATTTCCACCTGTAGCATTTGACTTCACATTAATGCACGTGCTACCCGTAAATGGTATCTGGGAGAACAAGATAATTGATTCAATTAAGAAATCCCTTTGGTACAATGAATATAAAGTCTTGATTCATACAGTGATTAATAATCATCGTTTGATTAAACTAAGGTATAATAACGAGGACTTCAGTGAATTGCTTATTGATAGACGTATGGCAGTAAGAGCTACATTGCAAGAAATGTTTAGGTAGTTATAATATGTTATTATTAATATCTGTTACTAATTGTAATTAAAAATATACATCTTGGCTAAAGTCGATGTTGCCAGAGAGGAATACTTGGCAATTGTTGACTATAATTAATGTCTATATAGGAAAAGATAATTAAGGGCTGTGTCTATTTTTATAGGTCAAAATGTGTGCAGCAACCTCAGGTGCCAATATATCATCAACAAAATAAACACCTTATTAACAATAACTGTACTTCGATCACACCTGTGCAAAATCTGAATTTATTACAATGCGATGGAAACAATATGCATGGATTTCAACGAAACGTTCCTTTATATTGTACACCTCAACAAAAGCATATGATGCAGACACCTGTACAAGAAGCTCTTGTATTTAAATCACGTGTTTTGGATGTACCATCTGAACATGAAGTCTATGTTTCTTTTGTAGAAGACGGTCCGCATAAGTTTTCTGTACAACTTCAAAGTACATCTCAAGTATTAAGTATGCTCATGAGAGATATTAACAGTCATCCGATAGAATCATTGCAAGAACCTCCTTTACCGGGATCAGTATGTTTAGGTCGTTATACACAAGATAAAGTGTTGTGCAGAGCTGTTGTAATGTCTGTAATGGAAAATAAGTGTAAACTTTATTACGTTGATTTTGGTCATACAGAAGTGTTACCATACACTGACATTTTTCAATTACCGCCTCACTTCATCAATCCTAAAGTACTTTCTATTCGATTCACGCTAAGCGGTGTGAAGGAATTAAACGTTACAGATGAAATGAAAGAATACTTTAAACAAGTAGTATCAGGGAAATTACTTGTTCTGCATGTACGTCCGCCAGAAGGACCACCGCTGGTTCAATATGGAGATTTATATGATGATGGAAAAAATATAAAGGATATTCTTAGACAAGCATTTCCAACTCCAATTGCAGTAACAACTATAACTCCATCTTTTGGATACAGGGAACCAAGAAAATTGTTGAAAGATGTTGAAGAAATTGTACATATTTCATATGTAGAATCTTGCAGGAAATTTTTTGTCCAACTGGATAGTAATATTAAGTCCCTTGAATCAATAATGAATTGCTTAGCAGATTTCTGTCAAACTGCGCCTACTTTAAGTTTAGCGCAACTAAAGATTGGTCTTCCTTGTGCTGCTTTATATGATAATCAATGGTGAGTTGTTGTTTTTATTTTTTTATTATTACAATAGTTGAGTAATAGGACACAATACAGATACAAGAGAGTTTCAAGATTTTCCGACCTAACTGTGTCAATGTATTCTTTGAATAGAAATACATATACATAGATCCAATAAGAACTTCATAAAATGTTACAAAAAGGTATGAAATGTAAATGAATTGATGATGGATTTCAAGAGAAAAAATATATGTAGAAAGTACAACTTAATACATTTAAAAGCATATCTAATTGTTTGTTTTGATTTTTAAATTATAAATTACACAATTTAATTAAGCGTATTATGTTAAATATTTTGATTAGATTCAAACCCTGATCGTGTGCGCTGTTATTTGTAGATTTCCATTCCAGATAAGTTACATTAGCATTTTCAAATTTTCAATTTTGAATTCCATTAGTTATTAAAGCAATTGGACATTGGCAGTTCGTGAATAAAATTTGTCCGAAAATTTGCCAGATATCTCTTGTAAGTTATACAGTAATATACATATTTATCGTTTTTATATTATGTAACTATTAGGTACCGCGCACGAATTCTTGGCATAAATGGAGATAATGTGAAGGTCTTATATGTTGATTATGGCAATGAAGAGACTGTGACTTCAAAGTCTTTACGTTTAATGCATGACAACTTAATAAAAAAATTGGAAGCTCAAGCCATAAGGTGTATTTTAAATGGTTGGGAAGTTCTACCGTGTACTCAAGAAATTTATAATCAATTTGAATTATTGATCTTGGAGAAATGTTTGCGTTTGAAAGTAATGGATGTAAATTCGGATGGCCTAGTAGTAGAATTGTATGAACCTGAAAGGATGGAAAGTATTAAGTCACAAATGTTACACATAATTGGAGATGATAAGAAATTTACAAGCGAATCAAATTCTCAAAATATGGAAAATCAGCAACCCGCAAAAATGACATCGAAAATTAATCAAAGGTATTATCAGATTATTTTACTGTATGTGTGATAATTTAATTTTAGGCATAGACATCACAAATTTCATTGGCGTAATTAAAATAAATTAAGTTACTGCATCACAGGTCCTATAGAAAACTACGATTGAATATGGTTCATCGTCGGAAAAATGAAATAAATATAAAACCAATATGGTAAAGTGGACAATAGGAAATTTATAAAGCTTTTTAATTTTCTAAAATTATATTATATTTTAGTTATTGTTTTCAAAGTTAAAAAAAAAGGTTTTGTGTTGTTTATTTCAACAAAATTGTTTTTGGAATGAAAGTTATTTATTTTATATAGAGGGTTTTGCTTTAAAATTTAACATTCATTGGAATAAAATATTTTAAAGCACACTGTTCAAACGCTACTTCAGTTTAAATTATTTGAACGCATGTTGTTTCTATTTACAGCACTAATTAATTTCTAATTTTTAATTGCAACATTAATTAATTTTTATATTTCAGTGAAAATACGAATAAATGGCATAAAAAAAGTCATTTAGATACATGGCATGACACACAGAATACCAACACCGTTCAAGAAAGGATCAAATCCAAAACTTGGAAAGATGAATCGAATGAAGGAAAACTGTATGAAAATCGAAGTGAAAAAAGCAATTTTCATCGCATTGGTTCAAGAAATGAAAGATTTCATAGAGACGACTTTTCCAATAGTAGAAATATGAAAGATACGTGGAATAGTAAAAACGATCATAATGATTCGTTCAAGAGTGGAAGAAATACAGGAGGTGGTAGAAATAGATCTTCAGGGCATGGTCAAAAAAATTACTCTTCTGATAAAAGTTGGAGCGACAAAGATTCGGATACATCGTCTAGAGGTAGTAGTAAACGTGGAAGAGGCAATGCTGCTCGTGGTAGTTATTCCAAACGTGCAGGATTTTCTGGAAGAGTGCAAAGTAGCAGATCAAGTGACAAAGATAGCGATGGAAATGTTAAGGCTGCAAGAATAAATAGTAAGTTGTTCGTGCATTGCTAGAGTAACTTCGTAGTTACTTAGAATGAATTCTGAGTTATAACAAAGTGTTTTGTTTATTTCTTTATGATGAATTCTAATAAATCTTTAAAATATGTAAATTATTAATAGATGACTCTTATCATGGAAATAACAAATTCAAAGAAAGAAGGGGACAAGGACAACACAGGCTATCAGAAAACAAGGTAGAGTATACTAATAATAATATTCATTAGTATATATTTTTATAATTATAAATAACATGAGTAGAAATCGATTAACTTTTACATTATCTCAGGGTAATGTTAAGTTACCTATAGTACAAATTTTATGTGGAATTTATTAAATCATAAATTTTGTTATTTACTACAGTAAATAAATGTATGTATGCCTATTTGAATTTTTTCAGACATATTAGTATAAACGTTTTACGATTGTTGAATTAGTATTTTTTATTTTAGCCAAACGCTCCATATTCTATTAACGCGGAAGGAGCGCGAAAATATAGTCCCATGCGAATTAGAAATGACTTTCATATACCGTCTCCTAGCATTGCTATTGGAACAACAAAACCCTGTGAAGTAGTTTTTACAAATAGTCCATCTGACTTTTTTATTCAATTAAGTACTGATTATGCTGCATTAGATTCTATAATGGAAAGTATTGCGTCGATATATGAAACTGGCGGAGAATTAATGAGAGAATTTAAGATATGCAAAGGAGCATACTGCATTGCTCAATATACAGAAGATTTGAAATGGTACAGAGCTGTAATCAAATCTGTCGAAGGAAATAACGTAACTGTACAATTTGTAGATTATGGAAATACAGAAACAGTTGAGTTTGACAAAATTAAATTTATTCAAAAAGAATTTTTGAAACTTCCAGTACAAGCTATACGTTGTAAATTATTTGGTATAAAAGACGTTAGTTTTGATAAGAGCAAGACAGACATTTTTGAAAATAAAGTTAATGAAAAAACGCTAGAAGCAGAATTTATAACCGAAGAAAATGGTATATACAGCGTCTTGTTACGAGAAGTTACCAATAACTGTCCAACAAGTACTTTTATAAACGAAGAATTTTGCGAAAATGTCAATTTAGTAAAAGCAAAGGAAGTTGCGCTATCTTGTAGTAAAACTGCTGTCAATACAGAAAAATTAACCGAGCCTGATTATGCACCTCTGGATGCTACTTGGACAACAATTTCTTTTTCGTCTGGAACTAAAAAAGACGCCATTATTACATGGTTTATAAATCCTAATAATTTCTATTGTCAAATACTTGATAATGAAACTGAATTTAAAGCAATGATGAATGAAATTCAAAGGATCTATGCTGGTAGGGAATCTGTTTCACATGCATTAAAGGTAATTATTTAAAACGGTAATATATAGATGTCTATACTTCGTATAAAGCGTTAAATTTTTTAAATTATTTTTAGATCGGATCACCTGTAATAGCAATATTCTCTGAAGATAGTGCTCTTTATCGTGCAGAAGTTTTAGAATTAAATAAATTGAACGGCCATCTTATACATTACATAGATTTTGGAAACGTTGCTGTGGTAAATTCACAAAATATATATCCTGTAGAAAAGAAATTAATGCATCTTCCCAAACAAGCTGTGCAGTGTTCCTTGTTAAATATTATTCCGCAAGATGGTCTTGATTGGTCTAAAGTAAATACAAACGCAATTGATAGTTGTTTTAATGCTGATAAATATGAGTGCACTTTCCATGATGTGATTGATACTAAACACATAATTTCCTTAAATAATAACGGAAACGATGTAGCTACTCAATTGGTCCAAGAAAATCTTGCCTCATTTGCCTCGACAAACAAATCAGATGGTGATGCTAAAGGTAAAAGTAAATCTTCATTTTATTCGCAATTGTGTTGATTAGATAATTTCGAAAAAATTTTCTTTTGTTTCCTACAAAATGTACCATGAAATGAGTAATTAGAAATGTAATTTTAGTAATTATGCAATATGTAATTATACATATATTATATACAGACGCGTAATGTATACAAATACACAAACTATTATTTTTTTTATAGGTAGTAATACTGCAATATCAACAATTTTATGTGTAATGGAAAGGGTGGATATAAATCTTTTAAGTGGTCAGACACTTCGAGTGAAAGTTTCAAGCGTAGAAAACGCATCGAAATTGTACGTTCAACTTCCTTCTGGCAATGAATGTGAAAATGTAATTGACGCATATATGGCAGACAAAAATCCCAAGGTATGCTTACACGTTTATATATACTGTTATTCCTAAATATTTACTACTTTATATTCATAATTATACCCGTAACTATAATTCAAATGATTCATATACACTTTTAACAAATATTATGTACTCAATGCATGCAAATCATTGGTGTGCAGAACTTATTTAATATATCTAACTTATATTGTTACAATATATTGAATAATTAAATGTAAGTGAATAATGCATTAAAATGCATTTTCAAGAAGAAATACAACAATTTATTTTTATTTGTTAAGTGTTTCCAATATTAGTTAAAGAACAACTTTGTTGCTTTGTTTTTTTATTTTTAGTATGTAGTGTTGGAGGTGGTTTATGGAAGTTTGATAACAAAATGTCCTGTATACAAATTTCGTTTTTTCCCCCATAGAATAAAAAGCTCTAAACAGAAGTACACATTCCTATTTAAATAAAACAAAGTTGTTCTTTAAATAACCTGGAGAACACTTAACATTTTGACTGCCACGCCGAAATCACGTGTTTTGCTCAGGATTTCATAGAAACTAATCTTTTATTTTCGATGTTAATGGGGGATTCTAGAGGCCAAAATAAGACGAAAATCAAGAATACCAATTTGTTGATGGAGGCGTCGTTAAAAAGTTATTAACAATTAAATTCAAAAATTTCAAATCGTTCTGGAAAAATTATTTTCTATTGCGGGGGTCAATTACAATAATTTTTGGTGAATAGACATATCCACGAAATCTTGCGCATTTTCGAGAAAAAAATTCAGTACGAGCGGAACTTTAAACGTTAATAACTTTTTAACAAAGCCTCCATCAACAAATTGGTATTCTTGATTTTCGTCTTATTTTGGCTTCTAGAATCCTCCATTAAAATTTTTCCGAAGGGTGGCCGAACACCCTGTATATGACCAACGTGGCAATCAAAGTGTTAATAAATACAAAATGAATAGGATAGTTGTATTTCCTCCTTGAAGCCAAGTAACTTTTGTATCGTACACTTCTCTCGAAAATGCATTGTTTTTTAAATATTTCAACTATAACTATAATTGTTACTTAACGAGTTTTTGATTTCGTGTAGATGTTATTTTATAGCCAGCCCCTTTCTTAATTCGTTGAATCGAGGTTTTACTGTTTTCATATTGTATAAGTTAATTTATCATTGGTTCATTATATTATTGTGAATAATAATATATGTTAAAAACTCGAAAAAATTGTAATTTAACTAATGGTACGATCATTTCTGCTTTTTCATATATTTTAAATATTATTGTTAACAGTAACATATTTTATGATAAAAATAATTCATATATTTTTTGACAAAACGTATTAAATATATATCTCATTATTCCACGAGTGTATATAAAATTATTATGAATGCAAGAGACAGTTGATACAATATCTGTTACTAATCTTCTTTATTCTAATCATAGAATATTACTTACATTTCATTGCACGATGTATGGTATTAATAACTAAATCAGTAAAGTATAATATTCTCTCTATCCTCTTGTCTTGATTTTACTACTACCAAATTATATTGAACACACATAATAATATTCCTGCCATTCAGTATTCTGTCTTAATTAATAATCTGTATACTTCATTCATTTAACAGTGTAATAAAACAGGTAAGTTTTGGTATAAATGGCTCGCTTTTGTAATGTACTATATTATTTATTGTTGTCGTCCAGATTTTATATCAGAACATTTTTTAATGTTAACAAACTTGAATTATAATATTTTATTTAAATATCTTCAGATGTTATTATGTTACTTAGGTGTAACATGTATAATCTGTTAAATTAATATTCAAGCAGGTATTACTTGATTTCATTTTTTAATCTTTTGGTTGCGGTGCATTTCAGTTGATAATCATTCGCTATTATTGTCCTTGTGCAGGACAATAGTAGAAGTCGGTCGTTAAGATAAAACTAAGATTTAATTATTTTGTTAAAAATAATGAGACACTTGAACAGTTTTTGATATTAATTTATTTCAATCATTCTTATACATAAATATGTAACATGTAAAGCGATATCAAGTATTGAACAAAATTTACTAAGTATATATATACATATATATATATATATATTCATATATATATATGTATATATGAATTTTATAAATGAACAATTATTTTCTCTGGTTGTATATTATATATTTATACCATTCGCAGCCAAAGGATTAATTTGCATGCTTTGAACATTGTAACATATTATAACGTGTATGTTATTGAAATGTATATATTAAATACATGGGTATTAATTTTTAATTCGTTAAATTATCGTAACTTTTAAAAAAACTATGAAATGTAACGATTTCAAAGTATTAGTTAAGAGAGCCAACAATATCATGTTATTATTGTATATATTTTGAAATTCCTTGTGTATGGTTATATAAAAAGATGTAAGTTAATAATATTGGTAAGGATAAGTATGGCAATGGCAGGTGATGCAACGATTATCAGCCCATGAGATATGCCTGGGCACAGGTTGTTTGGTTTATTCAAATGGAGTTTGGAGACGTGCAGTAATGAATAACCATTCACGATCGGCAGGCTTTCAAGTAAAATTCATTGATACTGGAGCGTATGATGAAATTCTCTCAGATTGCGTGAGTTTTTCAAAAGACGAGATCAATGTACATGCTAAACTCAATTGAATAATAGATTATATAATATTACTACTGCTAGGTGTAGGAGTTATTTAATACCATACTTGCTGCATTGAAATTTTGGCAAATTATAAATTCATAATAGAAATATGTTTAATAGAAGTCTCATTATGGCTATTAACATTTAAAGTATTATATATAAATTTCTAAAATAATACTATATTGCTTTATGTATTATTAAGTAAAAATGTTTATTTACATACTTAAAAAAAGAATACAATTATTGCTATAAAAATACTTATACTATTATTTGCTTTTTTAAAACTTTTGTTTAATGAAACTAATGTCTGATTATAGTCGATGATTATTAATACAATAATCTGTTAATTCAGATTTTAGCTTTACCAGGAGAACTTTCAGTTATGCAGAATCAGGCTGTAGAATGTTCCCTTGTAGATGTTACAATTTCTTCTGATACGGACGCAGCATTGAAAGAACAAGTTGAAGGGAAAGAAGTAATTATGTATGTTGATGAAGTTGACAATAACAGGTAAAGTTCAAATATATTTCTGTATTATATTTATTGTAGAATTCAAATCATCCATATGAGTCCAAACAAATATTACACAACAGTTACTTTATTTCTCTTTTAAAAAGTATATTTTTCCAAGATCTACCTAAAATATTTTCTTTTCTATTTACAGGCTCATTGTAAAATTGTACGATTTGTTGGGTAATAAAATAAATATTTCCGAAGATACAAATGAAAAAATATCACCAATATGCCCAATGCCTATTTTAAGTTCTACTCATAAAGTGGTAGTATCGTATGCAGATCATTCTGCTAACATATGGCTGCAACGTCATACGGAATATGATTTGGACCAAAATTTAATCGAAGCACTCGATCGGTATTATTTCGAATCTGGAAAATTAGTGGAACCAAAAGTAGACCTTTTGTGTGCTGCTAAAAGCACAGATGGTCACTGGTATCGAGCCAAGGTCATAAAGTGTACAGAAACTGGAATTTATGTGAATTTCATTGATTACGGTAATAACGAAGAAGTTACTTGCGACGTACTAATGACTTTAGATCCACAGTTTTACGTACCGCATCAATTAGCAATTAACGTTTCATTGCCGGTAACGCTTAACGGTACAGCGTCCGAACAATTAAACATACTACAAAGTTATTTGTCGAATAAGGAACTCACTGCAGTTTTCCATAATGTACACAAGAAATGGGTAGTGGAATTATTATGCGACGGAGAAAAAATTAGTGACAAATTTAATTCGCTTAACTTTGCATCGCAACAGGAAATATCCAAGACAGGAGAACCCGAGGTTCATAATATGGTGATGAATAATAAATACGATGTGTATGTATCTCACGTGGATTCACCTAGTCAATTCTGGCTTCAACGAGTAGAAGATGCTACGTATCTTTCTAAGATACAAGACGATTTACAAACAGAAGCTCTTACGTTTCCACAAGTTGATGGGATATTAGAAGAAGGAAGTTTATGCGTTGCTGTGTACACGATTGATAATTTATGGTACAGAGCGCAGGTACTTGACGCGGACGAAGATATTACGACTGTTCGATTTATTGACTACGGAAATACAGATGTTATTAACAATAAATCCGGACATATACGACAGATTTCCAATTCCTGGAAAGAAATAAAGGAATATTCGATCAAATGTAGATTAGACGTTATTCCTGTAGATACGGAAGATTGGAATACCGCAACTTGCGAGAAATTTGAAAATTTAGTAACGTCCGTCGACTCGTTGCAAGCAATGGTTATTGCGGAGGGTAATCCAAAACGAGTAGATTTGTTGATAAATGAGAAAAGTGTTAGTGAAACGTTAGTTGACGATCATCATGCTATAATGGTACAGACCGAAGACGATTTAATAGACGAAATAGTTGATATTGAATTGGATCCTCATTCTGCGTTTGTGAGTCACGTTAACTCTCCGCGAGAATTTTGGGTACAAGAGGAAAAATCTGTCGGCGATCTGGAAGTCATGACTGATAGATTTATCGTGGCGCATATATTTCCCAAGGTCGATGAGATTAAAGAAAATATGTTATGCGTAGCAAAATATCCTGACGACGAATGCTGGTACAGAGCGCGTGTTATATCGCACAACGATAATGCTACGCGAGTTATATACATCGATTATGGGAATTCGGCTACGTCGACCGAAATACGCGCTATACCTCCAGATTTAGCAGATGTGCCGCCGTTATCGAGGAAATGTTGCTTAGTTATGCCAAACGGAATTACGGAATGGTCCGAACAAGCTTGCGCAGAATTTATAAACTTAGCTGCTGACGGAGCAACGATATTTTTGTTGGATGTATTAAAGGAGGACGACACGTCGACGGTGAAATTAACGTTGGACGGTGAAAACGTAACGGATTTACTTGCAAAGTTTTGTGAACATTATCCACCGATCATAGAAGAGCGACTGCCACCGTTGGGCGAAGAAAATTCACCAAATGTATATATTAGTCGTATCAATTCACCGGACGAGTTTTGGATTCAAACCGAAAGCTGCACTACAGATTTAAATATAATGCTTGATAGATTGAAAGCAGCTTCTAGCTTTCATCCGTTAAATACAATCGAAATTGGCGCCATTCACGCTGCAAAATATCTCGAAGACGGATTATGGTACAGGGCTAAAATTCTTTCGCATTCTGAAAATTCTACCGAAGTTTTTTACATAGATTATGGTAATACCGCAATTACAAACGAACTACGTATGTTACCCGTAGATATTATAAATATACCTCCTTTGGCTAAACGTTGCGCTCTACAAAAACCAGATAATTTAAATTCTTGGCCATCGGACGCGTGTAAGATATTCGAAGAACTTTCTGCAGACGGTAAAACAGAGTTTCAGTTTGAAATCATTAACGACGCTGTTGATCCAATTTCCGTTAAACTGAGTCTTGATAAAAAAAATATCGTTGATATTCTAGTGCCACTTTCTGAAAGCGTATTTAATGATGCAATAGTAGAAGAGACAGTAGATTTACATGAAAATGAAAATAATGACAATTTAGACGAAAATATAATGAATAGAACAGAAAAGAGTCAAATCAATCACAGTGTTGAACAAGACATGAATAGTTCTATTGCAAAATCAGGAGAAATATTAGAAATTTACGAAGAAGAAAATAGGGATGTAAGTAAGCCTCGGGAAGACCTTGAAGACAAAACCGAAACGACTACAGAGAATGACGATAACGTACGTCCATGCACTGACAACTCCGTTTTAGAACTTACTGTAGATGAAATAGTTCAGAATATGGAAAGAAACTTGATGGGTGAACCAGATGTGGAAGAAGAAACAGCTGTAAGTAATAGTAATGTACAATCATTTGAGGATAACAACGTTGAAAAAGTAACAACTAATTTGACAAATTTGGAAATACACGATGGACCGCAGTCATGCAGCAATACAACTGAAATTCAAAAAATAGATTTAAGGATGGATAAAGATGACCTGCATCAAAATCAAGACTATTTGGAAACAAACTGTACGCACCAAGAATCTCCGTCAACTATAAAAGACCTAACACCGGATGCAATAAAAATGTATATAGATAATGGAATGGACAAAGATGAAGATCATTTTGAAGTAAAGAGTACACACGAAGAAGAATCTTTCTCAACGATAAAAGATGCAACCTTGAAAATACAAGATGACGAAGATCATTTGCTTCAGATGGAAGTTACAGACGAAGCAGAAAGCATACATGCAGATGGAATTCCACCACAGATAGAAGAAAATATTATGCAGAATGTAATAGAAATGCAAACAAATACTGGTATGGACAAAGATGAAGAGCATGTACATCAACACGAGGATCATTCTGAAATAAAAAGTATGCACAAAGAAGAATCTTTTTCAAAAGTAAAGGAAGATGCAACTTTGGATTCAATAGAAATGCAAATGAGTACTGCTGGTATGGTTGAAGATGAAAATCATTTAAACAAAAATGAAGATTTTTCTATAACAAAAAGTACATACAAAGAAGAAACTCTGTCAAACGTAAAAGAAGATACAACATCGATTGCAGTAGACTTACAAGATTCAATTCCATTAGAAGCAAAGAATGGTGATAAAAATAATATGATAAAGTCAGTAACACAAACATGTGAATTGAATACGAGTATTCATTCTTATGAAAATGATAACGAAGTACATACGCCAGATTTAGATAAATCCACCGACGAGAAGTGTATCAAAGGACAGTTAGACGAAAATGCAACAAGCAGTACAACACAGTCAAATATTTTAATGGAAGAGTCTGTCTCTGGAAACACCGATGAAAAGACAGAAAATGAAACTGAAAACTAAATGAAAATGAAAATAAACTAAAAATTAGCATAGCAGATTTTATGGATGATATGAGATGAAAAGTATTGGACAAAAGCAGATACTCAGATTTAAAATCTATTGAAACAGAAAGCCTCGAGGGTAAGATTAGTAATAAGCAAAATGCGTGTAAGGATCGTTTGCAGCCTGAGTGTCCTTAGAACTCCTGAATGATTATCTGCAGAGACTGACTTTATAATTGACATGAATTTTAAATAGTTTCAAAACTTTAAATATCGGAATAAATATCATTTAATTTTTCAATGAAATTTATATTTAATTTATAGAGTTTGACATTATATATTTTGCTTTCAAAAGGTATAACAAGATATTAATGTTCGAAAACTAATATTACTATGCTCTCTTCAGAGAAGAAAATTACAATACAGGACAACATTCCTAAATGTATGTTGCAGCTTTAAAATGTAAAGAACATTTTTTATGTTTTTATTACCTAATTAAGAAACTAGTGTATATTGTTTGATCATGTACTATAGTAAACGAAAAATTGTTGTTTTACATTAACATAAAGAATCTGTTTACGAAAATAGAAGTAAAATATTTTCCGGTGCTTTACCAAAGAGTAACAGAAAACATATTCACTGTATAATTCAACTCAACATTCATTTGTTTTTGCTTTTTACATACTTCTATAGCAATATTGTTATTAACATCTTTTCATACAATTAAAACGAAGGTACGTTACTTTTTTTGCCTACGATTTATAAATGACATGATATTATTTTTTTAAAAACATTAGCATTGACGTAAGTTATATGAATTACAATACTGATGTAGTTTCCGCGATCGGTTTACTTTGAATCATAGCAAGCGTAATGTGTTATTATATACTTATCGAATTGTTACAAAGTATAGAAACATAAAGTTAATTTTAATGTATACATTCGAGCAATGCCTATAAAAAGCAGCTTTTCTTTTTCTTTGAACAATAAAACATAAAATGCCTTTAAGAGTCGACATATTTTGTAGTTGATATGCTCGTAGTATTTTATTGAGTACTGATAGAACGCCTTTTTCATAAGTGCTTAATACGATAAAATAAGATTAACTATAAATATATGCTTTAGTTATTATTGATATATTCATAAGTTGCGTCTAGAAAAGAATATACTGACATTTATGAAAACTACTATCTTTCAAAGCTATAATAAAAAATTGTTGCAATATAGAATTTTACACACACTCATGGACAAAATTGCTATAAATCCTATAAGAATTTTGATCGCGTTATTTCTATTATTAAAAATTTATCATATACATGTAATTATGAAATTCGTGTTATATCTTGAGATATTACAAGAGAAATTGACAAAACATTATTACCATTAATAACGTCCAATAAATATATTTTCTATTTGATAATAATAGGAATATAAATTACACATTTGTATAGCTTTGAATTTGTGTTGTCTGTCTCGAACATTGATTTATTAATTATATTTTCATGCAACAGTATACGGGTAAATGACTTACACGAACCAATATAAACATTATGTTACAAGAAAACAATACAAAAACACTTCTTTATTTTGTGTACATATATTATAACTTAGGATTTTAAAAATTACTCGAGCATCGGAACGTAAATCTGAAACAACTTTTGGGTAGTATATTTACAGTATTGCGTTCTTTAATAAATATTGAATTATGTAAACATTTCTATTACCTATAATAAAGTAATATTTTCTAATACAAGTCTGTAAATATCTATCATTTCAGACGTGAAACGATAATAATAAGCACAATACTAAAATACCACTACAATTATTATCAATTAAAAAAATTTTTATTCAAATTTCAATACATCTCGTTACATTACGAAATTTTTACCGAAGATTTTCGTTCGTTTTCTGATATTTTTCTTTCGTTCGGAGATATGCTTCCTATTGCGTTGTCTTGCTTCTTACGTCGGTTTCGTCGTTCTATTTTAAAAAATATGCTTTTCAATTTGCCGTGTACGATTAATACTATGATAGGTTGTTTAATATTTTTAAATTATTTCAAATTACGCATTACTTAAAACCTTCGTCCATCTAATTTATTATTTAACCAATTCATGAATTTAAATACCTGTCGTTTTATGCTTAAAATTTTAATGGGAGATTCTGAGGGCTAAAATAAGACGAAAATCAAGAATAGCAATTTGTTGATTGAGGCTTCGTTAAAAAGTTATTAACGTTTAAAGTTCCGCCTGTAGAACGGCAACCTGCGTACAGCTGCGTGCGCGTGATAGTGGTTCTCAGTCAGCATAAGAGACTCTACTTACCGACGTATCGACAGCCTTACAGTTCTCTGAGTGAGAGCCACTATCGCGCGTACGCAGCTGTTCTCAAGTTGCCGTTCTACAGGCGGAACTTTAAACTTTAATAACTTTTTAACGAAGCCTCAATCAACAATTTGCTATTCTTTATTTTCGTCTTATTTTGGCCTCTAGAATTTTCCATTAAAATTCTTCTCAGCGGTGGCCGAGGACCCTGTATACTGATAGTATATGTAGTTCTGATGTTTACAGGTATTTTGTAATAACGAAAATTTAAAAGAAGTATCTACTGTCAAAATAGTTTCAAAAGAAATTGGGGAATTAATAGAAGTTTTGTGCCTTATAGATACACAAACTACTATTTTCTACTTCAATGCATTAGATTACAATCTAAATTATAATAACCTAGCCCTACCACTGAACTCATTGGAATTTAAACGTTTATTACTGTAGTAAGATTCGAGGTGTGACTATATACTACTTTGTATATGCAAAATTTTATCGTATACCCTTCTTTTTAGCGATTTTAATATTCTTTTCCATTTCAAAATTATATGTTTCCTGCCGGCTGCTCATCATTTTGTCACGAGCAACTGCGATTTCATCTTCCAAATACCATCTCAGAGGTCCTCTGCACCGTTTACAAATCATTGGTTCATCAAATTTATCATGTTCGTCGTTATCAGTTCTTGAAACATCGCGGCGAAGAATACCTCGGTGACTAGGTACACCTCGTGGTTGATCGTCCCATCCAACTCGCGGATTATTTCGATTTCTCTTTCGACTTCCATTACGCCGTGGGTTATCGTACCCGCCTCGATGTCGGCTTAAATAACCGCTTCGCTGCCCGCTTCGATGCCCGCTTCGTTGGCCATTTCTATGAATACTTTTTTGAAAGCTGCGTTGAGAAGAAGGTGAAACACTATCAGCATCTTGGATGCGAAATTTGATATCAGGTCCTCCTCCGGTTACATCGGACGGGCTAAACAATGGACCAAAATCTCCTTTTCTTGTATCCAATCTCGAACCGTGGTCTTTAATGTCACAACAAAATCCGTAAATTTCGTTGGCAGAATCATACCGTGAGGTACCAACATTTCTTCTCATATTTTGTTCAAAGTCTTTGATACTGTTACACTTCAAATTTGAGCAAAAAAATTCATTAACGGCAAATATCAAGTATTTAAAATGTAATGTGTCAAAAATGATTGGGAAGTCGACATGATAGAAAGTTTAAGAGGACTATCTAGAGAAATTATTGTTTATGTGTCAGCTATAAAATTTGATGTGCATCAGTGTGGCCCAGTGTGGCCAGATTTGGCATAATTGAGTGCATCGACGGTGACACTAGTAACGACGAATTTCCTTAACGTTTAACAGAATGGTAACTTTGAGCCACAAAAGTCCATAAGGTGTAAGATTTACTCATATACATATTTCGTCTGTGATAACAGCTAGTTACAACTGTACTGACTATATGAAACAAAAACTATGTATATATTTATTTCAATTCAATTAGTTTTCATTTTAATAGACAAATATTAATACTTTCGTACTTTTCTTTTATTTTTTTGCGATTCATACACAAGAATACTGTGTCTTATAAATAAAATATGAAATACAATATCTAGTTCCTTATCCTTAAATTATTACTTATAATTACTCCACTTAGAACTTAGCTTCAAAGAATCAAAAGTAATTCAAGATTGAATCGAATAGTAATGATCTCAAAAAAGCTGCTTATATACATTGTTTAATTTCCTAGGTATTTGGTTCCAGAGTGTGACTCTACCTCTTTTGTCATTGCATTGTACCATGTTTTCAGTTTTGTGTTGGTCAGAGCATCTTTGAAAGCATTGCAACCTTCTATGCTCTTCAATATTCCATAAACAGCAAGATCTGACAAGTCAGGTTTCTCTCCTCCCATAAATGTACTACCGCGTTTCTTAATGGCACCTAACCATTTGTTAATTTCATCGTAAAAAGACTGTCGAACATCATCCTTGAGATTATGCTTTCGTTTCAGACGCTTAGATATCATCCACATTGCCGTTGCGCCCACATTTATCATTATCAGTCTTTCCCACGTTGGAAAATACTCTTCCCATTTACCAACCTGATCAATGAAGATACTGTTTAAAATCTATGAACAGTTGCTATGCCTTTAGCAAGCGAATACTTACTTTCGAGAACCAGTTGAACGTTTCATAAGCTTCTTTGAGAGATCTATAGACATTCGGTGATAAAGTATGTACCAGAACATCGTCTGCCCATTTTCTCCATTCCCGTTCTTTTCTGAAAGAATAAATTTATCTTTCGTTACTGTCTATTCTCAGAAAACCTCTCTGACTCATGAATACTATATGATTAATAAATTGGTTTACAAACCACTTACATCTGATTGTTCAAGTCTTCATGTTCAGACAAAGTATTATTGTACATTAGAAAGTACTTGTTCATAATTTCGTATTTCAATTTGTCGTTTTCATTATGCATCGCTATGAAGGGATAATATGCTACCAGTTCATTAACTTCCTGCGATCTATCTTTGAAATATGATGCCAGCAATGAAATGATCATCGAGCTGTCATTTAGCGGCTGATAGCCAGATTTCACTTCTGTTAATAATATTGGAACCTTTCTGTAAGACGACCATGATATTTCTTTGCGCAATACTGGATCCACTTCTACAACATCATAGGATAAACCATAATAATCCAAGAAAACTCTGACCTAGAATATATCTCTTGTCAGCTTCTTCACAGTTGATAATATTAACAGAAACAAAGTCTAAATTCGGTTTGTAAAAGATATGTACTTTAAAATTTGTTGTTTTACCTTACAACAGAAGGGACATGTTTGGTATTGGAAGAGGGTCAATTTTAATCCGGTTGAATCTATTGGTGAGATAATCTGAAATAAATGAAATAAAAATTAGTGTTCAATGCTTTATATTTAAAGAACTTTTAGAACTTCAAGCATTTATATTTCTATCGCTGAAGTATATTAAAAAGGTAAAGATAAAGGAAAATAAATAAAATCTATCGATAATATATTGTTTAAGATTGTTAATTTGTCGAGGTATAAACAAGTTGTCAATTGAAATTAAAAGCTTACAACATAGTATCAAATTAAATTGTAATGCAATTAGTAATCTATATGAATGTTTTTTGTAGAAAAGACGCTAATTGAAATTGGTTTTAGCATTAGAAAGAAAATACTTTTGGAATTTTTAATACCATGATACAAAATGAAAGTTCTGTGAGTGAAAATGAAACTGGAATTAAGTTCATAGGGCTATAGTTTACTCTGTATCAAATCAGGAGATATTTGTTATAATTTTTTAACGAAGTATTTATGTTTCAGTATTATTTTTCTGAATGGAAAACAAGACATCCTATAAATAAAACAATAGTGATTGAATTTGACAAACCTTTCGAGAAATAGGAACTGTTGGCTTTTCTTTCAACGTTTTAATTTCGTATTTAACTTCATTCAGAGGAAAATTTTTCGAAGCTTGCATAGACGAATACCAAGTGTAACCTGTCGTGACAATCACGCCGACAGTAACCCCTACCAGACTCGTTCTTAATACAGTTTTCGCCATGGAAGTTTGTTGAATCCTCGAAACACTTTCGTTCCGTCTCGGGCATGTTTGAATAACATTTTTCAAAGAATAAAAATTTCGTGAACTTAATAATCTTAATAGCATTGACATTATAAACAATTAACTATATACAATTTAAAAGAAATTGATTACTATATACGTTGGACAAATATTTCTATAGCGGTTTAATGACATAACATTTGAGTATGTTTTTCAAGGTTATGTTCAAAAATTTTAGTAATTTCCGAGAATATAGTACTGATTAATTTTTAATAATTTTAAATTAGTATTGTTACATTTACGTCTTTTTTCATTTACTTATTTTTACATTTATGGTTTATACAAAATTTCAACTCCCTAAAGTTCTAGATGGGAGAAATAAATCCTATTGATCATCGTATTGTTACTAGACAATAAAGTTACTAGATATATAATTATAATGTTGCGCGGATTTGCAGTTGTTGCGCGTCCGGCGGCGTATTTCCGAAACTTCGTAGGGAATTCGGCGGGGAACGCTGCCCGTGGAGTGCTAAGGCACTCTGCTCCTTGGACGCGGGAGTTTCAAATAATGATCGCTAGGTAAGGAGAATAATAAATTGATACAACGATTTTAACACACGTAATTAGAACTTTAATTGTAAACTTAATAAAGGAAATGTAAGACAATACTACCAGATACGCCGGAATTATTATAACCCGGTCGTACACTCCCGCTCTCTTAATACAAAAATGCCTTTCTCTTTGCCGTTTCAAATAATACTTGTAAGATCTCGCTCCGTGTTTCAAAGTTACGTCCGTTCACTTTGGATCTCCGGATTCAAGTGTCGCTTTGCCGTTCGGTCGAGGCCCAGCCCACACGTAGGCCCCTCCAGATCGTCCCTTCCTTTGTTCGGGCCGGGCGCAAAACTCTCGCACGCGCGTTCCTCGGCACACCCCCGATCCCTCGAGAACGGTTCTCTGCAGCACGTGGCCGTTATCGGCTTTCCCACGCAGCCCGTTTCCGGCTATCGATAGCGCACGGCCCAAGTTCCAGGAATTACACACTTAGGAGAAGGGATCAAAGGGGAGCTCGCGACGATCCAAACATCCGTCTCCAATAAATTATTGGCTAATCTATGACCCGAAGTGAAGTCATTAAAAGAATCTCTAACCACTTTTAAACCTTAGAATTGGCGCGGACTCCACTTTGTCTCCCTTTCCTATTACATTCGTGTAATCTGATTTAAACCTCGCGCCCCCCAGAGCTTCTGCTACACGGCGCCAGGCGGCGACCACAACACAGTAAATTAAAATTCAAGGCAGTAATCAACAGATTCAAGGAAATGTAAACTCAGAAATAGAAATTAAACCTGTGTTGCTACGTCGGGATTCCGTCGGCATTGATGAAAAGGATTTCCCTAGACTTACTCGGTTAGATTTTCCTTCGGAGGCGGCGTGCCGATCTGGCGGTGGATTTCCACGTAGTGGTGGCATCTCTATTGGGATGAGTCGCCACGGTGGCGGCGTTGCGTTTCTTGCGGTAAGGCGGCGTTGCAGGTCGACGGAACCTGAAGGCTGTATTATACAGGCTGCAATGCTGCATACTGTATATTACACAGTGTGTAGACTGTAGCCAGATTTGGCATAATTGAGAGTGTAGACTGAATAGACCGAATGTAAAGAATGTAAATATTAACATGTAGTCTATCTAATTTGTACTTACCTTTAAACTTAAAGTTAAGTCGAATATAAACACTTACATTCTAGTCTGTTTCTATTCAAGCTATTAATATATTTTTATATTTTATAAAGGAATTTGAAAAAGAAACGAAGTCCACAAGGAAATATGGTGGGGGAAATTGCCAATCCAACTCCGGTGTTCATTTACCATACAAAATAGCAATCGGTTTGTTTTTCCTATGTTAAGGTCATTGTTTATATAACAATTACTAGTGAACGAAACGTAAAGAAAACTTTTAAACGATGAAAATATTTTAGGTGTCCATTGAAAAAGTGAATTTAAATAATAATAATTATAGTCTTTACGATATTAAACGTGGAAGATAAAATTAGAGTTCATAGAACAATAAATTGAGGTTATGTGGTGAGACGAGAAGGAATGAATAAAAACAATGAATATCGATGAAGGTTATCAAAATTACAGCGAGAAAAAATATATACGATTCAAGTCGACTAAACAATCGGATATTGATACGAATAAAATTGACGATGTACAAAATCAATTAAGTATTGAAGAACAACAAAGGAGAAAGCAAGGTAATTTAATTGTTCATTTGTTTTTTGGTGACTTCTCATAGCAACTTGGGGCAAATAAAATTGCATCGTTACGAAATTTTCTGGTTCTTTGTTTTTTTTTATGAAATTTGGTCTACTGGAAACATGATCGTTTTAAAATTAACGAAAACATAACCCGACATAACCCTAAATTTACAAAATTCAACCTGTGTTTTGTTAATTTTGTTATATTATATTTCAATTATGCAGCTTAATTACATTATATTGTAATCTACATTTCTTTTGAATGTCATTTTTTAAAAAAAACTTAGAAAAAATATGTTTATTTAGGGCAAATTTACGATACTTTTTATATATAAAATAGATGTTCTTAATAATTATACTCAACACTTCGTATTGATAAAAAGAAATTTAAATTTTAAAAGGAAGCTTAAGACAGAATATATTATTTTATCAAATTCTTTAGTTTTCTTTTTGTAGAGTTAATCGATTTGTGTAAGTAATGTCAGATTGATATCAGAGTAATAAAATTTACAAAATTCAAGCCTTCAACTATCTGTGTATTTTCATTTAAGAATTCAATTTTATCACCTGGAAACTGTATAGTAAATATTATATCTGCCTACTTTTTCCAATATCTTTTCTGTGGCATAATTTCTTTGAAAATCCTTGAAATTTAAATGACAAAGTTTATTGTATCACTTGAGATTAAAAGTTGCATTGTACCTGAGGGATTAACCGTTTGAGTGCCACGTGTCTTTGCTGTTTTCCCGTCCAAAAGTGCCAAGCGGCGCGATAGCGCTTGTCTTATTCCCTCTCCAAGAATGCCAAGGAGCGCTATTGCGCTGTTTTCAGATTTATACAGTAGCTGTAATTGTTTCAATTCATTGTTGTTCTGCCATCTTTCTGAGCGTAAGTACAGATTTATCAGCGTCTGGGTTGCGTCATATAATATAAGAATATAATTTAAATATTTTATTGCATATATAAAAGGTATGTACAGTAAAATTTTCACTATTAAAATATTCACTATTACTATTTTCACTACGGTTTCGCAGCCTAGAGCGCTGGCACTGTTCGAGAGACAGAGGAGAAGCGCAAAATCGCTCCGTGGCACTCAAACAGTTAATGGATGACTGTTTATAGTTATCTAATAGAAAAATTTAAAATTGTTTATAGTCCTCGTCAAAACTTTTTGTTTGGATGAAGCCATAATCCCTTGGCATGGAAAATTAAAATGTAAAACCTACAGGGCATAACAAAAGTAAATTTCGTGACTATGCTAGATCAATTCTACAATCTCAATTTGTACATTACAGTTTTCAATTTAAAATATTTTAAAATATTTTAAATTGAAGTACAACTTAAATGTCAAGTAAAGAAAAGATTTCTATTAAAAATTGAATTGAAGTAATTTTATAAAATAGACCAATTAAGTTACATTAAAATTGTTATAAGCGTTTTTAAATACTATTATTATAATTCAATTCGTTTTCATTGTGGTTTCAGGTGTATCTCTTGCACGATTTTTACAAACAGAGTTAACAAGAGGATATCAGTTACAATATGACGAGGAAAGATTCTCTGCAAGAAGGGAAAAAATTTATTCGTTTATGAAAATCCCTAGAGAAGTTGAAAAATTCATGACCTATGGCTTCCTGCAAGTAAAGGATCATTTTTTGAATATTTTGCATTTTTTTAATACGAATTTTGATTGTTTTTTTCCATGTTGTCTCTCCATATAATTGTTTTAAATAATATTTCACCATTATTTACTTAAATTATGATTTCAATTCTACTTGTACTATACATGTTCTTTACCATATCTTTGACTACTTGTATTCCGAAAATATTTAAAAAAATAACATCAATTCTCTTATCTTCCAAATTTCCTGACTGCCTTCAAATTAAGCCACCTATTTCTGAACACCATCTTAAGTTCCATTGTGATGATCAATTTCTTTTATTTACCACATAATCTTTAAAAAAGTTTTTAAATATCTTTGAATTATAATATTAATTTTGATTTTTATTTCTTTAACAAGTTTTGATGTTTGTCTATATATATTTCTTAAGATAACGATTTTAATTGAATACTAGATCAATTTTATAAACAGAATGTTGTTACCGAATGTATAACAAAAATACAATTTGTTTGTTATAGTGTGCAGATTCCTTTCTCTTTGTATATACATTTTTACCATTAAGATTCGTTATGGCGTTATGGACAATTGTTACAAGACATCTGCGGTCCTGTTTTGGGTAAGTTTATCTTTTAATAAAATATAGAAGTTATACAGGGTGTTTGGCCACTCCTGGGAAAAATTTTAATGGGGGATTCTAGACGCCAAGATAAGATGAAAATCAAGAATACCAAAAAGTTATTAACAATTAAATTCAAAAATTTCAAATCGATCTGGAAATATTATTTTCGGTTGCGGGGGTCAATTACAATCATTTTTGATGAATAGACTTACCCCCGAAATCCTACCCACTTTTCAGAAAAAAATTCGAGAAGGTGTGAAATTTTTCGACGAAAAAAAAAAATTTCAAATCGTTTTGAAAAAATTATTTTTGGTTGCGGGGGTCATTTACAGTCATTTTTGGTGAATAGACATACCCCCGAAATCTTGTGCACTTTCGAGAAAAAATTTCAGTACGGGCGGAACTTTAATCGTTAATAACTTTTTAACGAAGCCTCCATCAACAAATTAGTCTTCTTGATTTTCGTCTTAATTTGGCCTCTAGAATTTCCCATTTTTATTTTGCAATTAAGAGATTCGTGTATCCAGATTCAATGACCTTAAAATATGTTGTCAAGGTCAACGTTCTGATCAATTTTTAAATAAAATTAGGCAACTTCAAGTAAATATCTTATAAATGGCTGAAGTTACAAAAAAGTTCGATAAGAGAAATTTATAAATTATGTGCGGTCCGCGAGTCGCAAATTTCGACAGGCCTGATTTAGAACATTAAATAGTGGAATAGTTTATTTTCCACGGACGCCCTGTACAATCGATGATTCGACCAAGGGACCTGTATTTTACGAAAAAAGTTACTGCTTGCAATGTATTCTGTATAAAATTAATTTATTATCTAGAAAGAAGAGGGGGAGTCTAAGAAACGGAGAGAGGCACTTGAGGCCAGCAGAGATTTGCGACCTTTTGAAAGGAATTCTGGTAATCAGCTGTTGGGCAGCTACGTGGAAGGTCGACACTTCCATGATGTACCATTTAGTGAAGAGCCAATCAGTGATAAAACTGTACATATTTTATAATATGCTGGAAGTTGGCGACAGATTGTTCAGTGCTTTTGGCCAAGATACGATAGATGCCCTCTTGTGGACTGCTACAGAACCTCGATCGAAGACGCAAACTGGGCCTCAACATTTGGGCACTCTGCCTCATTTGTTGTTTGCCATTGCCTATGTTTGTATCCTTTTTATAAAATGTATATTATATACGTATATGTATATTATAGACTCTTGAGTTCTAGTTCCTATACTTTGTTTATATTTTAAGTATTACACAGTGTATTGGTACTTTTTCAAGCAACCACTCTGAACGTCGCGATAAACAGCAGTAACAAAGCTTTACTTACTATAATGATGTCCAACAACGTAAGCAATTTTCAATAATAACTAGAAAATATTTAAGACAATTAACAAGTATAACAACAATATTCAAAACAATTACTTAAACTGCGAAATTCAACTTTTGTCTAGATTAACTAACTAATATTAGCGTGAAGCAAATATTCAACGCAAAAACAAGTAGTTATTCTTGAAGCTTGTTCTGTAGAAAGTTGAGATAAACAATCACAATCGATTCAGTCAGAAGAAAGATTAGTTCTAAAAGACTGTCAGTCACAAATTAACACAAAATTGTTGTCGGTATCTCAATTGGAAACTCTGACTTATCTTCTGGCCTAACGTGTCAATTGGAATAATTGTCCTACCTCTAGGGAAAAACTAGTCTATGACCCATTTAGCTTTAATGAAGAACGCTTCCTCTTCTCTTCAAGTTCTTCCTAAACTAAACTAAATTAGACCACAGATCATAGTAAAGAAGTCTTAATTAGGCTGGCTCCTCCATTCTGTACGAATTACCCAAACAAATCTTTCATTTATCTATTATATGTATATAATTTTAATTTTAAAACAAACATTGTTTCAGTTTGTAGAATTGAAGGGATCCGTTTTTAAGAAATTTGACAAAAATAATCTGTTTCAACTGTCGTGTGCAGACGTAAGGGAACGTTTTCATTTAATGATGCTTCTTCTGGCTGTGAATCTTCAAACAATGAAAGAATATGCATGGAAAGCGGAACGTCTTGCAGTATTATTGCCAGATTGCATTTTGTTACTCTTGGCCGAAATTCTTGTAGATTGGGTATGTAAGAAAAATATAAAATTTTTTAAAACGTTCATTGCTAGGACTTTCGATTGAGAATTTATATTGAATTGTTATATTTAAATAACAAATTTAAATTGAATTTTAATTTTCTGATTCGGTTGGCAACATTTGTTTATTCGGTACTCGCTTGTAGCGAAGAAATCCTTTGAAAACATGTACGAGATGATTCATAACTAATCCGATGAAATATTTTGAATATTGAAAATATTAAGGAATCCTGTTACGTCAAATACGATAGTAATAATTTTGGTTTTTTGATTTCGGTTATAAGTGCCACCGTGCATTAGAAGAATGAAATAGAGATTCTCGAAAACATCGCTATTCGATCGAGAGGTCATAAAAAACATGACACTCTGTAAATCATGTCAAAGTTGCAGAGTAATATTTACTAATTGTAGCAATCCTAAGAAACAAGACGGAGTTTTAAATTGATTATCCGCGATTACCTGGAAAAGAATGAAAACTGCTGTTGTGAACATTCTCATGATTATTATTATTGCAATTATAATGAGAACACTTCCTATAATGTGTTCTCTGAAATTTTTGAGGTTATTAACTAGATTGATGAAAATCGTTCATAATGCAATTAAATGGAAAGTCTTAAAATGTATAAATATGATTCTGAAATCATAACAAATAGTTTTTATGATATATTAGGTTGGGGAAAAAGAAATCCATTATTTTTGCGTGTACTTCAAGACTTTATTTAACATGTTTCGGATTTTCCGATTTGGGTCAAATATGCGCCGTTTTGTTCTATAATTTATTGCCATTTTAAAGGTAGCTTTATAATGCCTCTCTCATAGAAATCTTGGTCCTTATTGGCGAAAAACTCTAGTAACCGATTTTCACAATATTCTCTTGATGCCAATTTCTTATCACTCAGGTAGTTTTGCAATGCGAGAAAAAGATGGTAATCACTTGGTGCCAGGTCCGGACTATATGGTGGATGCATTAAAACTTCTCAACCAAGCTCCCGGAGTTTCTGGCGAGTCACTACAGACGCGTGTGGCCTAGCGTTGTCCTGCTGGAACACAACACCTCTTCTGTTGGCCAATTCTGGCCGTTTCTGGTCAATCGCTAGCTTCAAACGGTCCAGTTGTTGACAGTAGAGATTCGAATTTAGTGTTGGGCCATATGGAAGGAACTCATAATAAATGATTCCTTTCCAGTCCCACCAAATGCATAGCAGAACCTTCCTTGCCGTTAGTCCTGGTTTGGCCACCGTTTGAGCTGCTTCACCGCGCTTTGACCACGATCGTTTTCGCACAATATTGTCGTATGTGACCCATTTCTCATCCCCAGTCACCATCCGTTTAAGAAATGGGTCGATTTCATTTCGTTTGACTAAGGCTTCGCAGATGGAAATTCAATCCATCATGTTTTTTGGTGTTAATTGGTGTAGCACCCAAACATTGAGCTTCTTTTTGAATCCAGCTTTGTGCAAATGGTTTAAAACTGTTTTATGGTCGATCTTTAGCTCCTGGGCGATGCTACAACTACTAACATGTCAATCAACTTCGATTATTTCTGTAATTTTATCGACATTTTCGACGACGGACCTGCCTGTGCGAGGTGCATCTTTAGCATCAAAAATACCTGAACGGAATCGACGAAACCAAAATTGCACGTAATTAGCCGTTACAGTATAGGGACCATAAACACTATTTACAATTTCAGCCGCCTAGCTTGCATTTTCGCCTTGAATTTTCTTTTTCTTGACTTCCATTTTTAACACCCTGTAACTCACAACTGAATAGACCAAATAAAAAACAACAAAAGAAATTTTTTAGTGTGAAATGTCACCTTGCAAAGAGCATAAATCTAAAATTGTTTGATCGATACTTTACGAGATATCGATCACTCCAGACATCTACCGACAAAATAATGGATTTCTTTTTCCCCAACCTAATATACAGTTGAGTAGTTGTTCACAATGTATTGATTATCCTATATTATCTTTTGCAGGTGAAACATGCATTTATAACTCGTTTCAACGAACTCAGTTCAACAGTTTATAGAGACTACACTGTAAGTCTGGCTTACGACATGGCTCAAACGCGTCAGGAAACAGCTTTTTCCGATCCCTCGGATTTGGTGGCCCGCAGAATGGGTTTTATTCCTCTTCCCCTGGGCGTAGCCATAGGAAAAGTGCTTTGTACCACCGTCACACCGTCTATGAAACCGGCGAATATAATTCTATTATTATTGGCGTATCTAATTTTAGTAGCTTTAAGAATTCTAAACAGTTTGGTGATCCTTGGCAAAGCATGCAATTTGATTTCGTTGCATTCAAAAGATTCCGATGGTACTACGTCATCTTCAAAATATTCTTTAATTAGTTCCGACACGAAAAAACCAAATTTAGCTACTGCAATGTTTTCTAATAGTGCTGTCAGTTTGAATAACGTGTGTTTGAATGATACTGTGCTGGAAGAAAAGAAACAAGAAGACAACAAAGAAACGGAATCCAGCAAAGGAATTTCGCAGTAAAGATCGTTTCTTTCGTTGTTATTAATTACGATTAATGAAACATTTTTTAATTCAAAATAAAAGAGTTTTATATACGATTATTCTTGGAATCTATCTGTAATAAAAAAGTACCTTGTATTTACTGGGACTTTGAAGGATTGTCTTCGCAGAATTTAGATAATTATTATTTTGACAGAAAATTTGTTTGAAACCTCGTTCTGTTGTTATTTTGTTTTCTGAACGATGGCTAGTCTTACGTTATTTCGACCCGACTATGGAATTTGTATATTGTTAATATATTATTACAAAAGAGTAAGTAGTAACAATACTATTTACGATACTATAATTAGTTCGATCGATGAACATATTTATTATTAATTAGTTTTTGTTATTGCAATCTACATGCGCGCAAAAAGTATTTGGCGTTATGCGAGAAATACTCTTAGTTGAATATTATTATATTTTTTAATCGGTATAAGTAAATGTAAAAAGAACCGAATGTATTTATGTATTTCGTTCAAAAAGGGGGAATGAATGTAAAAAATTAGGGCATTTTGTAAATAAATAATAGAATTTATGTTTTTCAAGTGTATATCTATATTAGGTATCCAATTACGGGCGTAGCTTTAATCTTATATTTTACCACAAACGAGATATAGGGTTGGCCAGGCGCTTGCGGTTGAGTAGGAATGCGGGTGGGTGGTGTGCCTCTCACCGGGAGGGGCCTGAAAAGTCACAAAGCGGCGGGGTACTCCGTGATGTTTCACTAGAGTTCCCGGTCCCTCGCCAGACGCCTAAGGATGGTCACCGTGGGGTTTTAGGAGTTTTTTTTGGGGGATTTTACGTGCAAAAAAAAAGAAAAAAAAGGGAGTTGGACCCCTCCATGCACCTGTTTGGTTGTCCAGGTGGCAGGGGAGGTGAACCCCTACATGGCGCGCCCCCTGGTGGCGGGTAGAGGAAGCTGCGGGAATGGAGTCATCCAGTCTGAGAGAGTTGATGCCTTGATGGCCGCATGGTATCCCAGAGGTCGGAGCGAAAGCTCCCGCGGACCAAACATCGGTACGAATGAATGTGTGAACGGACTGGGATAAGTTGATAATCGAGGTTGTACCAATGACTGCGGATGGGCCCAGTGGCCACGGTGAGGCCCAGCGGCTGCGGGCGTTGGGTGATCAAATGTTTGCGGTTGAGCGAGGGCGTAGTGGAGGGCAGGAACACTCGTGTCCCTTTCTCCCATCGGGATAAATTACTAAAATTCCCGGGTGTCCCGCCAAGGCGCCATAGGATAGTCACCGTGGGGTTTTAGCCGGTAAGAGTCCATTATTCTTCTTTTTCGATTTCTCGAAATTCCGCGAATTGCCGAGCTCACGTACACGCAGCCCATGCGGGGTAGTATGTGTCTGTTTTTCGTATAACTTCACTTCATATAATTGCAATTTTGTTTTATTTAATTAATAATACTTAAACCTATCTAATTATGCGCTCGATATAAAAGAAAGGTATATTATTTATGTTACTAACGAAGAACTGAAAATAAATACGCCATTTTACTTTTTGGTCGGAGTACGTTTAATTGAAAGACCTATTCAAGAAATATTCAAAAATACACGATACAATAACAACATATAAATGTAAACGACTCTATAACAAAATAAGAGCAAACATATATTGAACATATTGTAGAAAAATATATTGTTTTTATAATAATGTAAAATAAATTAGATTGTAATAAAGGGTGTTAAATATTAAGAATAAAATTATATTATATACAGTTACATGTAATAATTAAATAATTATTAGTGTATGCTTGCTTGCCTATAGTCAAACGATTACACATTTACACAATATTTGTTTTATTTAAAAATTAATTAGTTCATACAATTTTACTTGAACAAACAAAGCAGTCAAAACTAGAGGTAGTCATATTAAAAATTGTGAGAAATCAACAACTTTACCATCTCTAATTGATATTTTCTTCTTCGTCGATGTTTGCTTAAAGGCATACTAAGTGCATAGTAAATATTTTAAACAATTATAACATTTTAAGCCAGTGCTGTCCAATACAAGCTCCGAATCATACAAACGTTGTTTCTTTAACAGGGACACTGACTGATTTTGCGACATGTATGCAAGCATTATTGAAACATAATATGGCATATATGGAGACAAAGCTGCGTGAAAGAATCTACTCGTGGGCAGCACTGGCTGAAACAATTATTTTATATATTTACATCATAAAGCTGCAATGAAGATATCACATGTGAATATAAAAAATAAAATTTTGTACACATTACACTATACGAATAACACATGTTTCTCAAATAGCCATAATTATTAAACTAATTTTTTGACTAGTTTCATGTAAAAAACACTACTTTGCTTGAACTTAAATATCTACAAAAAGAAATGTTTTTTAATATTTGTGTAATAAACAGTAATAGACAATATAAAATTAAAACGTACATTACTCAATTAAAAGATGCAAATATCTTTGTTTGTAAAGTTCTGTTGTGAGTACACCTATAACTGTAACTGCATTGTGTAGTGAATTTTCAGAGTCTCTGATCAATCTGATTGAACGCTCTATGTTTCCTTTAAGTTCTACATATTGCTTGCTTAGTAAAAGGTTTTCTAAAGTCTGCATAGCTTTAATTGCTTCTGTACTAGGTCGAATTTCCATTGAATCCTGATCAGTTGTTCTTAAAGGTGCTACTCCAGGTGAATTAGGAGTGAACCTCACTAACTGTTGTTCCGATTTTGACTCGGGTAATTGTGCCAAGCAATATACACCTATTGCGCGACTTAAAAATTTGCACCTAAATAAATATAAAATATATATTTTGAACTAAATTCAATCGAGCAACAGTGATTTTTCTGTGCTTGCTATAACGTGGTACAGTCTTTAAGCAAATGTTAACTACAATCTTTAACTAGAAAGGACAATGTTAAGTCATAGAGGGGTTTACTGACCCAAGAGCGTACAGCATATGCTATACACCGTTGGAAAGGTCTCGCCAAGGCGAATCGACTGATACCATTTTTAACTTCGATATCACATGGGATAATGTCGAAAAATGGCCTCAAAGTTCGAGATTTTGCGGTTTTGAACAAAAGAAACCGGTAGTAAAAGCCCATCCGGCCCGAGGGACCTCGGGTAGGCACCTGAGGAAAAACCGAGGGGTGTAAGCGATACTCTAGCAGATTGGGACGGCAAATGTGCCCCACCACCTTCATTTCAGTGCCGTGTTGGGCCTGCGTTTGTCGCATGGGCCCCGTTCCAAATGCCCAGGGCGAAATCTCCAATGGATCAGTTGTTTTTCATGAACATAATATATTCATGATAGACGATTCGCAGGTATGAGTTGGGAATGTGCAGGTTAGTATTCAGTATTCACATCATTATGTTTCGTTCAATCAATAAAATGTCACTCCATTCACTATTGTAAGTGACGCATTAGTCTGAATACTAATCTGCACATTCCCAACTTATACCTGCGAATTGTCTACCATGAATATATTATGTTCATGAAAAACAACTGATCCATTGGCGATTTCGCCCTGGGCATTTGGAACGGGGCCCATGCGGCAAACGCAGGCCCAACACGGCACTGAAATGAAGGTGGTGGGGCACATTTGCCGTCCCAATCTACTAGAGTATCGCTTACACCCCTCGGTTTTTCCTCAGGTGGCTACCCGAGGTCCCTCGGGCCGGATGGGCTTTTACTACCGGTTTCTTTTGTTCAAAACCACAAAATCTTGAACTTTGAGGCCATTTTTCGACATTATCCCATCTGATATCGAAGTTAAAAATGGTATCAGTCGATTCGCCTTGGCAAGACTTTTCCAACGGTGTATAGCATATGCTGTACGCTCTTGGGTCAGTAAACCCCTCTATGACTTAACATTGTCCTTTCTTTTGACATCAAGATTGTACATATTTTGGTTTGTCTCAGTCTTACTATTCTAACCATCGACTTTTTCACTTACTTAATAGAGAGTAGTGATCCTTTTCTTAGGCCAATAGCTCCTAATATATCCCACCCTTGTCCTCCATCATCAGCCACTGTTAACAAAATACGTGCTAAACCTTTAAGAGCTCTAGCAGCAATAACAGTATTTTCACTGTATTGACATTGCCTGTATGCTAGTTCACAGGTTTTAGCCCATAAGAGAGGGAGTTTTTCTTCATTGGTATCTCTAAATAAAGAACAGTTCATGAAACATAAATGTATCGGTATATAAATTTATATAATTACCACTTACGTTGGTCTCACAGCAGAAATCAAATCAACCAGATTTGTAAGAAGCATTCCTTCTTCTTTGATATCTTGACACGTCGGAAGTTGTTTTAATAAAATAGAATATAGTGCAAGAAGTCTTCCTTCGGAAACAAATACTGTCTCCGCTGGTGGTTGGCGAGGTACTACTGATTGCAAAATTGTCAACACCGAAGCCCATGTTGGTTGAATTTGTTCAAATACTGGTATAAATCAGAATGAAAAGTATAATTACATAAAATGAACATATTATCGATTAAAAGGTTTTTTAGTTATTGTAAAAATAATTCTTCAAAATTCATATATAAGTACGTTCTTTACACGGATTTTGTTGAAATATTTTACTCATGTTAATGAGTTATTTTTGTAAACTTGATAAAAATAATAATTTAATTATTAATAAACATTACTTAAACTTTTATCTTACGTACAATTAAATTTAAAATATGCTTCCAATCCAGCCTCCATTACTTCTCCAAGGACAGATGTTGAAGTAATTGTTATAGTTACAACTCTAAGTACACCTATGAGAATTGGACTAGTAGTTGTTCTCTTCAAAAGCCACGAAGCCCAACTGGTACAAAGATGTTTCATAAGATGTCCACTTTGATTTAGAGCGTGAAGCAATTCAGTTATTAACAAACTTGCTTCTCCAATTTGCTGTGATTCTGAAACAGCTGAAAAATATTTGATATTTCAATTAGTAACTATTATAAAATAGAATTTCTGATATACAATAAATATTGTACTCACTATTTAGAATAACAGCTTCCATTTCGTCCAACATTCTTAATAACGTACTAGTAAATAATTCTGGATTTGAAGATATTAGAGACTTGTGCCGAGTTGCAGAACTGATTAATAGTTTTACCGACGCACGAACGTACATTTGTTTCTTTTTCAATGTAGTCGGATGAAAATGAGTCACAAGAGGATCATAACCTGCTGCTACCTTTAACAAACTATCATATACAATTTACTAAACAACATACAATATATCCTTACAATTAAACTAATATATTTAAATCATACATACTTATTCACAGCAACATCTACGGGATGACATTGATCATTGTCAACATAAATGATAACTCTTGGATCACAACTTATAATGTACCAATTAATTATTTGATCGTATGCGCTCGCTTCTAGTAAATGCCATGAAAATTTTTCAGCCTCGGTAACTAATTGAATTGTCCTATCATTCTGGAATATGACATGCTTTACAATCTTCAACAAGTTTTTTTATACAATTCACTATTTCAATATAAAGACAATGAAGAACAATGTCCATTAACTCTGATTTCTATGAATATTTTTTTAATTTACCTGTCTAACATTGGGTTCGTTGGATAATTTTACAATTAAATTTAACAAACAAACGTGCATTCTTGCTACAATAGGCAATGGCTGTGTCGCTAGAAAGTCGTTGATCCAAACTGACCAATTTAGGCATGTAAATATACTCCCAAGAAATAAGTGACAATCTGGTAAATATTGATCAATCACTTTTATCATAAACTCTATATCAGTTATACTCGGATAAAAACGATCCCATGGCAATGACAAAAGATTACCATGTATGACATTTAAAACATGATTTTTAACAGAGGCGTGTGCAAAATTAGTGACATAAAACTGCCAAACAAAGCAAAGAATCTTGCTGGATGCTGGCAATGTATCAATAATAAAACGAATACATTCAACAAACATTGCTACTATTTTGTTAGCATAGGGACCATCTGTAACAATCCAAGGTAATAAAACAGATCTGTCGTCTGTAAGTTGTTGAATCCACGCGGCAGTTGGTTCCTTTAAATTTCGTGTCCAATATGGCGTAATCCAAGGTGCATACATTTCACTTAAAACAGGCCATATTTTCTCGCATACTGTAAATTACATAATAGAATTAATACGTTAAATAATACTTAATATAAATTTTAAATACTTACATTGATCTCCTAAAGATCCTCTATCAGATTGTAGTGTAAGTACAACAAGAGCATGACCTACCATACCAAGAAATATCGTTAATGGTTCGTTGTAAACTCTGTATTTTGGATATAATCCATAAAGACCATACTGTAAACGCTCTTGCATGAAATGTCTACACAGTAATACGGCTGTATCGTGTATCTATGATAAAATGAATAAATATACATTAATTTTAAATTTACTAGTAAATCATAATGAAGGTTGAGAAATAAAACTTATAAAGCGAAGTTAACTGAACAAACAAACCTCTTGCCGAGAAAGAAGCCTTTGATCAGTAGCATAATGACGAATGTCATCCCTAACTTTGGATGATTGAAATGAAATTGCATGTTTTGGTTTACCACTAAGAGTTCCTAATAAATCTCGCCATACATTTAGCGATAAATTTTGACTCTCGCTACTTTTTAATATGGCGCTTAAAACTTCGCCATAGTGTTCAGGAAATTCGTGTAGTAAAATGAGTCGTAAATGGTTTCTAAACATCTATAAGAAAATTTATATTATCAATGGCGATTACTGTATAGAGATATTATAGCCAATTATAATATCCATTACAAGTTTATGTATAATATGTACCGGTTATTATGAAAGTGGCTCCAAGTTATATATTTCCCATTTCAAAATAATTAAACGTTTTCGTTTGACCAGGTCAAAAAATATTTTCCATCATGATGCAAAATGTATTAAAATTAAGCACTCTGCTATTGTGATATTTATTTAAGATCGTTAAATTTTATGAATAATTTGTTTGAGTGATGTGTTTTGAACAGTTGAATTACTTATGTCACTTTTAAAATTAATAGTATACCCTAGTTAATGACTTACAAAAATAAATTTTTAAAAATATTTATTTATTTTTAGAATTTTTTTGTGGTTGTAACTTTATAATTACTTTTTCAACGAATTTTTAAAATATTCGTGATGAATTGGCGAAAAGTAAGATAATTATCCATTAAAATCTTTATGCTTTTCCTTTGTCAGGTGCTTTGCAGTAGTAAATAATGGGGACAACTGTATACTATAAAATAGAAATTCCTTTTCAGGATCCATTGAAGTTTTATTATACATTTTACGTGGAGCTTCGTTTATAAATCGTATTCATTGTACTTTTAACCAGTTAATTGTCATCTGTTAGTTATTGTTTTTATAATATGACAATGTTACTTTTTCTGCACCTCGCATCGGGGAAAGATATGATGATTTAAGCCACTAGTAAAGTAAGCATGAAGATGTAGCAGATAATAATGAAACTGACAATATTACTTTATTCCTTATTTAGGCCACTTTCATAATAACCGGTTCATATAGTATTGAAAATGAAGTTTATTCTAAACGAAGTACATAAATACCTCGTGTAAAATCAATTTTTCTTCGTCCGGATTAAAACCTAGATTACAAAGAGCTCTGGATACTAAATCTATGAATGTCGATCGTTCACTCAACCTCGGACGTCTATAATTTAACCAGTTCGCAACATCGAACTAAAATAAAAATGAAAATACATTACTGAAAATATATGTCATATAAATTGCAAAAATATTAGAAAAATTAAACATAAACACGTGTTACGTGTATTGCAAGTAACGTACCTTTGATAATAATACGAAACAAAGATCATCGTTCTTGCCAGTAGAAAATTTAACAACCGTTTCATACATTTCTAAAAATTTCGAAGCACCGCCAGCAACAGGTGTAAAATGTGGTCCAAGTGAACTGCCAAGGCTTGGTCTCCTCATTAAAGTGTCTAATAATTGTGGACCTTGACTCTCCTCGCCGCTGATAAATAACTTTTGAAATATTTACATTAATAACGTGCCAATTAAGAATATATTTTTCTAGATTTCGTAACACCTACTTGCTGTAATTTTTCTATACAAGTAGTAATAGCTTGTTTCGTCGGTGGGCACAATGCTGCTTCTTCTGTGTAATATTTGATGAGATGATAAAATAATTTAACACCGCTTTCTTGAATCGCGTACAGTCCTACCGGGCTTTCACTGGTTCGACTAGAAGTTACTTCATGTTCGAACATTCTGTAAAAAAATAAAAATTTTATATTCATATTGATAGAAACCTCAATGCGACCAACAAAAGAATTATCATTATACTTACATGATTATATAGTCTAAAAAAACACATCCTTGAATGACTTTACTAGGTGGCGGCTGACTTGCCTTTATTAATAAATTTTCATACTCTGCTCTATTTTGCCTTATCACGTCATCAATCCCCTCATTAACGTGAGCTTCGGCTACCTAAATATTAAAATACCATATAAATAATCCAGAATAATATATTCAGAGCAATAATACAAATTCTAGTTAATAATTCATCTAAAATTACCTTAATCGTAATCACTGCTGGACCGGCACAATGAATAGTAGGTGGTGTTCCTAATCTAGATCGTGTTTGGCCTGAAGGTGCTGGATCGCATAATGCATGCAATACTACTTGATTTTGAATTTCCCGATAAAGTTTCGGTACTAATTCCAAAAAACTACAATCTACCGCTCTGTGTTCAGAAATCATTAAATTATATGTTTGAGCATATTCTAATAAATGTCTAAGGTGTGGCTGTACTAAGTCGATGACTGTATTGCAGTTGTATATGTTATGTCTATGTACATGATGAAGAATTGTTTGATTTCGATTTAAAAGTGGCGGTGGAACAGGCCGTTCATATGTTGTCAATTTTTTAAAAATTCTTTGCAATGGATCAGATATTTCTGACGATGCAATTGCTGTATCTATTCCTTTTTGGTTCTGATTTTCTCTATCTCTGCACCACATACGTTCCCATTCTTGGACCGCGTTTATTTGGTTTTGCTGTACCGTCCAATAATCAACATATTCTAACCATGGAGTCTACTCAAACAAATATTATACAAAATGTTACATTCTCGTATATTTACAATTGAATTAGGAACATTTGTATCTTACCCAATCATCTTGAACAAGTAATATTAATTTTTGCGACATGTATTGCGGAGGTAATGCTGGCAAATAAAGACCTGGCTCTTGCAATCTTGGTTCCTCAAGCCACAAACTTAATGTTTTATAAAATCTAAAAAAATACAATTAAAGAGTTTTCTCCAAAATTTGTTATATCAATTATATTTTAATACTACATACTTTGCTGCATTAAAATAAAATATTCGTCTCTCCTCAGTAATTGGTTTCCCATCATCCAAATCATTTTCTCCTTTTAACTGAAAATATGTAGTAGTATCATGTAGACGTTTCTTTAATTTTTTCAAGTAACTTAAATTGATCATGCCTTCAAAGAATTTTTCACCAAGTCCTCCATGATTAGTAGTTCTGAAAAGATAATAAATTGTAATTGGAGTATGTAAGACATGTAAAACTGAGAGAACCATGTGAAACTGTAGAATCATATCCTATAAAAAAAATCTTTTGTTGCCAGTCAAGTCCGAAATTGGTCAATTTCTACCATTGTCCTTTGTCTTCTATCAAATAAAACAAACCCTAGTGTCGTCGGAACTCTGGCAAGAAATAATGCAAAAAAATTTTGCCATAAAAGAGGAAGAATGGGATGATCCATAGAAGTATCTAGTGCTTGTTGAGACCAACGATATATAAATAATGCATTATCCCCAAATGGTTGCATTTTTACTGTGGCACAAGCTCTCTGAAAAAAAATACTACGTGAAAAATAGGAACACTTAACAAAATGACATATATATATTTGTCTAAATATTACAAGTACGTTATATTTCGCGAGGCAAACCTTAATAGCAGTATGCAATGATATTTTAGTCTGTGTTGACAATTCTTGTAAAATTTCACGCCATAGACCGGTTTTAATTTCTCTATTAAATTGTTCAATTGACAATACTTGATAAGCAACCCAAATTGATTGTACAGATCCACCCAAAAGGCTTGTTGAATTTAAGGAACCGGTAGCCCAATTTAAAAATGATCCAAACGATGCTGCTATATTCCAATTGGAAGTGGTATTCTGAAAGTAATTAATTACATTCTAGACTTCTTGTATTTTAATCAAATTTACATGTATAAGTTCGATTTGAACGATTACAAAAGAAAAATCTTGTGGAAGAAAAATATTTTTTGCAGAGTAACTTTTTTCTAGTTTTTTTTCAATATTATTTATGTAATGTTATATATAAATTTTATTTGATCTTACAGAAAAAAGACTCTGAAACGTATTCTCCACCGTTGCTTTTGCTTCTGGATCGAAAAATGCAACACTAATCACAGTATCCATCAAATACATTACACTTTGATCTTTATTCCAATCTGGTACAAGCAGTAGTATATTCAGCCACAGATGTACAAAATCCTTGGAACTTTTTAAACAATATCTGTGATAATAAATGAATCAATTATTATTTAATGAAATATTAAAAAGAATATAATCATTTACCTTTTAAAATTATACAAATGTGAGTGTATCATGTTTGAAAAATGTTTCAATATTGTTCCTGGAAATTCTGTGGCTATAAAACTTTTAACCGTATTCATGTAGGATTTATCGGCCGCAATTAGAGACATAATTAGACTATTAAATTTCTGATTTTTTAGTAATGATTCGGGACACTCCAAAAACAATGGTATAATATGATGTAAACATACAAGAATATGTTCGTATTTACAATAGCTCTGTAATATCTGCAATTGACTGAAACCTTTTAAACATATTAAAGGTACAGAGTGACCCCATAACGTCATAACTGTTGCTACATAGCATGCTATCGGTTGTTTTTCTCGTGTACCAATTGCTACAATTTCTAAATTTGCGTCAGTACCCATATTAGGTATAGAAGTTAATGCTTCTGAAGGATTCATTAACGTATGTTGACAAATTGCTTCGTTTTGATCAAGTTGGTGTAATCTAAGTTTAGAAATCATTTCCCATGTCCATAATGAAAAAGCATGTTCAGTATTCTGAGGCCTTATTATTGACGAGACCTGTAAATTGTTATTTATTATAAAGAAATTTAAAAAATTCATTTTATGAAGCATATTTCAATATCAACCTACCTGCTTAACACCTTCCACTAATAAAGATACAGGTTGGATGGAAACATCAGGTACATACTTCATTGTAAGTTCAACAATTAGTAATGCTACACGTCTATGTAAACCAATGGGAAGGTATAAATTACCATTCCTGTTACAAATACATACATTACATTATTAAATGTACATGTTTACACACATATTGAATATACCAGAATTATAAAACAATCCAAAGCATACAAATTTTCTATGTCAAAGGATACCGAAAAATCTTTTTTATTTTACAATATGAAGTTTTGTTATCGAAATCAAAATGTAGAGCAATGAATCAACTTGCAGAGCACCTTTTAGCCTTAATGTAGTAGTAGCAAATTGCAAAAAAATATTTTTCAATTTTTACTGATACATTAGTTAAAACCTAAAACACCCGTGGTCAAGTCATTCTCGTGCCGCTATTTACTGTATATTCAATTTTATACAAAATGAATAAAATTTGTATGTATTAGATGCAATAAATGCAATTCACAGAACTGATGGTGTGTTTACTTTATATGAAATAAAACAAAATATAATATAATAGATAGAATAAAATAATAATATAAAATAAAACATTTTTTTGCAGTATATTTGAAATTGATACATTATGTAATAGCATAATAACAAAACCTCAGATTGCAATATTGTAAAGGGTTTTTTGTTTTCTTTTAACGTAAGAAATTTCTACTTATAGAAGTAAGAATTATAAGAAGTTAAAAATTATGTGTTTACTTATCAAAACCCCAATTCAAATGGGTAAGAACTAAACGAGCTAAATAATTCTCAGTTGATGACAATGGGTATTCATGTAACCATCTTGCAAGAATTACTATATTTTCTTCTTGTGGAATCCATTTGTCTATTTTTAATTCAGTAAATAAATATAAACTTAGCTAAAATTAATAAATTTGAAGTTAATTTAGGCATCTGTTACTTACGAATAAATGTATAACAAAATTTTATAACGGAGTATTTTTACCTTTCCAACTGATACAAAGTTATCTTTTAGTTTCTGCAAAATATCTGACAGAAGTGAAGGATATTTATTTGTTAAATTTGATAAAAGAGTGCGAGCATCTTTTGAACACGAGTCTTGTGTTTTTTCACTGAGAAAGCCGATCTATAAATCACGATTATTGATGGAATTATTCAATACTTAAAGCTTGTAACGCAATAAAACTTATTTAATATTTAAAACTTATAACACAAAAGTTTATACGTACTTGAAATAAATCCATCGTCGTTGCTCTTACAAAGTCATAATCTTTATCATCTCTAGCCATAGCCATATTAGCAAAAGTCGTTAAAAGATAATACGATTCATCTCCTGGTATATTGCTTAATTTTTCTTCAAATTTTTTACGAAGTTGCGGACAATTTAATTCATTTTCCCAATCTTTGATGTTATCAAAATATCAAAATTCATATTTGAATTTATTATTTTTTTATTTTTTTTATTTCATAGCTGTACTTACTCTGTAGAGATATACTAGCAGTATGTATATCTGTTTGAACAGATTCAGTATGTAAAATATAAAAAATCTGCCACAAAGTATTCGAAGATATTAAATTATATGGAACAGCAGCTAAATATTGCCATGCGCCTAAACGACGCGATGAAAATATACTAAGAATTGCTCTCAAAAAAAAACAATCAAATTCAATTTGAAGTTTTGGCAATGTTGATTCGTCCATAATCTGCAAAATTAAAATTTAAGAATTTCTAACATTATTCTACGCAATAATAATATGATATTACCTGACTTTTATCAAATTCTTCCCATTGGTCGCTAGCATACTGCACAATATCTTTGATTAATGCACATAGTCGTTTAGCTAATTGTCTGTATCTCGGGGAATTATATGTTTTTATACCTTGTTTTAAAATTTTAACAACAATTGTAAAAAATGCAAACATTCGAAACATATAATGATGAGTAATACAATTTTTGTTTTGATGGTATCTATCATTTTGATACCGGATGTACAACACATGTTCAAATACTTTGTTAAAAGGAATTTGATTTAATAATAAAATAAGATCATTTTCAGATAGGTTTGCTCCGATATTAGCTAGATCTTCATCTTCTTCTCCTTCTTCATCCAACATTACCCAAACTGAATCACCAAGACTACATGCTGTATCTTGTAATGACATTTGTACCTAATTAAACCAAATTTTATTGTATATATATACTATATGTAATATATATTACATATCGAAATTATTTAAATACCTGTTCGAGAAATGTATCTCTATCTTTAATTGGTAGTAGAATAACAGCTAATGTAGCTATTATATGGTTTAAGTATGGATCATTCAATGGAGATGTACTTAATTTATTAAATTGTTGTGGTACCGGCATTTGAACATAACTAGATGCCCAATTCATTACACCACCAGGGCATCTTAGAATATGATTCAATAGGAATAAATGATCTTGCCAATTTGCCATTCGCAATAAAATTGCCACTAGTTTCGTCAACCAGTCTCTGGTATCTGTTACAAATTTTCCATCTTTTAATAATTTTCTTTGAAAAGTAAACAATATAGTTATGCACATTTTAAGTTCCACTAGTTGTGGTAGTATTTGTAGAGGCGTGTCTACTGGCATTAGATTTACAGGTGCATTTTGAGGAAGATCTGTAAATTCTTTACAAGAGATACATACTCTTTTAATATATTGTTCAATTTGTAATCTCAATAATTCAACTTCGTAAGAATATAATGCTTGAGTATTATGTAACATGTCCTTTATTGTTGATAAATTTCGAGATAGAATTACTAATGCTTCTTGATTAAAATGTGCAACAGAATATTCGTGTACTGCGGTAACTGGATTTCCATCTTGACATTCCCCTGTTTCTGTAATATAGGCTTTTTCCAAACACCATAACTGGTTTTGTGTTTGTCTACATGTTTTTTTTAAAATTTCCAGTTCGTGTGAATTGATAATTAAATGATTTCTTACACGAAGATAACTCTTTAAGAGTTCGTGTAATGTATGTTGCTGTCTAATTGTATTACTTTTAAGTTGCGTTTCTGTAAATTCTGAAATAAACGAATCAACCAATGCCAACTCTTCGTTATTATACAGTGATGCTATCTGGACGTCCGTAAAAGGTACAATTTTTTTAACAGTGGTATGTATGCCATCTGTGGTATCTGTAATAGATTCTGACGGTTTTTCTGTTTGTTTGTCACATGTCAAACTCTTTGAATCTAATGTATTCAATGTAGATTGCGGTAAATTTGACACTGCAGTTTCATTACTAGGAACTACAGTATCAGACACAGTATCTACTAGTTGCATTGTAGAGATTAATGTCTTAACTGTCTCCTCTTCTTTTTTTAAGGTATCTTCCAATGGTGCAGAATCTTTTATTTCATCCTAAAATTGATTTAAATATATCTATTAGAATTATTTCCAATAAAATAACAGCATAAGAATGATAGGTAGAGGGTAGATGTAAATTCTTATAAATACATGTACATATATATCATAACCGGGATTTTAGAAAAATAAGTGAAACAATTTATAGAAATATATACAGAGCATTATTGTTATATAATAATAATTAATTTATTTTTGTAATTGATCCAATAATAAAGAATAATTTTTTTTATTGTACATATATTATATAACTAAATGTCATCCAAATTATGTCGTGTTTTATCTTATTTTAATGAAGAAGATATAAGGAATATATTTAAAAAAATTACATTAAAAATAAATAAAAAATAAAGGTTTTGTTATTGTATTAGTAATGTGGTTTATATCTTCTCATCCAACATTCGATTGCAGATCAAATTACTAGTTGCAAACAACATGTGATCAGTATCGAGAATATTCCTAGTCTATTTTCTCAAAAATAAAGCCTTAACAAAAATAATGTTATTCTATATTTTCGACTTATTTTTTCACGTAGACTATCCTTCTTGGTTATACTATTGGTGCTAGGACACCCTGTAGTGTTGATCAAATTTAATGGTATGAAATTGTTTCCACCATTGGGTCACCAAGTTAAATTAAGTAGCTTGTAAAATATAATTATTAAAAAACAAAGAAGTTAATAGGACTGACTATCCTGAGTGGTACACCTCTAAATAAAAGACTATCATATTGAAAGTACTAAAAAAAATACCTTATTAATTGGTACTGATGAACTATGTGCCGATTCTTGCTTAGTTTTTTCAACAGTTTGTTGTTCATAGATCTCTGTATCAATTGAAGCAGATTGTAATTCACTTTCCATGTTTTCAATACCGACACCCTTAGGAAAATTTGTAGGAGATTCTCCAAGCAAACATTCAAATTCTTCCAATGTCGGAGCATCTGGTATTTGTTGTTCTATACTATATTTCTTAGTTTTATTTTTTCCTTTCTTCTAAAAATACATATATACGTTATTATGGCATGAGTACTTTATGTAGAAAAATAAAATTCTTAATAAATGCCACAAAATATGTAGATTAAATCACAATCATGTACAATAGTTAATTATGCAAATAGGGTTATTTTCTTTCAGTACAATATTTGTATTAGAAAACGAGTAATGAATTTACGAATAATTGCAGTCAATTTAGTAAAAGAAAGACAACAAAGATAATTAATTTTTACCTGTTGTTTTAGTACTTCCATACTTCATAAATATAGGTATAGAAGTAAAAGACCAAAATTTCTGTTAATGTTCTCTTTATATGTGAACTTTGAACGTTACATAGCATGTAAGCATAAAGTAGAAAAGCGTAAAAGAATTATTTATCATACAACAACAAATTTTTGTTGTTCTATTTTACATGACAGTGGTAGTATTGGTACTCTGAAATCCATTGTTGTTCTTTGTATAATTTATTACGTGTCACAGAATATTGAGATTCGAAATCTATCGATTCTCGTATAATGTAGTACCATAATATTGTTCTTCTTCGTTGGTTAACTAACTTTTTAGTTATCTGATCATGGATCAAAATTCGTATCTAAGACGAATATACTGTCATTCATTAGTAAAAACTGAATTATATACTAAATTATATACAACCTGTATTTCCAAGCTCTTCTTTCCTCTTTTTACAATACTTCTATTATTTTTAACCTTTTAGGTAAAAACTATATGTTTACACGTAATATTCCAACAAATGAAAACAGTTGAAAGATAACTGTCACATTCAGTGTTACCAAACGATAGACCGGTGCTCGAAGGAAATTACCACATCACTTACACACACTAATATAGAACCACGTGTACGTGAGCTTTGGCACTTCGCCCAACTTCAAGAAATCAAGAAAGAAGGGGAGTGTGGGTTATTCACATATTACTGATGCTCTTGGCAATCAGTAAAGTCGAACAGTGCTTTAAAAGATTTTGTTTTAAAAAAATCCTTTTCCTTAAGATATTCCGGATGGGATTCATCTGATTCATGAAGATCTCCGCGCGAATGGAGATTTAAAAATATGCGACGGTGAATTCACACAAGATTCTAAGTATTTAAATGTTGCTATTTGGCCAATAGCTCCAAAAACAACGTTCCACGGGAAAAATACAATTGATATTACCATGTATACAACAGCTAGAATATCTAACAAGGGCTACAATATCTTATCAATGATGCAAATGATGCATTTAAATATTGTAATAAGTAGTTACAAATTCTGTAAAACAACGGACGAGCGACGTCTGCTTAAGGCCACCACAGTTGTCCTGATTGAAAAATTTTAAGCCGTTTCCCTGTAACTTTTAATTCACAAGTGGTATACGTATAATACCGCCGATTTCCTATATCTTTTACAATCCATACTTGCCCGTAACAAGCCATTATCTCGTACCCAATTAATAGCTATTTTGGACGAATTCGGTAAATTAGCAAAATTCCATACCCAAAACATAACTAATTTGCGTAAAAGTGGAGCCGTTTGCGGTGTAGGCAAACAACTAAAATGTATAGTAGTTTACCTTGCGAGCAAAAATAATTAAACAAACGAAGGTCTGAATACATCATCTGGTCACAGACGAGATATATGAATAGACGTTTCACCTTATGGACTTTCGCGGCCGAATCTGACTGTCATACCGACCTGAAAATTCGTAGCTGATTTTAGCGGCCTCTTCTCATGGATGGCGGTTAGTTGAGAAACTAGGCACTGAATTAGTATTGATGGGCAGCCAGCTGAGTGTGTACGTAAATACATGTGAGTTGATTATGGGAGGGATTGGAAAAGACAGTGGAGTATTATCAGACGGCAGACCCGTGCCGAAAGGGAACTGCCCCACCACTCACACACACTAATGCCAACCACCTTGTATATGAGTTCTGGCGTTTCGTATAGCTTCGTAGATTCGAGAAAGGCGGCGAATGTCAGTCTATCCTTCTTGCTCTCAACACAGCTGAAATTCGATCTCGCATATTCTCGAGCCGAGATTCTCGACTGCCTAGGCATTCTTGACTTTCCGACCTGTGTAGGCATATACAATGTATAAGCAATATACCATAATGAAGAAAAAAATACAAAAATTTGTTTTTACGGAAATACACGTTTTAAAACGATAATATTTTATGAACATATTTTAACCCTTTGCACTCGGTTGTCCCCTCTGAGGGGACATGAAAGTTTATTAGTGATTAAGAAGAATGAACTGATTTCACCGCAATTTTTTAAGAAACACATGTTTTCCTGTACTTTCCTATTAAAATGGGAAGTATTCTATTAAAATGAGAAATATATCAGCCGTTTTTACGTTGGAAGTGGAAGGATTGTCGAGGATGGTCAGAGGCGTATGGTCGGATTCAAACACGTGGACAATAAACGTAACTATATAAACTATATTATTTAATGTTTACTAAAATTATTTAACATAAAGAACATAAAACGTAAACGTAAAAAACTATAAACGTAAAATCGAAACTTCATTCAAAGTCGGACCATTCCTATTGCTATCTTCGTTATAAATAAATTAACGTTTTTTGTCGGACAATAGAATGAATAATAAGCTACATATTCCAAATGTAGGCCAAAGAAACCGGGACTGCATTATATGTTCCGACAGGAAAACACCAGGAGAAAGACGTCAAACAACATTTTATTGTGAAACATGTATAAATCAACCTGCTATGTATATTGGGAATTGTTTCAGAATTTACCATACCATAGAAAATTATGAGAAATAAATTTTTATTTTGTATTGTAAATATGTGTTCTTCAATGTCCATAAATACATATAAACCAAATTTCAACACAATGCCTTACTTGGTTCCAAAGTTGTACCATATATCACAAATATCGCTGTTACTACAATGAATTCTATCTACACTTACGTGCCTGTTATATATATACGACTCGCCGATTGTTGACAAAAAATCTGCAGTATGTATACGACTCGCCGATTGTTATTGTTTCTATAGATACATCGAGGCGGCCGGCAATGAATGCGTATAACAGCTGTGCTTAAAAACTCGATTTGTGTAGCCGGCCGCCTAACGGCGGCCACGCATTCATTTTCTATTTCAATTTTCTTTATTGATATTATCAGAAGTGGGAAAGATTTCAGCCATTATTTCGACAAATTTAATTATTAGATCATTAGCATGATATTGTCGACGGAAGAAGAATTCAACTAAATAGCCCTACATAATGTATTTGGCGAGTTCCATACGTCAGAATATTCGAACCTTTGACAACAATGCAGAACTAGATTTAGCTCGACACATTATACATTATTTGTCGTCGGTTGTCATGCCGACTAATACAAACAAGAGAAAAAAGCAACGATCGTGGACTGATGCAATACAGAGCCACAGATATGTACATATAGACAGAATTCATTGTAGTAGTAGCGATATTTTGAAGAAAAATCTCGGAAACTAAGGCCGAGCGACGGTTATATGTATAGGAAAAAGTTGCTCAAAATGTTGATTTCTACAACATATTCAAAAATCATCGAAATCGGTGAGACCCGGCCTTTTCTAAATAATTACCTCATTTTCTTTCAATAATTCTCCATTGCAAAAATTCTACAGTATTCTTACATTTTTTTATATTTTAAAATTTTCCCATGTTATTAGAAAGTAGATATACAACGAAAGTTATACAATTTATAGTTCCTAGCATGTATAACATGTATATGTATATAACGCATGGTCGCTTCGTATGGAAAGTCAATGAATCTTCAAAAAGCGCCCAGGTCCGATTTCGAGAAATGTAAGGTCTGTCAGTCACGATGGCTTTTGTCGTTTACTGACGATTCGAACGGTTGGCGATGCCAGGCTTGCTTTCGAGAAATGTAAACGACGTCAGCGATGCAAGAGCGAGAAGGAAAGCGAGTATCAGCCTGTTCTTCTCGGCTCTTCCGAAACTCAACGAGCTCACGTACACGCAATTGAGCATAGTGTGCGAAAGCGAGGAATGAGGAGTTTCCGGGGCCCCGATGCAAAGTCTGATTAAACTGATTTCGAGTCGCAAATACGTTTCTGCCGAGTTATTTTTTTAATAAATGATGTATTACAATTTAAAATAAAAAATAGAGAATTTGCGGTGTACGTATCAATGAAATACATCCTTATGAATTTTAATAATCTTGAAATTTTTAAATACTCTTAATCGATTGATTTCTCCAATGAAATTAATCGATTAATGTCCAATGATGGACCCTACAGCTTTAATTCCGTTAAAAAATAATAAAATTTATGTAATTTTATTTTCTGTCTCACTTCCTCTTGTGTTAATTTCTGAATCTGTTGATAACGTAGCGAGTGACACGAAAATGGTAATGGGGTCCCGGGACCCCAGAAACTCCGGCCGAAAAATTACATTACGTGAAACGTCTATTCATATATCTCGTCTGTGGTGAAAGGTCTATTCATATATCTCGTCTGTGATAATAGCACAGAATAGAAACCAGTTAAAAAATATAATTTAAAAAAGCATGTTGAAAGTTTTTTATTATTTTCAAGGACTAAAAAAGTATGAAAGAATCCAGAAGTTGGGACATTGGATTTTGCAGATATATTTTTCAAACCATATTCTTCGAGACAATATAACAAAAAATCGAATTTTCAAAGGTTTATAGTAGAATAAATAATATAGCAGAATACCCCTTTAAATGTTCAATTAAATCCTCTTGTGTTAAATTAATAATTTCCCGCACTAGAACAGTAATTCAAAAATATCATTTAACACCTTTCTCTGAGTAGGTATCATTCATATAGCAACATTAAACAATACAGGTAGATTTTAATGTTGTTATAATATAATAATTTACATTACTTGTCAGATATAATTAAAACGAGACGCTTTTCTTCCTTTTTAAGAATTTCCTCTTCAATGGTAGTAAAGCAACTGTATTTAACGGATCTTCAATCGCAGCCGCTTCTACTAACGAGTTAGTTCTATCTTGTCTTTGCTTTGATGGCTTCGGCATGTGCAACTCTATATCTAGATTTGGGACCTTTATAAATTTCACAGTTTTGGGCTTTGGTTTTTCTGGCATTATTTCCATATTAGGTCCTTTTTTTAGCGACTCGTCATCATAATCATCTGTATTGTTGAATTTTGTTGCGTGTCGTTGAAAAGCACTGTCTGCTGCTTCCAATGTGGTCTTAGCTTTCTCGATTTCAGCGTTCAAGTCAATTACATCGAAGATACGATCCTGAAAGAGAGTTGTTATTGGATAGAGAATGTATGTAGATACAAACTTCCGGTCAATATGTCCTTTTCAGGCATTTAAATTTACAAATTTTATCTTGATTAAGTACAGCAATGCAAGGGCGTAGTCAGAATTTTGTTCATAAAGGTGCAAAAATGCTAGACTAAAACTTAATTAATAATTACTTATTAAAAAGACTGCGCCCTTACAGTAATGCACGGTTGAATTTTACAAAATTCGACATTGATTGACAAAGAAAGAGAATAATTATAACGGGAGATAGATACAACGATACGTAGAGATGCGGCATTTCAAAAAGATACTGCCGCAACAAAAAATAACTATGCAATATACAAAATGTTACTTTCCGTAATGTTCATGTTATTTTTCCAAAAATGGTACAGGTAGGATTCGGTCCATTAAAACGAGCTCAAACATAACATAAATTAGGCTACTTTTAGTAAATAGATATATGTATGTAGGGTGAATCACGTATATAACTTGATTAGTTTAATTTATTATGTTACTAGTGAATTACTAGTAAAGTCATAATAGAGACTACAATCGATTGTTTGGATATAGATTGCTGTAAAAGGTGTAGTGATTCAGTCGATAATACGGAATAGGAATTACGAGAATATGGTTCGGAGGACAGAAGGATTATATGTATATTTCTTATTAGGTACATTAACATTTACGGGCAGGTTTCAATTATTCCTCGTTAACTCCGATTACTAGCAACGTATCATTAACGACAGATTTTAAATTGAAGTTTCACTATTGGGCGTTTACTTTTCTTCAACCATACTCTCCCGAATATGTACATTACAATAACGAAGCAGTCCGACCGCGTTTCTCATACTCGATAGATGGCCGACTTTCTCAGCCGTCTGTTTCCCTCCTCTGCTACTAGGTGTCCAATAACAATGCTCTCATGCTTTGTGCTCTCCCAAGTCTCCCATCCTGTGGGTAGTCGTGGTTCTGACCTCGTCCTCTCCGTTAGATGCAGCATAAATGTCACATTTGCTTTCGCGATTCCGATATTTATTGCAAGTCGTAGTTAGCCACGCGCGAGCAATCAACAAACTCACGGATTACATATTGATTGGGCGCAATTCTGATTTTCTCTCCTTGTGGAAAATTTTTAGCGGCTTGACCACCTCTCCGTACATCGTGATGCCAGTGTTTTTTCTTCTGTTTACTTTTGACATCTTTGTACACCGTGTGTGTCTTTATTTTTTATATTGTTTAATCCATTCTCTTTCCTTCTCTTTTGGGTCAGATTGTTTGAAATGCTGAGTGGTGGGAGAAGAGTGGGGATAGATAATGGAAATTCAACCGTGAACTACCATACATATACATATACGTATACTAATTATACAGATATTTACTGCTTTTTTGTGATGGACCAGGGATGGATCCAGAAGGCTTACACGGGGGAAAGGAGGGCGAAATATTTAAATTATATGTATATTCGAACCTTATTTTGCACGATTCGAAATTTGTTTATAATTCATTTATTACTGTTTTAATTATTTATTTAGATTTACAAATGCATACTCAAAACCATTTATAGAATGTGATGTGAAATGAATGATAAAGATATTTTTTTTCAATTTCATAATTGTTGGGGGAGGAGGAAGGCAATCGCCGCCCCCCCCATCAGCCCTACCCTGGATCCGTCATTGTGATAAACTCTACGATATTTGAAATATTTAAACCGATAGGCAATAATATAAGTTCATATTACTCTGTTTAAAGGCGAAAGGAATAAAACTTTCATCTTTTTGTGTACGATATCTTAATTTGACGGGCATGCTTTGAATTTAAGTGCAACCTGCATGTCCCTTCTTTTGCGTCTCATATCAGCCAAATCGTCGGCAAAAGCGGCGGCAGAACGTTCTTTGAAACGTCGGTGAGCAAGAACAAAATCATCCTCAAAATTATCCTCAATTCCTCGGTCATACATGTAATCCAAACCATCATAGAAATCGTTACGATTTCCTGATAGATCACGATAACCTAAAAGGATTTGATCATAATATTAGTCATGGAAGTAAAGTATTATTTATCTTAAATAATTCATGTTATTGTTCAGTTAATTGCAGTCTTAGAAATTATGTAATTATATAGAAATGATAAAATATTTTATTCCGTTGTATACGGTATAGTAAAATAAAACAATAGATGTTAATAATAAACACTGCTGGACAAAATTATAAGTTCACTTCATTTTTTTTTGTGATTTATGATTAAAACTGCGAAATTTATTTTTGTATTATTTACATGTATACTAAATTATCATTACTATTTAGAAAAATTATGTTTTCTAGTTGAACGAAAGTATACGTTCGCTTGTAGAAAACAATTTATCTAATATAAAATTATAGTAAAAAATGGTTTTTATTAATTAGGGAAACCTTTTTTTATCATGCCTGCACAGATTCCTTTGCAATTTTTTTTAAATTTCACTACAAACTTGCGACTGTTCAGATTATCTGGAGCAACGAAAAAAAGTTTAAAGAGAAAAAGCTTTTTCAAAACCTAATTTTTTTTTGGGGGGGAGGGGGGGGGGAATGTAATGATATTGGGAGCTTTCGTGTCTCTGGAAAGCTTAATATTAATTTTATTTCAGCAAAAATGAATAGTTACTAATATTAACAAGTACTAGAATCACAGTTGCTTTCTTATATTATACATACATATGTATAAGAAAATCGTTCAAGTAAATTTATATTTCAGTAAGATTATGCCCCGATTCGTCATAGTGAAAGTATCCAAAAATGGTCCTAGGACCACATCTAGGAATATTTAGGGAGTACAGTCTTTTTCCAATTTATAAAAAATAATATAAAATATTCATCGATTCAACAGTTAAAAATAACAATTATAAATGCATGGGGGAAAATTTATCAAAATTTAATAAACAAATTTTATTAATAGCATGAAAAAAAGAATCAACAACTGATTATTAAAAATTGTAGAATTTTATGTTAAATAAATTATGTATAAGTGAATTTATACTTTTGTCCAACTGGAAAACAGCATTTTTCTAACCAATCATAATGATTTGGTATACATGTAAATAATACAAAAATTAATTTCGTAGTTTTTTTTTTATATAATCCTGTACACGGCGAGTGAATAATTTTAATCATAAATCACCGAAGATGTCAGAAAATGAGGTGAACTTATAATTATGTCCATTTTTATCATCAACCGTGAAGCGTTTATATAAATTTGCTGTAATATTTAATTATAAAATACATATTTACTTTCTTTTACTTCTTCTTGCCTTTACCGTATACAGTTCTCTTTTAATCAACATATTAACTTTATACAATTATATTTTATAATTAACTTTTTCAACAAAATTTCTTACTACTCTCGTAAGCTTTCATGCGATTATTTTCGTGCAGTTATTTTTGCGTGTGGTAGAAATTTAAACGAGAAACAAGAAATTAGTATACCGTAGACACTTAAGATTGTTACATATAAAACATGTATAGCTATAGATAAACAAATCAGGTTTTCTCTATTTTGTTTTTTTTATCAAGATTTCAAGATTGTCTACCGATCAGCGTATAACACTTGTTTCTTTTGTAACTCTTCTCGTAAATTATATCGTTGCATTCATATCAACGGTTACCATTTTTAGCTATAGGTTACATAAAGATTGCAAAAATGTTCGTCGATAGGGCTCATTAATTATTAGATTTAAGATGAATAAAATGTGATCCTTTTGTAGTATCCTTTCAAATTTTCAGCAAAAATGTTAATCGCTTTGTTAAGAAAATGATTTAATACTTATCTTATCAGTGATTTAAAATGGTAATATTAAAATCTCTCGCACTGCGTTGTGTGAAATTACTTACAATCAGTCCCATATAGGTTATGAATATTGGAAAAAACGTATATACTCAAGTAAACTAATGTATTAAACATTTTGCGATAGCTTATTACAAATATACAAAATGTTTCATAATAAAATACATGGTATGTACCCATTTTGTTGATGGATTGGTAAGAGGAAAAACAGTAAAAGAATTTCTATAAACATGTGTCCTGTTTGACTTTGTTCTTAGGTTGTAATTCTAAATTCAAAATTCATAAAAGTTACTTCCTTTTTATTTATTTTATTTTATGTTGCGTACCTCCTTTTAGGGTATTAGCAACTTCATTTGTGTAGTTCATTTGTACTGCGTAGAATGTGTAGTATACACATATTGAAATACCTATAAAAGATTTCTACCGTATCATTGAATTGGTGTGTTATACAAGATTCATGATTCCTATTTCTTTTTACAACTATAATGTTTTTTGCACAATTTATCATCATTTAGTTGTTTAATAGTTTTTTTTCTTCTTTCTTCATATTTTTGGCACTTTATTATTTGTTTTGTCATTTGTAATAAAAACTATTCATTTTTAGTACTTACATTTTATACCCAGTGGGGTGATTTTATCCCCTCACAGAATTTAGGTGAACCTTAGATTTCATTAGGATTTTAGAAGTTTCTTTAATACTTTGCTTGCATAGTAAATATATTTTAGAACTTATACATTATATAAGGATTGTCGAAACAAGTTTGTGTGGATATACATACTACTTGATATAATTAAATAAACTGTGTGTCTGTGATTTGCAATTGTTAAAGGCAGGAAATGGAACTATAAAACTTCTGTTAAAAATATTCATTTACCTAATTTACAAAAACAAAACAAACATTTATTTTTGTTAATGAAATTTTTCAATTTTGTGGTCATTTAATAACTTAAGAGCAATTATTACGATAAGCTTATATGGAATTATGTAAACTTCGTGTACTGTGTCAGGAAAACTTTAATCGTGAATATTTCGAAAAATGTTCAGTATACTAACCCAATCCTATAATGATACGTTTTTGTAAACAAAATTACGAACTATACCAGCGATTAAATGATGTATAAAATGATATATCTCGTTATGCCTTTTAGGTTCAATAAGGTTAAGTTTCTTTTCCTTAACCCAATAAGTATTATAGTAGATTCCCAACAGTGTAGTTGACAATGCAATCAGTATACCTAATATATGTATTTATAACCTATGGTGTGGGTACATCCATGTTTATTATTATACAATATCTCGTATCCATCGCATCAGTTTTTTTATATTTTTTTTAAAAGTGATGGACGTCGAGTACATATGGGACGGAATGTAAATGTATTTGTAACACATGCTAGATAAAGATTCGGTATATTCATGCGTGGGGGTGGGAGACGAAAGTAAAGGTAACCATCTTGTAAACAAGGAATTTATGTAGTTAATAAAACGAGAAAGGTTTTAAACATATGATTAATAGTGTAAACATATCATATATCTATGGTACATTAAAAGCAACATTTATTTGTAAATATGAATGAACAAAAATACATACATACAACTATGGGAACATATTTCTTTTCGGTGCATATTTTCCTTAATATGTTAACTAACACTTAGCTGTTGTTGTAATCTTGCCGATAAAGAGCACGATGAAAACAGTAATTTTTTGTGTAATTTCACATCGGTAATGCATGTACTTATTCAATATGTTAGAATTTTAACAATGTATTAAGAACAACTTACGTTCGGTTTTTTTTTTAAATACGTTACAAACTATTGTATTATACAAAATTTGGAAATATATGTCAATTTTAACATTGGTTTCTTCTCTTTTAAAAATTAGTTTTCGATTTTCGCATTTCTTCTCAGAAATGGAACATAAATTATTTATTGTGTTGGAAAGAAATGGTAAAAAGTACTGAATTTCAAAAAATGCATTAAGAATTAATTTTTTTTTTGTTTTTTTTCTTCTGTTTTGTTGGATACTTTCAATGAAATAAAACGATTTAGTATTTAGTATTTACTTAAGAAATAAATGTTAGTAGTCTTTAAAATTGTCTTTTCTTTGGTAATACTTTATACTACTATATTTTTTTATACTTTTACAGTAAGATATTTGAAATACTTCTGGACATAAAATAATCGATAATTAAAATTAAATGATACTTTTAAAGTACTGCTAATGTATTTCTGTCACGTAAAACAATTTTGCACAAACATCTGTATCGTAAATGTGATATAATAATATCTCTGCTTTTCTATGAACAACGACAAAAGACTGGTCAGACATTGAAACAACGTATGTAGAAATATCGAACGATACCGAATTTAGCCAAACTAAACGTACGAGTTAACGAAATAATAGAAATACTATAATTAAAATAGTATAACGTTGGCGAAAACTAGAGTCGTGTGAAAAAAATATGAGCGTTCGTTATACCTCTTCGAGCATAAATTGTTCACCTAGATAAAATCGATACAAAGGTTTAGAATGCAACGTGTTTCTCAGAACGTTCGCGAATAGACACCTTTTTACTAACAACAGACTGGTTTTGAATAGAATTTTCAGATTGGGAAATATTTTCGTTGATCAGTGCTCTAAGCGCGGCTGCTCTGCGTTCTCTGGTCGCTTGCCTTTCGGAAAGTTCTTCCATTTCGGACTCAAGATCGTTCAAACGAGCTTTCGTTTGTTTGGCTCTGGTCGCAGCGGAACTAGCCAGCAAATTATCATCGTCGTTGATCAATTTCGACCATTTAAGTATCGGTTTGTTCTCGGTCATCTGTTCGATTTCGTCGAAAAGCTTGGAGCGTCTTTTGAAAGCAGTGTCCGCATCCTCGATCGTTGATTTAATATCTTGCATGTCTCTTTTGACGTTCAGAGAGTTTTCTAGAAAATCTTGTTCCTGCCGTAGGCGTCGTGATTTTCCCAATACGGTGTCGAGTTCGTCTTGTAGTCCGAGCGAGGCTAATTTCGCTTTGATCGGTTGCGTCGTTGCGACGATGTCGTTAGCAAAATGTTCGGCGAATCGACGTCGACTGCGTTGGCCACGGCTGTCGTAGACGATCTCCTCGTTTTCAGGAAATAGGCTGTCGGTGGCCAGGGAAGGCACTGGTAATTGGGGGCCGCGGATTAAAGGATCTATTTCAGGGTCAAGGTCACGTCCAAGGGAACTGTTGCGAGGACCGGAGAGGTCACGCGTGCCTGTAAAAACGGATACCTCAAGATTCGTTCACTCTTCGATAGCCTCTAAATGATTTAAAAACTCTTCTATCGCAATTGTGCATACCGTTTGCCAACACAATCATTTTTTCTAAATACAGGGTTCGGTCGACCAACATGTAAAAACGGCTACCACCTATGTACTTTCTTATGAAAAAGTAAAGAATATACAGGGTGTTCGGCCAACACCTGGGAAAAATTTTAATGGGAGATTCCAGAGGCCAAAATAAGACGATAATCAAGAATATTAATTTCTTGATTCAGACTTCAGGCTTCAGGCTAAACATACGCATTTTCAGGGGAATCATTTCTGGTCAGACATTGTATTTTCGGTGAAGAATTTTTTTCTCGAAAGTGCGTAGGATTTCGGGTGTATGTCTATTCACGAAAAATGATCGTAATTGACCTCTGCAACCAAAAATATTTTTTTCAGAACGATTTGAAATTTTTCAATTTTACCGAAATATTTCAGCACCTACTCGAATTTTTTTCTCAAAAATGCGTAGGATTTCGGGTGTATGTCTATTCACGAAAAATGATCGTAATTGACCACTGCAACTAAAAATAATTTTTTCAGAACAATTTGTAATTTTTAAATTTTGCCGAAATATTTCAGCACCTACTCGAATTTTTTTCTCAAAAATGCTTAGGATTTCGGGGGTATGTATATTCACGAAAAATGATTGTAATTGATCCCCGCAACCGAAAATAATTTTTTTAAAACATTTTCAAATTTTTTTTTCGCCGAAAAATTTAGACACCTTAAAAATTCGTTTTTGATTTTTATTAATTTTGTTTGACGCCCTACAGAAAAGTTGTTTAATACTTTTTTGTAGCTACCCATGGGTTCTACTTCCAAACTAAATTTCAATGTAATCCATTTACTATTGTAGGAGTTATGATCGTTTGAAAATTGGTCCATTATTATGCGGTTTTTCTCAGTTTACAGGGTTAAGGATCAATTTTTCGAACATTCTTGGAATTTCTACATATTCTTCACCAAAATACGCGTTGTTTACATTTTGACACATTAAAATCGTCCAATCCGTTCAGAAGTTATGATGTTTCAAAGATTCACGTGAAATTTCGGGGAACCACTAAGCCTCAGATTATATTTTCAGTAAGGAATTTTTTTTCTCGAAAGTGGGTAGAATTTCGGACGTATGTGTAATGACCAAAAATGATTGTAATCGACTCCTGCAACCAAAAATATTTTTTCCAGAACGATTTGAAATTTTTCAATTTTGCCGAAATATTTCACGCCTTCTCGAATTTTTTTCTAGAAAGTGGGTAGGATTTCGTGGGTATGTCTATTCACCAAAAATGATTGTAATTGATCCCCGCAACTGAAAATAATTTTTCCAGAACGATTTGAAATTTTGAATTTAATTGTTAATAACTTTTTAACGAAGCCTCAATCAAGACATTGATATTCTTGATTTTCGTCTTATTTTGGCCTCCAGAATCTCCCACTAAAATTTTTCCCAGGAGTGGCCGAACATCCTGTATAAAGAATAATATTTTTCGATTCGAGGTTTTCGAGAGAATAGTGTTTGAAAATTCATCGTATCAGAATGCTGTTTTGGCCAGTTTTATTAAAAGGTAAGAAGATTTTTGAACAGCACATATCGTTGTTGGATATTCGGGGACCAAGAGGGGGGGAGGGGGGTGGGGGATGTTAGAGAAACAATGTATTGTGAAAATATCGAGAGTCAGGATCAAAATTAGTACAAACAACGGATCAAGCATTCGAACAATTGAAAAGTCAAAATACATTGCATAGCATTCGAACATAATTGAATTTTAAAACTCAATTTTCTCGAAAACCAAACTTCAAATAAAAAAAATTTCATTCTCTATTTTTTTCTTATTTTTTTATATGGAATCACGTTGTATCCGCTTTTACATGTTAATCGGTTGGACCTTGTGTTGCTTTACAAACAAATTTCTATTCAAATAATAAACGAATCATTGTTAAATCAATTTTGAGAAGCAATTTAACAAGTTCATCAATTGTTTATCCTCTCGCTTTAAGGAATACACGCATAATACAGTGATCCCTCGTTAATGTTCGCTGGCTTGGGTCCAGAACGCGAACTTTATCGAGGGAATTACTAAGGATGTTTGATTTTTGCAAGAAGAATCGATTCTGGAATCAATTCTAAATCGAAGCGACTAGAATCGATGTAGCGTGAAATCGAACTTCGAAAAATCGATCTATTGAAAATCGATTCATGAAATCGTTCAAGGTACCACTTCAGTATATTATCTGTTACTATCGAAATATTAATAGGTTATCGTGTTTCATATAAACTTCGAAATCTTTAAATTGCATATTTATAATTTATATTTATGATATGACAAATGAAACAATTAATAATTAACAAAGTTTGCATTTGCCACCAGCACTAGCGTGCATGAAATACTACCAAACAGTACTTTTTGCTTTGTGAGACACTAGAAATGGAATTTGTTTACAAAATTATTAAAGCAAACTAATCATTCCATGCCAAATCGATCACTTTTATCCCTTGATATCTGGGATTTTGTTTAAAATTTAATATTACGTAGACCATAAGATACTAAGGGTAGTTTAAGTCATCATTTTGCTGGTTTCGAATTTATTTAAAAAATATAGGCCTCTGAAGTTTACGACTTTTGTGAAAATGGATTGTACTATGTAGCGTATTGAAATGCATTTTTTCAATTTTATTTGGAAAGGATTGGCTTTCCTAAATGAATTTTGTCCATAATGATAAATCAATAAAATTTATTTCGAAACAAAATTTATTTCGAAAGACCAATCCTTTCCTAATAAAACTGAAAAAAAAACATTTTAATACGATAGATTGTTTCCAAGATAAAAATTACTAAGTACAACCCATTTTTACAGAAGTCGTACACTTTAGAGGTCTGTATTTTTTAAATAAATTCAAAACCAGCAAAATGATGACTCAAACTACCCCTAATATATCGTATGGTTTACATCATATTCAATTTTAAACAAAATCCCAGACATCGAGGGAAAAAAATGATCAATTTAGCATGAAATTACCTAAATGAATCATGTAACCATTCAATTTTTGTAATCCGATAAACTAAACAGAATCGTTGACAATTAATAGAAAAATTTCTAATTTAAGGAATGGTCCCCAAACTAGAAATTATATGAATAGTCCATAATACTTCTTTTAAAGTTAATATTAATTTTTCTTTTCTTAATTGTTATTTGTAAGTTTTTAAAATGTAGATTCAAGGATAAACAGAAAAGTTTCATACATCGTGCTATGAGTAAAATAAAAGAAACTGCATTTTCGCCCTTCTGGGACGATCCACGAGTTAGAGATCGATTCGTGATTAAAAAAAAAAATTGGTTCGTGCCAAAAATCAGATATCCAAGAATCGATTCAAAAAAATCGAAAATCGTATTAAAAAGATCGAATTTCTGGAAAATCGATTCCGAATCGAACATTCTTAGGAGGTACTATTGTACTATTGACTGTTATCTTTGTTAGGTTTGATCGTAGTCTAGGCGAAAGTGAGAAACACTGAATGAGAATGAAATAGAGAGAAATGTTCAACGTTTCTTTATTCTATAGATTTAAAAAATCATTCCAAAATCAATATAAAGAAGACGAGTCGAAAGTAACACGGACCAATTGTAACATATTCTTTTTGCGATTATGAAATGTCTTCGATATTCTTTTGTGACATATTTTTTCGAACGTTTATCGTCAACATCCTGTGGTTTACCCAACCTTAAAGAAAATCTAAACACATCGACAAGCTAAAAAAATAAATAATAAAGAATTCACACTAGAAAGAATCAGAGGCTTCCCAAAAGCTAAAAAAACTTTCATATCGTCGAAGCAAAATGTTAATTTGGCTTTTGTAAACAAAAAATATACAAATTATTCGGCCAATAATTAGAAGCGTGTTACATGATTGGACGAAACAAAAATTAATAGATTTTTATGTAAAACATAAATAGTATTGGATTCGTAAAGGTGTTACGATTAAAAACTGGCACGAAAAAGAATTTGATAATGGAGTATGTTAAAAAATGGTCAAATTTTGTATCGCTCCGAAACCTAAAGTATTGGTAACACATCATTTTTTAGATCCCACAAATGTGTAAATCTATTCTTATACAGGGTGTTCGGCCACCCCTGGGAAAAAATTTTAATGGGAGATTCTAGAGGCCAAAATATGGCGAAAATCAAGAATACTAATTCATTGATGGAAGCTTCGTTAAGAAGTTATTAACAATTAAAATCAAAAATTTCAAATTGTTTTGGAAAAATTATTTTCGGTGGCGGGGGTCAATTGTAATCATTTTTTGTCATTACAATTACCCCCGAAATCCTACCCACTTTCTAGAAAAAAATTCGAGAAGGTGTGAAATTTTTCGACGGAAAAAAAAAGTTTCAAATCGTTTTGGAAAAATTATTTTGGGTTGCGGGGGTCAATTACAATCATTTTTGGTGAATAGACATACCCCCGAAATCCTACGCGTTGTCGAGAAAAAAATTCAATACGGGCGGAACTTTAAACGTTAATAACTTTTTAACGAAACCACCATCAGCAAATTGGTATTCTTGATTTTCGTTTTATTTTGGCCTCTAGAATCACCCATTAAAATTTTACCCACAGATGGCCGAACACCCTGTATACCGCAAATGCAACGGGAAAGTTATTAAAAAAGTGAACGAAATGAAACGTGCACGGAGAAAAAATAAGAAGTTGTTTACTTTAATTGTTCCTAACTTTGAATAAAACGCTTGAAATGCAAAAATTCAACAATATTTTATAGCTAATTAAAAGTCAATTTTTTATATTGTAGATACAGAACCTGACAAAAATATTAATTAATATTCCAAAAAAGTGTATTCATAAGTGTGCTATAACTTATGTATAAGGAAAAATTTTATGCATTGGATGCTTACAATAATTGTTGTCAGTCTCGTTCCGACCACCGCACCGTAAAGACCAAACATGTTATCATAACAGTGCCACTCGCGAGTTCCATTCGTATATAAAACCAGATCTAGTGTATTTGTTAGTGCGATTATATCAGTGATAATACCCCACATACAGGGTGTTCGGTCACCCCTGTGAAAAATTTTAATGGGAGATTCTAGAGGCCAAAATAAGACGAAAATCAAGAATACCAATTTGTTGATGGCGGCAATCTGATAGGCAATCTGCGCACAACTGCGTGCGCGCGATAGTGGTTCTCACCCAACATGAGAAACTCTACTTCGTGACGTATCGACAGTCTTACGGTTTTCTCAGTGAGGATCACTATCACGCGTACGCAGTCGTTCTACAGATTGCCTTTAAACATTAATAACTTTTTAACAAAGCCTCAATCAACAGATTGATACTCTTGATTTTCGCCATATTTTGGCCTTTAGAATCTTCCATTAAAATTTTTCCCAGGGATGGCCAAACATTCTGTATACACGGATACCAACTGCCCAATGGAATTCTAAATAGTCAAACTTCACACTGACGAGACTCCTGAGCACAGGAGAATGTCTCGGAATTAAATCTAACAAAAATCGATCGAATAAATACCGACTCTCTTCATTTGTAGTTGCTTTTCTTTTTCTCGACATTATTACTCTTTGTGCTTTTGCTATTGTTAATCGACTGAACCTTAAGATGATTTTTTAAACAAATGCTGTACATTAGATTTTACTTAATGTGCCAATACTTTTGTCCATGCATAAAATTCTGAAGAAGTACGTTTATGTTATCAGTTTATTTATGTTACTGCATCTGTTATATAATAAACTAGGATAATTAATAAATAAATGTATCAGAAATTTTTCCTTTGAATCAATCTGTTTAAATATTGTCATGCTAATATTTTTGTTCGGCATTATACATCTGTTCAAAAGAATATAATTGATATTACGTTACAGTAAAAGGACTATTCTATCAAAAATTGAATAGTATTCGTATTTGATTTGCACGAAATTTTTCACTCTACCTATTCATCCATTCCGAGCGATCTCGATAAAAGAAAAGACTTGGGAATTTCTAGAAATAGATCTTCGATCGGAGGCTAAATATGGTCAATTAACGCGGTACTATTGAACTATACATATCCATATATTCGAGCTCTTTGAAAGAGTATAGAATTTCCTGATAATATGTACATATGATTGCTATTGCAAAAAAAAAAGAAAAATAGTGTGTTCGAACAATGTACTAACAATATACAAGTTTCTGACAGTTTGTAACGATAAAAACTACATTTTATTTATAATTTATATTTTTAGGCATTTTGTCATTTCTGTTAAGAATTGTATAATTATATTTCTCTAACATTATTGATTCTTTCGTTATTTGATTTGATGTAGCAAATTATGTTACCATCTCTTTAAAAGGACAAACTTTTTAAATCTTTGTTTCGTGTAATGGAATTCTATATGAAAATGATCGAAAAGTAAAAAAATTGACTTATACGAATATATATTAAGAATACTTTCCGGTTATTAGATTAATTTTACGTTCGATAAATGTTTCAATAGGTTACGGAACATACAAGTAATTTGAAATTTCGATCCTCTGAAGGAACACGTGGCCAAATGCTTTATTTAACAGGTACAATCTTACAAATGTTACGACCAATAAAAGTAATAATACGAGCAACTACTCTATAGATGTGATATTATATACAAAGTAAAGAAGTAGACAACTGAAAATTTAACCAAAGTGAAAACATTTCTCTCACGAAATGACGAACTGTACCGATGAAGTGTATTAAAATATAAATGTCCGTATATTATAAAAGACGTTATTGTTCATGTCTCGGGATACAATAAATCATTAGACGGTGCTGCTTCATGTTGCGATTTTATTTCATTTTGTTACGAATGCAGGAGGTCTTTTTACGATGATCGTTTATGTAGATAAAATTTATTGTGTCTGTAATACTAGATTTAAGAAACAGTACATTCAGTTCCTTTCACATCAGGATTTGGATTGAACATGCCACTCACGAGACTTGAAGGAGTGAAAAATAGTTAAAAATTCTTCTTATCGGAAAGCTACTGATTATATTCATAACGGTTAAAGGATAGAAATAGTAGGATACGTTCACCCCTTAAAACCATTTTGGAAAACGACTGAAGATGTTACCGATGTCGCTTCGACGGGCCGCGATCTCGTCGGCTATTGAAGTTCTTGGTTCGGAGAAGAGCGGTCGAGAACTGTACTTCCGATCTAAGTGATCGACCATCGGTTTATAATACGATTCTCCTTTATCGTAGTTGCATCCGTATACACGCGTACGCGGCCTGCTAAGGATTGGTCTTGACATCTTATCGGGTTTGCTTTTTCGTTATCTGAAATTTGAACAATTTATTAGAAATGTTACGCGAGTTCTACTATTCGTTACAAGATGTATGTATGATGAACAGTGATCCCTCGTTAATGTTCGCTAAATACTAGAGATGTTTGATTCTAGCAAGAAGAATCGATTCTGGAATCAATTCGAAATCGAAGTGGCTAGAATTGGTGCAGCATGAAATTGAACTCCGAAGATTCGATTGAAAATCGATTCATGAAATCGTTCAAAGTTCCACTTCAGTATACCATCTGTTACTATCGAAATATTAATAGGTTATGGTGTTTCATATAAACTTCGAAATCTTTAAATCAAATTTGCACATTTATAATTTATATTTAAGATATGACAAATAAAACAATTAATAATTAACAGTGTTTGCATTTGCCACCAGCAACCGTGCGAATGAAATACTTCGAAACAGTGCTCTTTGCTTTGTGAAACACTAGAAATGCAAATTGTTTACAAAGTTATTAAAGCAAACTAATCATTCCACGCCAAATCGATCACTTTTATCTCTTGATATCTGGGATTTTGTTTAAAATTGAATATTTCGTCGACCATACGATATTACCTTTGTTAAGCTATGTTAGGTTAGGTTGTTAGGTTTAATCACATCGCAGGTGAAGGTGAGAAACACTGAAAGTGAACGAAGTAGAGAAAACTGTTAAACGTTTGTTTATTCTGCAGATTCAAAAAGCGCTTAGAAATCAAACTATATGTATATATCATTTTTTTTTACAAATTGCATGATTCCATGGTAGTTCAACTTTAAAATAGCGAAGGTTGATTTGTTAACAACGTTACGTATTATAACATATTCACCAGCGATCATCAGTCTATTCTTTCGTATCACATTTTAATTACTTTGAATTTTTTTAGTACGTTCAATATCTGGTTTTATGTATTTCTTTTTTTAACTTCGTTTTTCAAGTGTTTGACAAAGTTTGGTTAGTCCTACATACAGTTCCAGGAAATGGTTGGGGATGGCTCCGTGAACAATATCGAGGGGAAAAAGTAACAAACCCAATGAATTTTCAAAACCGATTTTCTCGTAAACAAGGTCTCCAATGTAAAAATGTTATTCTATTTTTTCGACTTATTTTTCCATGTAGAATCATCCTCTGCTCGTTAGTACTATTCAAAAACTTCTTTTCTTATCAAAAAACAACCAATTTTGTTTTCATTTGTTATGTACGTAATAATTTTACCTTATAAACAAATCTTATTTAACGATTCCAGGATTCAGGATACTTATAAAGCTCTTTTGCTTCAGAAAATTTGAAAAGATATATGTATACATATAGGTCAAAATCCAAAGATCGAGAAATGCGATTTTAGGCATAAAAATGAGCGTTAGAATAATATTAAAGTTTTGGATGATTCAACGTTCGTTGACAAATAAGAAATCGCTTAAAACAATTAACATTCAGATAACAGACTTGTTGATTAATGGGGGGAGGAATAAGCTCTTATAGTTTGACCCAGGACCGTCCCTGTGTTGTTGGTTGCCCAGATGCAAAAATAATATTGCTACCCTTGTTAATTTAATATTATTTAATTAAGTATTTAGTACAGCGTTCTTATATCTATGTATATACAGGGTGAGGCATTTTAAACAGGTCACCTGAATAACTCGCTTGTTTTTGAAGATAGGAGAAAATGCATTAGACCAAACTTATTTGGTATCGGGGGGCTCATAATCTGGTATTACCAATTTTTTTGTAGGTGGAGGCGTCAAGGAGATATGAAGGTCAACTTTGTTTTTTTAAATGGAACAGTATATTTTATTACTTACATTCTGATAGAGTGTTTCAAGGCGAATACAATGACCTATTATTAAGGTCATTCAAGGTCACCCAAAGTCAACTGCAATAGAAAATAAATTGTGTCAAAGCACTCTTCGAACACTTGGATACTTTGATACTGCTATTACAAGTGTTCAAAATGGCGACCTTGAACATGGATACATAGTCTAAATCGTTGCAATACTGATGACACTGCCTGGCAAATTTCATTTGTATCTATTACAGAGCAAGCTCTTCTTATACGTTCTTGCATGTCAAGTTTGGTAGTTGGTTTTTCGCGGTACACTTCTGCCTTTAATTTTCCCCACAAATAAAAATCGAGAGGTGTCAGGTCTGGGGATCGTGCCGGCCATTTGTTACTTCCTGATCGACCTACCCAAGAATCTCCAAATTTTCTATTTAGAAATTCTGTAACATTGCGTGCTGAATGAGCAGGGCATCCGTCTTGCTGGAACCACATGGATTGTCGTATGTCCAGTGAAGTGTCTTCTAACAATTCTGGCAAAACGTCTTCTAAGATTCTCAGGTACTTACTACTATTTAGCGTGCCATCAATAAAATATGGACCAATTATTTTATTATGAAGAAGACCGCACCAGACGTTTACAGACCAAGGTCTCTGTTTGTCGACTTCTCTCAACCATCGTGGATTATCTACCGACCAGTAGTGCATGTTGTGACGGTTAATTGCTCCATGGTTTGTAAATGTGGCCTCATCGGTAAATAACAATTTACTCAAGAACATTTCATCGTCTTGTAGTTTTTGTAAGCCCCATTCACAAAATTGTAAACGTTTTGTATAATCATTTTCAGTTAATTGTTGATGAAGTGATATGTGGAACGGATGAAATTTGTTAATGTGTAATATTCGTAAAATACTTCGTTGACTGATGCCACTTTCGCGTTCCAGTTGTCTTGTACTAACATGTGGATCTTGTATTACAGCTGCTACAATATTTATCGAGTTTCCATCATCAGTTGCTCGTTTGGCAAGATTACGTGTTTTGTTATCCACAGTTCCAGTTTCTTGGAACTTTTTTATAATGTTTGTAAAGACAGAAAGTGAAGGTCTATTATTACGATCGGGAAATCTTTCACTATACACACGTACCGCTTCCCTCATAATTCTATGACATTCACCATAAATAAGAACCATTTCTACTTTCTCTGCTATCGTGTAACGCATTTTAGAAAACTAAACACTTAGACTGAATAAATGTTACGAAGCTGTGCTCTAGTCGGTAGTAAAATTACCAATAATGTTTGAGGATACGGATAAGCGTACAATGTGATTGAATGTTTGTTTATCTTTTGTGACCCGTGTCACGCAATACACACACGTGATACACAAGTATTCGAAATGTACTCTGACACAATTTATTTTCTATTGCAGTTGACTTTGGGTGACCTTGAATGACCTTAATAATAGGTCATTGTATTCGCCTTGAAACACTCTATCAGAATGTAAGTAATAAAATATACTGTTCCATTTAAAAAAACAAAGTTGACCTTCATATCTCCTTGACGCCTCCACCTACAAAAAAATTGGTAATACCAGATTATGAGCCCCCCGATACCAAATAAGTTTGGTCTAATGCATTTTCTCCTATCTTCAAAAACAAGCGAGTTATTCAGGTGACCTGTTTAAAATGCCTCACCCTGTATATACATATACATATGTATGTCGGCGATACGATTCAGCGATAATAACAACTATTGTGTTATTTATGGTTGATAGAGTTTTTGGGAAAGTTATTCGTAGAGATGGTTTATAAGAGGCGTATGTATTAATTATTTTAATTAATTATTTTCGTAATTAATAAGCGAATCAAAATTTTATTTATCATGGATAAAAGAAAACTTATAAGGTTATAAATAAAAAAATTTGAAGATAACCTTAAGATTTTACTTGGAAATCAAACATAAAAAAAATCAATTGTCATCAATTTAAAGGTCTTTCAAAATCGTATCCATCCATGATGAAACAAATTTTTATTCGTCCACTAGTTACGGAAATAATTGACAACCTTGTACATGTAGATGCACCTCTCAAAATATGTGTTGAAGGTTAGGAGATTCGAAGGTAAACTTTGTTTTTTTTAAACAAAATATTATATTTTTATATTAAAATATGGAAGAATATCGAATTCTAAGCAAAAAAGTGTATTGACCTTTATTATAAACATGATAGACGTTTAATAAACATTGTCACGTAAACATTGCTCTCCTGTGCAAATCTGTGATATGGTTGAATTTCTAACTTGATATTATACGAAGAAAATTTTCAAGAAATAACGTGAATTTATACTATTAGATTTAGAGTTAGTAAAGGTCAATACTTTTTTACACAAAATTCGATATTACACCATATTTTAGCATAAAAAATATAGTGTTCCAATGTTGAAACCTTCGAATCTCCAAAACGCTTTCAGCCATAAAAAAAATAAGTGCACTATTATAGAGTACCTCTTCAAACCATGTAACTTTCATACACAATATTTTTTCGTGCAACGCTTATTTTTGAAATCATAAGGGTGCATAAGTTGCATGGACCATCCTGTATGTATGTATATTTGAAATCAAAGCTGACTACCCTATAATGTTTGTAACAATAATGTTGCAGTTGATCAATTTCGACCATTAATTATTATCAATTATCTACATTAATTTAAATTGATAAATGATGGATATATACACGTGGCGGTTGGACGATGAAGAGCAGCAACCCACGCTTTATTCTACCGTTCTACCTTTGAATAACGCGATGCAAGTTAATAGAAACTGTCACTGAGAATTCTGAGTTGCCATTTTTGGTATTGATGCGATACGCGCCAAATACAAATACTAGGCGGGTAAAACTGAACATGTTTACTCATTTCTAACAATAAATATGACTAAATATCATATTATGTTTTAAATTGTACATAGAAATATTCGTATACGAGAATAGTGTTACAAAGATTGGATATAAAATTAATTCGATCGAATTCTATTTGTCTAAATGGTTAGTAATCGTGAAAAAATTTTGATTATTCATATTAGTGGAAATGTTATAATGAACGGTCTGTGACTGCACCTTCCTCTCCGCCCTCCACCCCCGGAAACGGGTCAGGTTCCACACTTTGTATCCGTTACTGTGCATCGATCGTATCGATATTTTTGATCGATTGTCGAGTTTACAGATTTCTGCTAAACTTGTCACTATTTTCAAATTTTACGAATTACGAAGTAAGCCAATTTCCAAAGATAAAGGGAATGAATCACCAAGATCACGTATCTAAATCTAGGTAAAATGTGAAACAGGCTGCCAAATTGTATTAATTTTACCTACAACCACAATTGGCACTGCTTCCTATAGTTAGCCGGTTGATCGACTGAATGCAAAGAGCACTAATTTTATCTGTAACCGTTTGACGTTATGTATTCGAGGAAATTTTATTTTGATGACAAATCATATAACTATGTCGGTTAAAGTAAGCAACAACGAAACCAGCAGGTTTAAATAGCACAAGCTCGACGGATAAATTTACATTTCGATCGATTTCGAATTATCGACCCAATATTATCGTTTCGATTATAACCTCGCTGCATCAATTTTCTTTCCAATGCGAATTTACGAGATACATAAATGTTTAAAGAACCTTACGATAAAGGAGACAAGCTAAATTTCTTACGATGTTTCGTAGTACTGGCTAATTGCGATTAAATAATGTACTATCATTTTATGATTTACTATTTGTTGGTTATAATAGTTAAACTGAACATGAATGAAATTAATACAGAGCTCCAAATACCTCCATCTAGGTTTGCTCAAGGGTCTCTACTATGAGTAACCAGTAAACTGGAACGAGCAACTACATGTTGCTTAAAAATAGACCATGTCTAATTTGGTGTCCGTGAACTGAACTGGCACACAGCACACTCGAGTCCCGGACAACCGCCTCCGATTACGAACTCATGTAGTACATAATGCCTTGATCTACCATTCTTTTCCTATAACCTATTCTTTTATTTCTTTTCCTTCTCCTACTTTCTAATTACTTTTCACCTATTTCAATTTATCTCTAATTTAATGTACACTATCAATTCAGTCCCAAGCAATTTCATTTTCCACGTAAACAATCGTTAAAATTAGTTGGATCTCTACGTAATTCGATATTATAACACTAGAATTTAAAAACAGCATTTAATTACTGTATTGGAGAGGAGGATATTTCTACAATAACAACAGATACATTTGATGAGAAACAAAAGTAAATGCATAATAAGATTAATAGATTAATTCATCGTAACAATTATAGTATGTTTAATTCGTAATAAATATTTCATACTATTTTAAAAATACCAACATATTACGAATAATTATGCATTTGTAATTGCAATGTTATTTCCATCGTTTCAGTTAAAAATTTTGTACGAGTAATATTTCACACTTATAACAATATTAATATAGTTGTTTTAATATGTCTTTCTGTTTAAGTACTCTTATCTGAAATTAAATAATATGTAACGAAGAAAGATAATGTATGTTCCAATAAGAATTTTATAAGCACAAAGTCACAGTGCTTATAAAAATATATGTATTTAATTAATTAATTATCTACTGCAATAATACAAATTCTAATTCAGGCATTTCCTTTGTGCATTCATTATCAACAAGAAATATGTGTATTCGTTAATTGAAAATCAAAGTAATTATATAAACAAAACAGTCACAGTAAGTTTGAGTAATATTTATAAATTAAAAACAACATAATGCAATTTATACATACGTTATACCAATATCAAAATTTTGTGCGTGTATATGTGTGTTAGGTCATGTAAACTATAAAAATGTTTGTTCTTTTTGCATTAGAAAATGGTACTGTTAATAATGTATCTTACACAAGAAACATATATACCATGTATAATTTTCAAAGAATGTAAATCCACAAACTTTGAAAGAAAAATAAAATAAAAAATCATTACTTCTATAATTTTAGGCATTCATTTTCATTGAAACATCATATTTTCTGGATAGAAATGACCTTCGAAAAACTTATTTATTTACATAATATTGAAAACAAATGTTTAGACACATTTGTAGGTGACTCTACTAGATATATTTAGCAACATACACACAGATGTTTTGTATTATCAAAAAGAAATGATTTAGAAATTAAATATATTTCATTAATACATGTGTATGAACAATTTAATGCCGTGTAAAATATTTCTATCATGTTTACATATTTCTTGTTCTTTTTATTTTATTTTTCGTTTATCTTTACAATTTTTTAACGTGCAATTTAAATTATACTATTCAAACTACGAAACATCGTTTCCCATAGATATTTAAATAACAATAAGACAACAATGATAAGAAAATAGTAGACAGTTGTAATACATTTGACATTTTTGAATATTATAACACATTGCACGAAATAATTAATGAAACAAAGAATAGTAGAAAATAAAAAATTACAAAATCAAACGCAAATGGTCACGCGGACCATTTTCTAAAAACGAAATTTGCGTCGCGTAAACTACAAAAAAAAAAACTGTTAAGCTGCTGAATTAATTTTGTGGAAATTTTTTGGCGTAATTGTTTTTCGAGTTTAAATAGGAAATACAGACCGAAAATGTAGATTTCAAGAACAAACTGTTTCTAAGGTCCTCCGCGTGCTCTAGACAACGATTTAAAAATAATCTTTATGATCTGGCGTCAAGTTACAGCAGAAAGTTAGATCATTGTTCACTAGAATTCGACGATATATTATCTTAGAAATCGAAATAGATATAGGAAGCAAACACAAAATTCTATCGTCGAAAATGAAAATTTGTAAAAGTATTTTCATTCTAAATTTTTTCATTTTCCTAAAATATTTCTTAATTTTCATCTTTTAAGGGCCGTAGTAAGTGATGCCAAGGGCCACGTGTGGCACGATATAATTGATCATTTCGTTCGTAACATATCACATATTTGATTAACAGAAATACTATTTCAACTCTTGTCCCAATCGAATATTTAATACTTTGACAATGCGAAGTACGTCCGTGTATTTTAAAAATTAGCAAAATATCGATAATATTTGGACAATCGACTATTAATTTTAAACCAACGGTAAATAAGCAGACAGTGTCAAAGTATACGTTCATTACGTCACTGTATCAGATCTACCAAATTAACTAGCAGACATAACTATCAAATAACTAATATCGATTATAGAATAACTACAGCTGAATCGATTTCTATTGCCATAGCAAAGGAACATTCGTTAAAAAATGTTTAATATTAAAATCAGAATTTATTTTAAAAATTTGCAAATTTATTAAGTACTTAAGACTCAAACTATGCACTCGGGTAATACAATAAATAATAAAGGCTCGAATAATTAGCAAAATTGAAATCGTAATAATGAATAAATCATTTAACAATGAAATGAATTTTAAACGACAAAAAGAAATAATATAGATTATTTAACGTACACTGATACTGTGATTTAGTCAAAGAGTGTATTATAAATTTGTTAATACTGTAAAAACTAGAAATTATGTTCAAAATAGGCAAGATTAAAAGTTTACTTGGTCGATAACTAAATTTTTCACATAAAACGGAAATATACGATTAAAATTGTATCAACCTGTAATATTATTAATTCTTAATTAAGCAATATTTCGAAGCCGGTTAATAAAATATAATATAAAATTATAGAGTTAATATTTATAACGATGTTACGAGTAGTTCCTTTCATTGTTATATCTTTTAACGAAATCAATTTCTAACATTATTAGCACTTTAATGTCCTATTCGACAGCATTTAATTTGAAAATAAGTTATGACAATATGTATATATTTCTTTGTTTTCGAAGCAAATCGATTCAATCTTCAATACGCGCACAAACACACAGAAATAAAAATTCAAATAAGTAACGTAAAAAAATATAATGTCTATACCTGAACTTACACGATATCCTTTCAGATGCTAATTCTTCGGAAGTAGCGGCACGACTCCCACAGACGTTGCAACCTTGCAACGCCCGTTTATTTCCCACTCCTTTCGGACTCCATCCCTTCCTCTTTGTTGTCCCTCGTTCCTAACACCTACTTCCTATTCATTTCTTCACACCCCACAAGCATTTATTAACTTTCCAATTTACAACATCTCTGGGCATTGTCCAAGTAAATTATTTGACAAATAGTCATTAAGACAATACATTATTTTATTTGGCTACACGTTGTGTGAAACAAACCTTGGCGAAATATACTTCAAATAGTAATTTAAAAATAATCGTTGTAAATAATGTTAATTGGTATTTCATAAATATTGTATTTCAATCGATCTTAGGTGCTCCATCTGGTCAATTAATAGTAAATTTAAATATTACTTATTTCCGGAAATAACATTTACTTCCTAATTAAAAAAATTTTTCTTCCATTTTTCCAGAGAATGTTCAAAATAAGTACTAAATAATATATAGGAATAATTATTGTATATTGTAAATTGTAACCTAATATTCTAATTATAATTGTTTTTCATTTTAATTATAATAATTAAGAATCCCTGATTTCGAGAAAAAAGGATTTTAAACATTTTTCATGAAGATGAATTCAATAAAAATATAAATAATAATTAATATCTATGAATAAAATGAGCTACAAGAACTGTACGCTGAACTTATGCCACAATGCCTCATATATTCTTTAGTGTATGTATAAATTAGTATTATGAATAAAGTCAATGTAAGGTATAAGTGTAAGATTTGAAAGAAAGTAATCTGTAATGTACTTCTTTTTGTACAATATTAACTCTATATAACTCTGCGTTACTCTAAAGTCACATACACATTATCTACTTTTTTGAAGTCTTATGTAATTCCATTATAAATATATGTATCAATTATAGGTTTAAAGCAACAGTGAGGCCTGCAATCAATTTGTCTACAATTATTTTATAATTTAAAATTTACTTTTCAATATACATGTGTCCCATTATTAGTATTTATTGGTGGGTTTATTGTAGAACTTTGTTCACAAATCAAATATAATTTGAGTTATAGAGGGTTAATTGTATTATTATAATTATAAAATGCTCAAACTAAAAACTCCAATTTTGTATAGCTTTAATATCCTATTCAATATATTTGAAAATGATTTATAAAACATTTCTCTAAGCTTTAATGCTTTCAAAACAGTTTTTAACAGAAATTTCAAACATTTCCGGTAATAAATGCTCTAACTTAGAAACAAGGTTAAACAAGGCACATTTTTTATTAATTTTATGTTCTCGATCAACCACTGAAGTGAGTACCACATGTTAGAATACATATTGTATACCTAGAAAATTGTTTTCCAATCATATCAAGAAATGATAAATGATTATTGTATAGCAATCTAAACTCTTAGAAACTATAATAAAATTAAATAGCATTTGATCTTTACATTCCTTACCACATATGTACATACTATAAAGCGACAAATACAAAACTTTGTTATTCCATGGCATTTTTTTTAAATTATAAGATAGAGTTAATGACTTGTACATAATCTATTATAGTATTACTTGAGCCAATGTAGTATACAATTATATAGCTATAATCTGCTTAAAATAGCAGTTTCAACTTACAATGAGTTCATAAACTCAAAAAGTGATGTTGAAGAAACACAATTAAATTTCTACAAGACAAAATTGACATGCAAATAAAACGAAAAGACAATACTTAATTTTGTTATATTTTTGGATAGTTTACATCACAATACAAAAGTCGTTCATCTTTATTAGAAAAATAATAACATAATTTAACCAAATCGTCAAGCGTTTATGTCGAGTACCTAGAAAGAATAACTTATTTTGTAGAAAAAGCATACAAAATTAAATTTTATTTTCTAGACTTATAAAGGTGCATCTTCTATTTGAAATTTGTAATATAAGAATTTGTTTATAATTTTTGTGTTGCGAAAACGACTATTAATACATTGACCGTTATGGTGATCACTGGTAACCGATGCTTCAAATTTACAACTTACAACATGATTAAAGAGCTTACAATAAATGAACCTTAACATTTGTAAATTATTGAATAATGTCATTGACATTAAGAATACTACAAAATAACAAGTACCCCATTGAACTATCGAATAATGTTGAGAATATCCCTAGACAGGGAAAACCAACATATTAAAAAGAGGAACTCAATACAGTTGATAGTTTCAGAGAAAAAATTCATTTGTGCAGGCAGCCTGATTTTCTGAAAATGAATAAAAATCGCAAACTTTGATGTTCTGCACTTTTCAAACATATTCGAAACATTACGATCCTCTCCTTCATCATTTCATATGAATTACACACATCACATTTCAATTTTGTTAAAATCAACTACATTTACTAAATTGATGAGTAAAAATATAATTGGTTAAGTATATTATGTTTAAACTGTTTAGGTACATACTACGCATACCATATTATAGAATTTCGAAACGATATAGAATTCAAGACATAGTATTTTAGAATAATAGCATTAATACGTTAATACTCTATTATCAATACCTAATTAGAAAACGTCATATGTATTAATATATTATACTACCAACAGAATAAACGAAGACGATAAAATGCATAAAATAAAGTTAGAGATTAACTCGTTTGCGAAATAGTGAAAAATATGCCTTTCTCACCAAATTTTCTATTATTAAATTTAAGTACATTTCAAAAAGTATTACAAATTTGATATTTCAGTAATTTGTTCTTGGCCACTATTATTTAATCACAATGTGAATGAGCGTATATAACAGGCGAATAATTCAAAAATCATTTAGAAGGCGTTTAATGTTAATAAAAATAATAAAAAAATTATATCGTGGTAAACAAATTTTTAAAACTCTGTTACACCACTTTTTTACCATCCCTGGTGGGGATCGAACCCACGACCTTTGGATTAGAAGTCCAACGCGCTATCCTCTGCGCCACAGGGACTTAGTACTATAATCTTCCTTATGTTCGTATATATATATAGTAAAACATATATTTCTGTAGATGTCGCCAATGCATATGATAATTTGCAAGCCAGTAACGTAGATATAAAACAAAAATAAAACAACCATATTAAAACTAATCATTACCAGTAAAATACTCGATAAAACGTTTCCTAAACATTTATTCGAATAATAAATATATAATGTACGAATCATAATTATGTTCTATTTCTTTATTTTTATAACTTTTTTCAGGTTTATATATTTTGTATTACTATAATGTGAATTTATGCACTAAAAATATATATTCTAAAAATGTTTTATTATTCAAAATGCAAAAAATGCTTACTACTTGAAATAGAAACGAAAGATTAATTCGAGATTAATCTTTCTTAATCGATCGATTTAAAATAACGGATATCAATAATTCCATTTTATACGAAATAAAAAGTGCAAATACTGAGATAGTTTTTCGATTTAAAAATGTCAATTGTTATGTCCAAGGATAGTAATCATACAGCCCTGTGTGGCAACCCTGTAGTCAACACAACCAACTCAGAAACAGCTGCGTGTACGGATGATGTCTAAACCATTTGGGATTGACGTTCCATCCTGTTAAGCTTTGGCTTGACAGAAACGATAATGGATTAAACTATTGACCGTTGAAGCATATTTAGCAATAGACTGTCGTTAAGAAAGGTAGTAAACCGTGACTAAGAATTTGATGGTGTAAAGGGGTATATAAAAAGTGAGGGAAAGAAAATTGTATATGTACTGATTTACAAGTGTGCATTTGTGTTGTCATCGTGTAATACAACCGTAACGAAAAGGATAGCGGGGAAAACTAAAGAAAGAGACAGAATAAAACATTGGATGAACGAGAAGAAGGGGCTAAAAAAGATGGCCGTCTGGAAACATATGACAACGAACGGCGGGCAACCGCCACGGTCAAAAGGATCTTTCTTGGAGCGTGTTTTACGACATCGTTGATCGTAGTCGTTGCGTGGAGGTGTGTTTATTTTTTGAACAGAGGGATCGTGGCTACAAAAGTCAGTGATCCTGTGAGCAAAGGAGCCATGACTACGCGTAGAGAATGGGCTCGATCGCATCGGTGCTGCAGTGGCATTGCTCGGAGTGCGCTCTGATAAATCCAACGGAGAGCACGCGATGCGCCAGGTGCGGCCTTACTCGACTTAAGAGTGATGAGAAGGCAAACCTCAGGCTCAATCTGAGCTTCGAGTGTGGAAAAGTTCCGGGTGAGAAAGGGGAGGAAAAGAAAAAGGACAAAGAGGAAGGTGATTCTTTTTCACTGTGTATCTCGCCAACACCTCCGCTGCGATTTCGTCTAGACAAGCCACCGACGGACGGTACACATTCGACTCATGAACACGTCGAGACCGATCTCATATATCGGTGAGGAAATTCTTACTTGTCCCTCTACATAGTATTTTATCCCCTCCCCACCTATCTCCCCCCTCCCCTACTTTGACTTCCATGTATTTGTGTACACTAGTGCACAGAGTATCAAAATCACATTTTCAAATTTTCTAAAAACTTTAATCCTTATATTCTATGATTACAATCATCTTTGTCTAATGTAATGTATTATTTCCTAAAAAACATACTTCATAGTACAGTTTATTCTCTCACTGAAACAATTTTATTTTTAATAGTAAATGCATGTAATAATGGTTCATGCAATCTGCAAAACATTAACCTTGAAGAAATTGAATGCATATTGTATTAAGTTAATTTCAAAGCATTATTGAATTTATCTGTTGATTGCCTTGGTAAATGTATGGACAACTATTATCGTATCAACAAATGCAAACATTTTATCTCTCATTACCACAATTTATTTAGTTTAGTTTTTTATATTTATACATGTATATGACTTTTGTACATAATAAAGAATTAAACTCGATGGCTTATATGAGTAAACATTATAGTTTTGTTGATAGAAACAAAATTTTACATTTTTAACTTTTTTCTTCTCCATGATATTACATATAACTCGACTGTGGTTTTTTTACAAGCTATAATTTATTTTTTATGTTAATTTCTAGTTTCGAGGAGAATTTAATTATACCTGATAATCGTATAAAGAAATTACACTGTGATTCTTGGAATGGAAGGCCATGTAAAAAAGAAACAATTAAACGATCTTCTTCTTTACCTACCTTGGTAACACAATGGACTTGCGTACGTTGTTTATTGAACAACAGTTGCAGTTCTGCTTTAACTTGTGCGGCTTGTGATGCTAACTCTTCAATATTTGAAACTGATAAAAGGCAAATTGGAGCGCGTAAAAGTAAGAAACTAAATTTACGTAAAACAAGTTGGCTTAAAGTTGCGTCAGTTTTGGCGAATATTTTAAATGGTTCTAATACAACAAGTACTTTTACAAATGATACAAGGATTATGAGTAAGGGTACATACTACTTAATCAAAAATTTTATAAATATTAGTTAACTTATGTTTATACTAAATATTTACTTTATACTCTATAGATATGGCACAGTTAACAAGTATAAGTCATAGCGAAACAAGACAAGTCGATAGAGAAAACTGGACGTTATCACCGATAGACACTATGGAATCTAGTACATTTTCTTACACAAATACTAACGATACCTCTCAGCATTTACCAAAAAGACATAGACCTTCAATATACGAGCGAGTGAAATCTAAAGTTAGTCGCTCTTTATCTAATGGATCTGTTGTACATAAGTTATCCGAACATACTATACAAAGACCAACGAGTCTGGTGGTCTCGGAAGCACAAGACGATGCTCTGTGGAGCTGCGATAATTGTACTCTCGACAATTCTTCTGGCCTAGAACAATGCGAGGCATGCAAAGCTCCTAGAAGTCCAGCTCCTTGTAGCGGTGTAGTTATCAGTGTACCTGCTTGGGAACCTCGTGCTTTGTCTTCAACAGGTCCGCTGTCTTACAGGCGATCTTTTTCCGACGTTGAGTCCGTTGCAAATGTGTCTCGAAAAAAAATTGTTAATCGTAGGAGTCTTAACGAGGACGAGCCACCTGCGGTACCACCACATTCTGTTAGTTTTAACGCAAGACCAAAATACTCCTACATTGGAATTACTAACCCTGATGTACCACCACCGTTGCCAAAAAAGCAGAACAATAAATTAGGTCTTGTACCCATAAAAGCCCATAGCGAGGCAACGAGTCCTGTCGGAGATGTATCGAATGTAAACTCTCTGAAACGTATGTGGACTTGTCAGAAGTGTTCGTATGCGTATAATCCGGTATGGGCGACAGGTTGCGACATATGCGGATCTTTTCGATCTTCTCCTTCGCTAACTCAGCCTAATTTAATAACTATTACTAAGGATGCAACCAGTTGTTCTATGCATACACAGTCTCCGATTGTAGTATCCAGAGATAGCGTTAGATATATCCCGCAAAAAACTGCTACATTGGCCACAGCCGAATCTGATTTAGACGATCAGGTAGATCCACCCTCTCTGGTTTGGACTTGTAAAAAATGCACATTATTGAATGCTGCTTCACGAGCAACCTGTGAAGCATGCGGTGGTTCAAAGCTGAAAAGTATTATGCATTTAGAAGATGCTACCTTACGGAAAGGAGAAAGTTGGGTGTGTTCGTCGTGTACGTTAAGAAATCCGCTGTCGGCACAAACTTGTAATGCTTGTAAGACGTTAGCAGATTTTCTAGATGTACCAAAAGATAGCAGAGTTTTTGGATCAAGAAGTCCGAGTCCAAGGCTCTGCGCAACTGCTTTAAACGCAAAAGTTGTAACTCCGAGACATAGAAATTCTGTAAGAAGAAATGGTTCTTCGGTTGGTGATAGAAAACATTCAAGAATTAAAGATTCTACTCACGGTCAAGTACGATTTTTTTTCAAAATTAACTTATCCCTTATTATTAATAATTTCAAAATATTGTCATATCGTATTATTCATTACTTTCTGTCCGTCATTTGCAAGTTTATTTTTAAGTTTGTATCTATAAAGAACATAATATGTTTCAATTATTTTAGTGGCAGTGTAAATTGTGCACATACGAAAATAAGAGTACAAACGGAATTTGTGAAATGTGCCAAATCTCAAAAACTTTATCTCAAGTATCGGGCGAGAGGCCTAGAATTATTGAATCCGATACGAGTACACTCACAATACAGAGGCAGGAAAGCGTAGTTATGGAAAATTTAAGACAAATCGAGGAAAGAGAAGCATTGGAGAAATGGGAACGAATTGTTCGTTATTGCAAAGAGGTAATGCCGATTAACTAGTAATTATTCAAGCAATTCTTACAATTGCAACAGACTACATCTTTTTTCTGACAACAAAGTGCATAGTATCGTATAATACAGTAAAATCTGCCTTTTTTTACAAAAGCATGAAAAAGACTTTTATTTCCAAGTTGATTTACCCATTTTTCGCATAAATTGATTTTTTGCGATTACTTTTAATTTTTATAAATGTGAAAACATTGAAGCAACGCATAAGAAAATCTTACTTTTGTCTTTAAACATTTCTATACCGATCTACTTTAATATAACAAATATTCAAACATTCTATAATTGTGTGTTACGCATCTTAAAATACGTTCTCTTACGTTTGACAAAAATTGTTAAGATGGTCATTATTTACGTTTAAATAATGTATTATGTTTATTTGTAAGTGGATTCGAATTAGACAGTGCAAAGAATAAAAAGGATTTGTAAAGTATTTATTTTCAATTATCCTATTTTATGTAAAGAATAATGAAAAAAAACTGATTGATATGAAAAGAACACTTGGTTACATTTAGAAGAAAGTGTAGTTGCGTCTTATAGATGTTCGAGTACAACTACAGAAGACATAAAATCAATGCAGGTTAAATTTCAGTTTGAAAAGTTACTCTGTACATGTGAATTTCTGTTACTAAATTTCTCATTTATTTTATAGACAAACGAACCTTTTGTCGACGACTCATTTCCACCAGCTCCAAAGTCTCTGTATTATAATCCAGCAGAAACAAAAGACAACCATGTTGTTCAATGGAAAAGGCCTCATCAAATCAATGTTGATTCTAAACTGCCTTGGGCTGTTTTTAGAACACCCTTGCCCTCTGATATCTCACAGGGTGTATTAGGAAACTGTTGGTTACTTTCGGCTTTAGCTGTTTTAGCTGAAAGCGATGAACTTGTGAAAAGAGTTTTAGTAATGAGAGAAACTTGTCCAGAAGGAGCTTACCAAGTAAGATTGTGCAAAGATGGAAAATGGACCACAGTACTTGTTGATGATTTGCTACCATGTGATAAAAGAGGTCATCTAGTATATTCTCAGGTTGATGCATTAGCAATATAAATAAAAAATCTGTTTTTAATACAGCTAAAAGTTTATCCGATATTAAAGAAGTATCTAATTCATTTTTACTGATAAATTTAATTAAACACGTTATAGGCAAAAAGAAAGCAACTTTGGGTGCCGTTAATTGAAAAAGCAGTAGCAAAAATTCATGGTTGCTACGAAGCTTTAGTTTCTGGACGTGCTATAGAGGGTTTGGCAACGCTCACAGGCGCTCCTTGCGAGGGTGTGCCTTTGCAACCGTCTGCTTTACCAAGCGAAGACGAACTTGATAAGGATTTAATATGGGCACAACTGTTATCTTCTAGGCAAGCTATGTTTTTAATGGGTGCTAGTTGTGGTGGTGGTAATATGAAGGTCGATGAAGAAGAGTATCAACGTAAAGGTTTGAGACCAAGGTAAATTCGACAGATTCTAGACATTCGAACTAGACATGTTTTATTTCTCGTGATACGTAACCCAGCGTTTTTTGTTAGGCATGCATACTCGGTTCTCGATGTGCGAGATGTACAGGTAAGAATGGGAAACAAATATTTTCATATTTTTAGGCGGTTGTCGTGTTGTGATTATGAAAATCTTTGAAAGAAAAGGATTCGCCTATCATAAATTAATACGGTTGTCTAGCAAACGGAAAATTCTCCTTTTTCTGTATATTTAAGCAAATATTTTTCTTATAATATGTTTTATAGGAAATACGATTGTTGAGACTGCGTAATCCGTGGGGTCATTATAGTTGGAAGGGTGATTGGTCCGATGACAGCCCTATATGGACCCCACAATTACGAGAAATGCTTATGCCGCATGGTGCATCCGACGGTGTTTTTTGGATTTCCTTCGACGATGTATTGAAATATTTCGATTGCATCGATATTTGTAAAACTAGAGTTGGATGGAGCGAAGTTAGATTACGTGGAACGCTTCCTCCTCTGTCTTCTCTTCGACATTTATCGTGTGTACTTTTAACAGTTCTGGAACCCACTGAAACGGAATTTACATTATTCCAAGAAGGGCAAAGGTAAATCTTTACTGGATTATTTTATTTAAAAATCTGACATACCTTACTTACTTAACTTCGTCGTTATCAGATGTAGAGTTTATGTAGTACAATGTCTGTATACATATTTAGGAATTCTGAAAAATCACAACGGTCTCAGTTGGACTTGTGTATAGTTGTTTTTCGTACACGTTCTCCAGCAGCACCAGAAGTGGGAAGACTAGTAGAACACAGTAAACGACAAGTACGTGGATTTGTTGGATGTCACAAAATGCTAGAAAGAGATTTATATATTGTTGTATGTTTGGCTTTTAATCATTGGCATACAGGAATGGAAGATACTTCCAGTTATCCTGAATATGTTCTTGCCATTCATAGCTCAAAGAGACTTTTAGTTGAACAAATTTCTCCACCAGCATTTGTATTGGCTGATGCTATTATAAGTTTAACTCTAGCAAAAGGACAGCGGCACGAAGTAAGGTTTCTTACATACCTTTGAACAATTACCGTTTCTCTAATCACAATTTACAAACATTTAATTGTAGGGAAGGGAAGGAATGACTGCTTATTACTTAACTAAAGGTTGGGCTGGACTTGTTGTCATGGTAGAAAATCGTCATGTAAATAAGTGGATTCATGTAAAATGTGACTGCCATGAAAGTTATAATGTTGTATCCACTAGAGGACAGCTCAGAACTGCCGATAGTGTTCCCCCGCTTCACAGGTAAATTATTACTTATTTCCCTCTTTGTCTAATTTTTAAGAACCATAGATCTATATCGCTTAATATAATAAATTCATTTTAGACAAGTAATCATAGTATTAACGCAATTGGAAGGTAGTGGAGGTTTCTCGATAGCACATCGACTTACGCACAGACTAGCTAACAGTGGAAACTTACATGATTGGGGTCCACCAGATACTCAACATTGTCCTCAAATTGACACGCAAGTTGAAGGTTTACACAGTCCCCGTTTAATCACATGAACAAATAAGTTTTATGTTTGATTTGAAAATAAATAGGACAATGTGTAAAAGTAATGTTTGACAAGTAAGAGAGTTTATTGTATACTCGTGATATCCAGAAATGTACTAAAACCAAAGCAAGCTAGAAAGATTTCAATACGGCATAGTAAACCATGCTGTAATCATAACATACTTTGCGCTTTCTAACTTCATATTGTACGAAAATTTTTAGCATCATGACGAGTTGACTATTGAACATAATACAATAATTAACAATTATCATACTGATGTATGATTCTGAAATCAGTGGTTAGAGATATTTGTTTTTTAATTAGGTAATGATTCGTTATATCGATGGAAAAGGGATACATACATACTTTAAAATTTCTGTGCAAATTGAGAATTTCCACGGGAACCATTGATCTATAAACAAGACTTAAGAAAAATTAAATATTTATGGAAGAACAAATTAAACACACTGCTTGTTATATAAAAAAAAAATTATTTTCTCAACTTAACATATATGTAAGCACCGTAAGAGATAATAAAGCGTAAAGGTTATACAGTAATATGTAAAATGGAATAAGTAACAGCCAATCATAATGTATGAAAAAAATATATACACTCTTTTTGGAATTGCTTAGAATATGATATAATTATGGATCAAAATGTTTTCAATTTTGCGACTCATATGTCGATCCTATTTTAGAATACCTAAGGCCACTTTTGGAATCCGCATTTAAAAGAAATATGTAATATGTACACTCTGTGAAAGGGAATATTATTGGTCGTTTAAATGAGGGTTTTGAATGCTGACTACATTATACGATGTTTATTCATCTAAACTTTCGTTATTTCTATCTTGTAACTGGATGGAGTGCTTGTGCTAAACTGGACGTAGCGCATAGTTACAGAACCAAAGATCTCTCTTGAAGGTTTTACAATACATTAACTCGTTCATTGCCATTCTATGCAATATATTCATTTAATTCGATTATTGTTATACATTTTTGTAGCAAACTATTGTCGAAATTATAATCTCTGATTGTTACATGTAGTTTATATTCAGTTAACGTATAATACATATCTTATTCTTCATATAGGTGCAAGCGTGGCAGTTAACGGGTTAATCAGTTTTATAAGTCTCTTGTACATTTTGTAACCATGACATCGGAACAGCCATCTATGCGACGGCCATTTACGAATAGAGCTCAGTTTCGGTTTTATACGCTTAACAAAATTGACATAATTTTAATTTTTAAAGATGAAGTTTGATATTACATCCCCCCATACACAATAAAGTTATTCGACACAGACGATGAACACATTATACGTATAATTCTTTCCTATTGTAAAATTATTTAAAAAATTGTTACTATAATTATTATTACATTGGTTTTTTACTTTAATATTAAGAATTTATGTAAAGAACCAAAACGAATTAAGTATCTTTACCGTTATTATTAAACGCTGTTCCAAATAAACACTTTTAAATATACTTATTACATATATCGAATGCAACATATATCAGCTTACATAAGATTTTTTACATGTACTAGACAGAGCGTTAATAAAAATCGGAGAGATTTTTTTTTAATATTAATTTAACCCTCGAAGTAGTAAGAAAACATTGTATAAACTTGTATCCATAGATATTTTGTTCTTGTGTTTTAACAATTTTCATTGTATGTATATAAAATGTGCAGAATTTTGATGCATTGTATTTTAAGTAAGAGATCGTTTTTTTATGCTTGTGTAAATTACATTCGACTTAATTTTCAATAAAATCGTTTGAAAAAGAATGTATATAATATTTATTGAGATTCTTTAAACATTACAATTAAAAAAGATACAAATTTATACAAATTTTTTTAATCTTATTTTATGTGATGTCTAAAAAATATTCCTGATCCTTATTGATATACTATATATTATGTAAAACATTCAGTTTTCTGTAAAAACCAATTATTTTACTTTAATGTTAAATTGTCATTCCATGTTCTTGGATAATAACAAAATTAATATGAAAACATTTTGTTGATTGTGGTTTAATTTGAAAATTTTTGTTGTACTTTGTACAAAGGAGTGTAGGAGAACATGGTAAGTACTTGCAGTTACTCGCAAAATTAAGCATAGACTTAAATGATGATTGGCGAAAAAATAAACAAAAACAGATATTTTCAAAAGTAAATACAGAATTGTATACTTTATTTGGATATTTTAGCAGTTAATTCCTTGAAAAAAATAAAAAAAAAATAAACTGTTTATCTAAATTTAACACTAAACGTAGTTTGACTTGGCAGTATCAAACATAACATAGCAACGCATTGACGTAAACTAAATACAGTTGAAGAAATTCCAAACAATAGAAAATAAACCTTAGAACATTCAGCTCTTAAATATTTATTCAACTGTATGCTAAATTTTGTGGCGATAAAATAGGTGTATTTTTACATTTTTTATTAAAATGTTTTTAAAGAATTATCTATTAAAATATGCAAATTTTATTTTCGAATATGTTGGTTTTTACTTATTTTCCCGCTAATTATCTCTGCAAGTTGTATTGACAGAATAATTTTTTTGTAAACTTCGTAATATGCACATGTATTTAACAGATTTCGAAAATATTTCAATTTTAGTATTGGATAATAATAGTAGTGCTTTGTTTATGCATTATGACTTACATCTCCAAAGTTAATATTCAAAAATACATCCTTCAGTTTGGATGCAGTGATTCATTCTATCTTTCTGAATCTGAAATCTCTTGGCATGAGTGCAAAATTATTCGGAATTGTACAAATATCTATATAAACCTTATTTTTTAAGTAACCCCAGGTGAAGAAATCTAAAGATGGTTTTTGGTAAACTTGGCGGGAATTCAATAAGTCCGCCTCCACCAATCGAACGGTTTGGAAAATTTTCACGATGAGAAAATGCATCGCATTAGCTCACTTTTATGTTAAAATTAAAATATCTTCTAAACCAATAATTTTTCATAATTGGTGGCTTAGTACTTTTATATGGAAAATAACGAGCTGCGTCGATTGGTATATAAAAAATATATAATTTCATTTCCGGAAATAAAGTTGACCTTCATATGTTCTTTAACCATCCATTCAGAATAAACTTATCAAACTTTTATCATCGATAGCTTCGGAGATATTCGGTTGGATTAATTTAAATGGGACACCCTGTTTATATGTATAATATATGTATATAAGTAGTAAACTTATTATTCTTATAAAAATATTTTGTTATAATAAATAATAAAAATCAATAGTAAGTAAATGCTAAAAGAAATTATTGAAATTTGCTAAGAAGTCGAAAAAATAATTTTTTTGTAACCGCATTAATCCATATATTTCGTACCATATGAAGGCAACGAACATTGGCAAGCTAACGGCTCAAAGTGTTAATATTAGTCCTCCTTGACAACCGTGCATTATTAAATACGTGCACAGTTAACACTGGGATGGACTTTTATTTATTATTTCTTATTCAACAGAAAATGGATTTTTAGAAGAGGAAGATAGATAGAAGAAGAAAACGAACGATGTAGCAAGTAAGTTTCGAACTGGGGACCTTCAGATTCAGAAGTCGAGCCTTTACTTACGTTACCATTCTACCTTCGAGAAACGAATGTTGATTTCATTTATATATACATAGAAAATTGCTATTAACTTCATATATAGTAAAATTTATTAATAGTAAAAGCATTAAGTACATTTACTGCATAAATTACAACATATATTTAAGTATTTAATAAAACTGTACGTTAGTAATGCTTGATATTACCAACAAATTTTAGCAAAAATGTACTAATTATTATGAAACTTCATAAAAGTTATATATAATTTCATAAACATTTTTTTTTAATTGAATTAAACATGAAATCATATAATTCGCATCAAGAATCTTTCACTTTGTTAGATGATATAATATCGCTGTTATAATAATTACATACTTAGGTGTAGTACCGCGTAGTATATTATTTGTATACCCGATGATTCCAACCTATATTTACGGTGATAGAATGATAAATAAACAGTTAAATCGTAAACATATTACATGGGTTGATATAATTTATATATAATGAAATAAGTAGATAGAACGTATCAAACAATATTATCCACTATAATTGTTGATTGGAGTTAGTATTTGTCAAGTATCTATGGAATGTCATGAAATTAAGGAAAGTTTAGAGAAGTCCGTGGCTTTGAACATGGTACGTTTAAAAATAAGTTGTTATTTTTGTTTTAAACACGTATCACAATATCATACTTGTATTTCTTAATGTTTTAATTTATTTATAATGAAATAATATTTACGATTTATTATTTAATGTCACAGGTAGAATTACCGATGCTTGAAAAATCATCGCAATTGCAAGAAGATATAAATACAATAACATCACAGGAATCGCAAAAGGATGAAGCCTTAATTGAAAAATTAGATGAATTCAATACAGAAGAATTTCAGAAAGTGCAAAAGAATGAAGTTTTAACAGACACCGTAAATAACGGTGATGATACTAAAAATATTGAAGCATTAGACCCTGTTAATTATTTTTATTATAATTGGAACGATTCACCAAAATTACTGTGCGAAGCAACTAGTGAATATCAACCATCCGAATTATATGAAAATTTTACAAAGGGTTGTCAGTGGTCTCCGGATGGAACATGTTTATTAGTGCCCTCTGAGGATTTTAGAATACGAATCTACGAACTTCCCAGAGAATTATATTGCGAGAAAATTCCCCAAAATTTATCATCTATAAATTTTCCAGCAGTATTAACTGTAAAAGAAGGAGGACTTATATATGATACTTGTTGGTATCCTTTTATGAATTCTTGGGAATCTGCGACTTGCTGCTTTTTAAGTACAAGTAGAGAAAGTCCTATACATCTGTGGGATGCTTTTAATGGCGAATTACGAGCAACGTATCGAGCTTACAATCAGTTAGTATGATAAATATTTGTGCTCTCTATTTGTTGCATTATCTGTTTCACAATAAAAATAACTAAATAGCGTTGAATCTAACAATATATACTATGATTATTTTATAATACCAATTGAATATTTCTGCAGAAGAGATAAACTAAAAATCTCTTCTGATATTCAAGCATTTTAATATATTAAATTTAAAAAAATGTGGTATGAATAAACAAAGAAAAAGTCTCAACTATCTGAATAACATGTGACATATTTATTTGATGATTGCGCGAAATAATCATCTATATCTAATTTATAGCTTAAATTTTGTTTAATATTCATCAAATAATGACATATGTATAACATATTTTATATTTTCTTCTTTTTTGATATCAGAGTTGATGAAGTAGAAGCTTCGATTAGCATTCAGTTTATTGACTCTGTCAGAGAAATATGGGCTGGTTTCAAAAATGCTTTAAGAATTTTTGATGTGGAACAACCAGGACGCCAAGTAAATACAATTAAGTTCAAGAAAGATTTTCCAAATGTCACAGGATTAGTTTCTTGTATTCGAGAAAATCCAATTATGCCAGGATTAGTTGCTTTTGGTACTTATTCTAAATGCATTGGTAAGTATAAAATAAACAAGGTATTTAAAAAAAACGTGATATGCTAAAACATGTAAATTACTTTCACAAAGAGAAATTGAAAAGTTCTTTATTTGTCATGGAGATAGTAGTAGTTAAACTTTATTGGTATAACACCCAATATGTACCATTTATGACTTAATTAGCTGATTGTGTGCTTGCACATACTTCTTCTCGTATACCGAGAAATGTGTTCATGCGTTCATTGTGTAAAAACATTAATTGCAAAATGGTACAGGATTCTGTGGTTTTTCATTCTTAACACAATGTATTTACATGTTACGACTTGTTTTATATTTTTAAAATACTCTGTATAAATACGCGGCCACGAATAATATTCTATAGTACTTATTTATATTTAGGTTTATATAAAAGTGGACCACTATGTACATTTAAAACTGGAAGTGGTGTAACTCAAATTGAGTTTAGTCCTTGTGGTACAAAATTATTTTCAGCTGTTAGACGCAGCAATGAATTTTTATGCTGGGATCTTCGTAATCCGGGAACCGTGCTTTACTCTTTTCAAGGACGTCAGTCTGATACAAATCAGAGAATACAATTCAATATCACGCCTAATGGGAAGCAAATAGTGTCAGGTATGTTGATGAATACTTATATCATGGAACAATATAAACTAACAAAAATATTCTTTTTATGCTATTAGGTGGTACAAATGGTAACATTGTAATTTGGGAATTACCAGAATATTCAGATTCTATAGATCATAATGTAATGTATAAAATAAAGTTATCCGATGACTGTATAAATGGTGTAAGTTTACATAGGAGATTACCAATAATTGCTACTAGTACAGGGCAAAGATTATGTGATAGTACAACGCAATGCAGGGACAATAATGTTCGATTGTGGCTTGTTTCTTGATCACAATTTAATAATGGACTAAAATATTGTACATACATATTTTATTGTTTTATATAAAAATTAACGATGGACGCCATTGTAAAATATTTTGTAACGATTTGATAAATATAAACGTTAAAAGCCGTGGGGGTTCGGTTCTAAGTCTTTCCGCGGAAAATAGCAAACCCTATACAGTGTTAGACAATTTTTCTTAATATATTTGATAAAATAGAAAATGTGTGTACCACAATATAAGCAAATAAGGAAATTTCATTTATATGCACGTGCAAAAATAATAGAAAATATTTCAGTAATTGAGCTTTAAACAATGATACGTATTTGTTATAATTTTTTCTTTGGGAGTAAAGAGTTACAGTAGTTATTTTTAAATAAAATGTTATTAAGTTATAATCACGAGTCTTGAATGTTCCCGACGTCAGTAAATGCATTCGCGTGCCAGAGAAATTCTAAGAATTTAAACGCTTAGGCCCGACCCGCCCGACAGATATTTCGCCGTTTTTAGGAAACGAATCTGCATTCGTATGTGTACGAATTGGCCAATAGAACTCGCCAAGGATGGCGTCATCTAGCATATTCAGCGACATTGCTGTGTTTCCAGGTTAAACACCACTTCAAATAAACCCTTCACGGAATATGTTTTATGGGGTGTAGCGATTAGTACAGAATTCAACAGTTTTAATCACGATGTTCATAGAACGGAACAATATTAAATGTGCGAATGGGTGGTGATGCAAGAGCGAAAAAAGAAAGGCTTACATTTGCCTTCTTTCTCGACTGCTCGAAGCTGTTCGAAACAGTGATGGACTTGGACATTCGTGGGAATTTTCCCTGCTCCAGTGCGCATGATCAAAAAATCGAAGACTTCGAACTTGGAAATGCCGTGTTCACTTCGGGCAGCTTCGGAAAGTGTCTTTCTCGACCCTCCGAAACTTTGCGAACACACGTATATGCGATCGTGAAAATGGAAGGGGAAATTCCCAGTACATTCGATGCGCAGTCTGGTAACACCGTGATGTAAAGGTGGCTGTGACCTACACAGAGAAAATTAGTATGACAATCAACGTGTTAAGCGTTATTTGTAAACATTTATTTTATTGTTTGAAAAAATAAGACCCTCTGGAGGACGGGGTCCGTGGCTGTCGCTCCCTTAGCTTCTCCCTTAATTTGCGCTTGTATGCCCCTTAAAAATATAATAGAACCATGCAAAAATTTACGATGCAGACTCTCGCGACACTTTTCAACAGATTTTCATTTAGCGAATCAAATAAATCTCTGGAAAAGTCCATGGCCGTATCAGTTGGGATTCCTTCTACTTTCGAAATTTGCAAATCTCCTTTTAGAGTAGCTATAGTAGGTACAAAATAATTCGATATCCGAGGTTCATGCATGTCAGGTAAAAATTTAGTAAATGTTGGCGAGGTACATTGTTGGAGATTTTCCCCTTAACGGCAAGAATTAATGAATTCAGGTGTATGGGTACATTCGTGTATTCGTACCGTGTAAAATGCATGTACGATTTGTACCAACACAAATTGTTCTAATCGCATAGTGTGTTTACAAAATGTTCCAGTAACATAACGCGTAAAAACGGATTGAATAGAACTGTTTTCGAATTGAGTCTTATTATTTAATTGAAAATAAGAAAACTTCGTTGTAAACGGTATCTGAAGTGTGTATATATACATACATAAATACTTGCTTTGCAAACTCACCGGGAATGTAAAGCGTTAACTGTTGTGCGATTATGTTTCCAGTTCCATGCTTTTCAAACACAAATAGGATTTTGCTACGTACGTCGTAAAATTTGATTGAAACTAAAGAAGGGGAGGGAAAAGAAAACAGGCAGGGAACTAGAAAAATTAAACAAAGAAATGAAGGAAGGATTAAAGTAGATAGTGCGTGCTGATGTGTTATGTATTAATGAATACTAATGCGTACTAATGCTTAATAGTTTCTATTGCAACCTGTTTTTCCGGGTGCCCGTAAACGATAATCTATATGTGAAAAGTTAATAGGGATACAAAACAACCTTATAGTAGAAGATTTTCGCGAAAAATCTTTCCAGCCACGGTTACAAAGCAATGAGTGAGATTGTATTATTTTAGTTTTTTAAGTAAACGTGGATTTTTAGAATGGCTTCTAATATGCAGTCTTTCCCGCGAATCCTGAAAATGTTGCGGGAAAACAGCAATATTAAGGATAAACGCGAAGCTTTAACCTATATTCGCAGGTAACGCTCTCAATGTTTTATACGTATGTCTATCTTCACCTTGTTAATATTTATTTAACATAAAAAAAAAAAAACAGGCGTTCTTTGTGTCAGTTTAAGAGTGATTCGAAGGAAGATGTTGATTTGTATAATTTTTAGTACTTATTGTTTATTTACATCGACATTAGAATAAAAAGTCTTTAACAGATCCTATTTTCTTGTAATTTAATACTTGACATTTTTGGGTGAAAGGCGTTTTATTATATTATTTAAAAAGGAACTTAGTAGTAATGTTTTATTTTAGCAACAGCAAAAAATTGGAATCAACAAAAGCCATTAAAGAGGAACAATACAAAGAAATCTGTAAACTAGTGATCGATGCATTTGCAAACGGAAATATTGACATACAGAATGAGGCATTTGAAACGTTAAATATTATTATTCGGGACTTCAAATATCATCCTTTATGTTTATTTGAATCAGTAGTGCAAATGGATCATAAAAATAAGTACGTTCTTTAAATGATTTTTAAATTTGAGTAATCGTATACTAGTAAACATTCACGCTTGATCGATTAAATATTGATGTTTTAAACGAAACGAAGAAATAAATCCTTTACTCTTGTATGAATTATGAACAAATGATCATTTTTACTTATCAAAGTTGAAGTTTGAAAATTTATGTATACAAAAGGGATATAATACTGTTGTATTGTTATGTATGTTGTATAATCTGCTGTAAAACTGTTGTTTTGTCTTAACATTCATGATTCCGAAATGTTCATCTGCAAAGGATTTATATCTATTGAATCTTTATTTGTTTGACGTTAAGTTCTATAAAATACCTTTAAATATAAACTGTACAATACTGTTGTAATTTCAGATTAAAAATTTTTAAATTATTAAATGTAATTCAGGACAATACTATGTTAACGGTTGCTTACGATGCACATACTGTAAACTTTTTTAACAATTGTATGTGTACAGTACAAATGAATAAAATGCCATGGATGGCGCCTACTGCATGTGTAGATAATCTTCAAGCATTGATAGAAGCTGAAAGTAGACCATTATCGGATGACCAAAGATTAGAGGAAGAAATTATTAATAATTGTATGAGTTTATTGACAAGATTATACAAAGTGGCTGCAATGACATCAGATATTAAAGTTCAAAGGGTATACAAATAATACTTCATTAAGAAAATATGAAATAAAGAAAGTTACATTTGATTTATTAAACTAGTAATAAAAGATATAACGATTATACATTTTTACAGTTTAATGCGCTCTTATTAGATAAAGTAATGATGTTAGCTTATATGGGCTACAAACGACAACGGGTTCCTGCTTTACAAGTTTTAGAACAAGCACTTGCCACAGATATATTATCACATATTCGTACTAAACTACCGATCGCATGGACTCAATATAAAGCAGCATTACAATCTATGTATTGCAAACGCATGTTACTTTTGGTATCTATGTGCGAGGTAGACTGGGCTTTGCAATGGAATGTTACTATTCAGTTTCTTGGCATGGATCTCCATCGCGGTGCCGGTTTAATAAATAATTTATTGAGTGTCGAAGAAAAAGCGTTCAAGTCCACCGACACGATTATCCGCAGGTATTAAAAATAATTTAAATAAAAAATTCCACCAATTAATGGAAGTCAGAAGTAACTCAGCGTTTTATATTTTAGACAAGCGTTTCTGTCGTGGAAGTTATTGGTGGATAATTTTGCTTTAGACCCGCAAGAACTCGCTACTGCTAGACGGATAAAGTTGTTGTGTATCCCACTAAATGCTAAAAATTGTAAAAACGAATTGATAGCTTTGACTAAATTAGAAGTTTGGTGGCACGTAATTATAAAACTTTATAAGGACATTAACAAATTTGTAAATCCCGTGATCACGCAGTTCTTAAACTTTTGTTTTGGACCGCTTGGAGATACACCGTTATTATCTTCAAAATTCGACATAGTAGCTTCGCCGGGAAAAAGATTTTTTAAGACGAAAGTCGTTGCCGTGGATGCTTTGTGTCAACTTCTTGTTACAAAACAAGAGAACACTGTCTTATTTCCAGTTTTGGAAGAGAGACTTCCACATTCTATATCCGATGCTGTTTTCCAAGAATGTTATAAAGCTGTTATTCACAGTGTAGGGGAAGCTTTGCTTGTTCTTAGTCAACTTACAGACGCGGAAATGAAAAATAGATACCAGCTTGGTAAAATGTTATGGACAAGCTTAGTCAATTACGTACAAGAAACAAAAATGGAAAAAAAGGTTAGTAGATACATAATAATAATGGTATTTTATGTTTAGTTTTTTAATCGGAAAATTCAAGCGTTTAATAATAATTTTAGAAATTGTATATAATAATTGTTGAATAACATTATTTTACAGGAGCTTACATATAAAAGTATGATACAAGTTATCACAGAATTGTCAAATTATGCTATGGACAAACCGATGATAAGAAATTTATTTCTTAACATAATTTTATTTGAAGTTGCTGATTTCAGTAAGAATTTCAGTTTTCAAGACGATATGTTATCAAGATTGGTATTAAAATTTTTACAAATTCCATTATTAATTGATTTTAAGAAGTGAGTATTATTTCTATGAGTATAATACAAAAGATCGTGCATGGTATCAAGTTTCTCTTTATGATACATACTTTTAATACGTTTTACTTGTATTAAAATGTAGTATTATCTTGTGGATATAAGAAAAAAACATAATTAAAAAACAAGTTCAAGTATCGTGGTATGATTCATCTTTCTATGAAAATGTGTGCATAGAGTATATAAATTTTTTTTTTTTTAAGGAACCATTACAGTGCATTGAAGTCTCTATTTTCGCAATGCATTAAATCCCCCAAAAAGAATGAATATTACACGCATTCATTTCAATGTTTAAAAGAAATATATGAAATATTATATGCCTTATCAGAAACTGAACATACAAATCAGTAAGTTGCAAACAGTTTGAAGTGAAATATAAATATAATTTCTATTTTATTTTTCTATGAATTTTGCGTAACGGTGTTGTTATTTTTTAGAATTGTTATTTTTGAATTATGGCGTATTTTAGCAGAAGTGCTAATACAATATATGGATGATCTGCAAGAAATAAACGAAGGCAGTGCTACGGAACATAATTTGAAGACTATTAATTCAGTTGTAATTCATCCATTTATGTATATAGAGTTCGAGGATCAGAAACAGGTTAATTTTTATGTTAAATAATTTTATAGCACTATGAAACGTAGTGCATTTCTAAATGTGATATATAGATTTTTTCCATTTTACTATTTACGATGTTTATATTAGGTGCAAGAATTAGTAAATGTTTGGAAACGTTTATATAAACAATTTGAAATGCGAACAGACCTCATGGAAACTGTAAAAATTAATGAAATTATATTAAATATTGCCGGGGACATGCTATGTTGTTTGGTGAAAAATGAGAAATGTTTTCATCTTCTTATAAACTGTTTAGATACTTTGTTAAGTATTGTCAACTATAAATTTCTACTGGGTACGTTAACGATTGAGTTCAGAATGAATAGTGTTAATAAGCGTGAAAAGAATATAATCAATAGTTTAATTTATTTGATTTTATTTTCTCAGGAAATGCAGAAGTTCCATCTATTATACATCTTATCATGAAACTCATACCTTACGCTTTATCTAGTAAAAATGTAACAGAATGTGAATTAGTCCTTAAATCATTTTCCGCGGTACTTAGTACAATTTATGGTCAAAGCCCTCACAAAGTAATATCATATTTACACGTTTGGAAACCAGTTATTGAACTCATACTTTCATCCGAATTAGAAACATTATTTAAAGAGGTATGTATCCAATATGTATTTTTTAAATAATTAATCTACCAAACATGACTACTTCGAGATACTGAAGTATAGAATTCTTAACTTGCAGATAGAAACTACATGGGAGGTTATTATTAGTATTTTTAAAGGTCTTAATAAGTTGGTTGACTACGATCTTATTTCATCTTACAAGAAAGTTATGATTCAAGCTTTAAATCATTCAAATGTCGGCATACAAACTCAAACGTTGTCTCTTTTTGAAATAGAAGATGAGTTAAGTAGTAATGCTAAATCAGTATTGGAAGAAATAAAAAAGAACACGAGCAAAGGTAAAATACCGACCAAGCCCAACATTAGTAAGAAGAAAGAACCTGCCAGGAACTTACCAAATCAAGTAAAAATAGTTGGTAGTTTCTTAACTAGAGACTCTAGTAATCCAAAATTTATATTTAAAGAAAGCGATAAAATATTGCCTGAGCCTGATTCCGAGGTAACTATGCATATAAAATTAATGCGCATATACATTAGAATACAATATATTTAAAGTTGCATTCAAGAGATAAAGGTCGGAAATTTATAGATTACTCGCAACTTTGTCTCTTTAAAGCAATGGTAAACGTGTTTTATTTCTCAAATCAACAGTAGAATTGTGTGCGTATTACAATTGAATTCATTTTATTATGCTTTTTATCGTTGTTCTTGTAAAAAGACATAAACAGTAGGTGCAGCCATTGTATAATGTATAATTTATAACGGGAATTTTCCACGTGATGCGCCGATATTTAAATGAGTTTTTGTGCAGTGATAAGGCTTGAAAAATGTTCAGTTAATGGAGCAGTCATCTTCTCCACCGAGGGGGGTTCTACGTTTTCTAAGCTCGAGTTAAACGTCGCTTAAACGGAAAGTTTTGTGTTAGTTTTAGGCCTGATAGTATCAAATTTAGGCTCGCTGGGGGCACTAGTTGCACGGTTGTGGGACTTTTATGGTTCTTGGCCATAATTTATGGTTTCATTCAGCCATCACCTTTATGGTTTCACATAGAGATCACGGTTTTCAATTCAGAGCTGGGTACAATTTGCGGAGAAAATATTTTAGATAATAAATTTTTTACAATTCAAATAAAATAATATTCGAAATAGGAATTAAAATTTCTAGGTAAATATTTAGGGGTTTTGTTCTAAATCTGTTTTCTTTTTTTTTTGGGTTTAAAAAAAATCCTTTAATTTATTATTAAAATTAGTTAATCACTTAGGGGAGCTTGACAAAATCACGTACTGGGTCTAACAAAATTTTTTGTTATGGTTCTACATCTTTGTACATGTTTACTAAAAATTTGTTGCGGTGCAAAACTGACTACACAAACAAAAATTGTATGAAACGAAATAATAATGATATCACAAATGTTAAATTTGTTTTGGAGAGCCAGAAGATTGTAGATAATACTAAGTATTTTGTCTTCTTTGTATTCTGTATGCAAATATCGAATAGAATATTATTTTTGTTAAAATGTCGTTTCTGTGTTCAGTTTTGCTCCTTATTGCATGACTTCGAACCGAATTTGGATTTCGCTTTTATCTTTTGCCGAACGTAGAAGAGGATGACGAGTGAAGCGATTTGAAAATGCAAAAATGTAACTTTCTTTTTTAATGAATCTTTTACCAACGCATTTATGAAGTTTTCCCGATTAACATGAAACCAAACACGATATTATTAATTAATAAATGTGTATTATCGAAATTATATCGCGTTTGGTCTGGGTTAGGTCTTGTTTAAGTTAGTTTTGCTCCTTATTGTAATATGTATTATCCACCAGAACGACCAAAAGTTTATTTTAGTAATTATCGGTGTAGGAATGTATGATAAATTCACTTAGCACTCATCGTGTTAACTACGATCGTAACATGCTCTACCAAAAGTATCTTAGTGGTTGGTATTATTCTGAAATAACTAAGTAAACTTACGTCTAATTACATTTAGATTTTGTGTTACGTTTTATTATAATATTTAATCAAAGGGTTAAATATTGGCGCATCATTTGAGGCACTAATACAACTGATAAGGACACGTTTTCTGAAAATTTCCTCCGAATTTGAAGTACATTTGAAGTACATCGGCTTATTAGATCTTGAGATATCCCGTCAGCCAGTAGAGAAAATAAGGAAGTGAAAAATCTGTAAATATGTATAGAATATTTATAATATTTTACATTTGGAAATTTTAGGACTATGTTTTGATTAAGACCGACGTAACATTCGACGTTTCTCGTTTGACCGAGCACCAGAAAGAATCATTGAAGCGTAAAAGAGAAGATATTCCAGCATTGTATAACGATCTGTCGCAGTCTTGTTCCCAAGATACTCAGAATTTGCAGGAATGGTTTGATAAAAAGAATCAAACCTTCGAGGTAACCGATAAAACAATTGTCAAGGACAGCGTTTCGATAAAAGACTATCCGAACGACGATGCTAACAAGGAGAACACGATCGACATAAAAACAGAAATAATCGAGAACGATCCGAAGCTGACGGAGAGTAGCGGACAGACCGTGTCGTTGGAGGCTGTACAAAATTCGAAAAGTGATATAGAAAATAATGAAAATTTGCTCGCTGAGAGTATGATAAAAGTAGAAAAAAGTTGCACGGACGTGGAAGTAGACCCATTGTCGGATACCGCGATAAACGACTTGACTCTTGACTCTCAGGAACAGTTTCCAGCGAACGTAAGTAACGACGAAAGACTATCTCCGTCCGTGTTGGACAACGGTAAACGACGTAATCGTAATTGTATCGTAATACGACCTGTTATTTTGACGAACTCGGAGGAGATTGTTAGCAGCGTACCAGGACAGTCGAACAGCTCTTCGGGCTTGCAGAGAACGTTGAGAACAAAAATACCACAAAGTAAACCGAATATGATCAACGAACAGAAAACGTCGGATAATACGGAAAGCAAATTGGTCGAGGCGGGTAAAAAAGGCGTGAAACGTAAGTCACAATCGGATAGCGAAAACGAAGGGACCAGCCAACGTCAACGAAGGAAAACCAGCTCGTTGGAGACTGCCAGCGACAGCGACAGCTCTAAGTCCACGGAAAGCGACAATACAATGGCACCGCACTTGGAAGGAATAATCGGTGGTGAGAATCTGCCCAAGCGTACCAAAAATGAGATATCTCGATTGCGTATAAATATGATATTCGACAGTCCTTTACCAAATAGTCGTCGATCCAAGGGAGGTTACGATGATCATAGAGACTATACTTTTAAAAGGCATTCGCCCGATTACAGAGCTACCAAGTCGAGGTGCACTCAAAGGACCAACGACAAAGAGTTGAACGCCATGAGCAAACGAGGCAAAACGTCAAAGGTGAAGATAAAGACGGACAAAAGTAACGAGCCGATTAAAACTAAAGATACGAAAGAACTGGAAGAGGAGACGAAACAGGAAGAAAATGTTCAGACAGCGGTTGGCTCGAAAAGCACGCCGGATGCTAAATGCGACACGCGTTATGCTAAAAAATATGGTAAAAGTGGTAAAGCTGTATCATGCAATGATGTACAGAATAAAGACAGCGGTTCGAGCGAAAGTATCAGCAAGAGCCAAGATGAGGAACGACCAGAGACTCAAGACGACACGCAAAACATTATAGTGAGCTCTCAAGAAATATCGAAATTAGAAAAGAAGTGTACCGAGAAACAGTGTTTCATCAAAATAAATAAAATCGGCGATATACGCCAAACAACGAAATCTCAAGAAATCGCGGTCGAACCCGAGGGAACAAACGAAATTGCTTTAAACAATTGTGATAACGACAATAACGAGGTTTTTAAAGATAACATCGAGGAATTTGATGAAACGAACGAAACGAATACTAACAAACCAAAGATTTTGATTTCTGAAAGCAGTCTATGCGATAATGATACGGGCGAGGCCGTGTTTGAAGTACAAAAAGGAAACGAGGGATCATCGGGTAAATCTGTCCTTGGGTTTATGTCGCCAAAAAGTAGTATGAAGCCTAATTTAAAACTTAAAACGTATTCGACGCAATGCCGTGCAGCGCACATGTTAGGGTTAGTAATAAAACAGGCTAAAATGGAAACCGAATGTCATACCGCGGGTACAGAGGATGAATCTGCAGTTAAAAAAGCGAAACTGAAAGACACGGACAGCGGCGAGGCGACGGTGATTGGGAAAAAGGAAAGAGCGCCTATCTTCAAGGAGGCTGACAAGGTAACAGCATCGTGCAGCAGTCGGCAGGAGAAAATCTTCAGTAATATGAGATCGTCCGAGTATTGTTTGTCGCCTCCGATCAAACTGTTTTCCAATTTGAAAAACGACGGTGAGAAGATCTTTACGAAAACGGACAAATCGATGAATTGCGTGTTTGTACAAACCGACGAGCAGGTTGAAAGTCCGAACGAGGAATCTATGATGGACGAGTTGCCGATGTTAGAATTGTCGGGTGTGAATCCACATTCTTTAACGACATCACCCAGCGTTAGCATTCTTAAACGTCAACGTCAGTCTGGTCCAGAACTCGAGGCAGAAGCTAAAACTCCCAAGGTACATACCTTTCTTTTCTTTTAACCAGTTAACTGTGGCACGCTCGTTTGAGAGCGCGCACCGTTTTGTGTCGCCAGAATCGAGCCATGACGAGTATACTCGTCAATCACAGAGTAAGTTGCGCTGGTAAGATATTGGATCAAAAAGATGGGTTTATTTTATAAAATTGACAATTTTATTAGTAATATTTACTTATTTGTTTAACATACACATATATTACATACATATTAAACTAAACACGCAATAAAAACCCACTCGATAGCTAGATATCTTCGGGCCAGTAGGTATCAATAGGCTCAGCGCCTGGTCGGTGTCACGCATTTGTCCCATGACTAACCATACCTGAAGGAACCCTATTATAAATCAACTTTCTGACTTTTGCCTTTGCCCCTTTTAGGCTAACATCTAAAAAACGTTATCATTGCACATAAATAAATTCGTTATGCGAACTGGTAAGCTGTTTCAGCCGGTGCATACGGGGATGCATGAGTTCATCTCAAATTATTTATATTTTTTATTTGCTTGTTTTATTCCGCCATGGCCCCAAAATATTCTAAACATCTTGAAATTTAAGAATATGTTTTGTTTTTCTCAAAAATTACAATTTAAATAGTCAATGGTAACTACTTTATAGGCATGACGAGTATACTCGTCAATACACAAAATCGTGCCACTTCTCTATGACGAGTATACTCGTCAATCACAGTTAACTGGTTAAGAAGCACAAACGCAGCATACGTTTACCAAATTATAATACATGCTCTAGCTGTCTAATGATCAAAGGTGTTCGAGTACCTTGAAAATACAATTAGAGCTAAACTCAGTTTGAATCATTTAAATTGAACAAAGTATTCGACAAAATGTATTCAACAGAGAGACGCATAAATTGCTTATGAATTTTTTTATAAACAATTGATTGACTATATCATTCCAAGATAAAACATATAAAAACGAAAAGTAAATGGCATTAGTTTGCTGTTAAAAATGAAGAAAACTGTACGTTCAGAGTTGCATACATAATATTTTATTTGTACGGTTATTTCAATAATTCCAATGTGTTTAAAAATGTAGCATTCTCTTATCATTGCACAAAATAATTATTATAGGAAACGTGAAAAATTATCCAATCCAGTCATCTGTAACTAAAAGTACACGTCTCCATTACAAAAACAAAGGTTGATTATTGAATAACCTTGAAAACAGTTAATAAATAGACAAATTTTTCTAACGAACGCCCTACGTAGTGCATGAATTTGCATAAGATTGTCTGAGATTGTCATAAGATTATCTGTAACTAAAAATACACGTTTCCATTACAAAAACAAAAGTTGATTATTGAATAACCTTGAAAACAGTTAATAAATAAAAAATAAATAGACAAATTTTTCTAACGAACACCCTACGTAGTGCATGAATTTGCATAAGATTGACCATAACTGGTTTAAATTTGGAATTACATATTTATTTTTAGCGTTTTGCTTTTGTTTGTTTAATGTTAATAATAAGATGCATTCTGTTTTAGAGAAAACGAGTAAGTTTCGCAGATCCACCGGTTTCGAAAGAAATGGGATATAATACTACGACCAGCGAGTCTCCGCATAAAAATAAATTTGTTCCACGATTGTTGGGACGCAGAGATTCGCCATTAAGATTGAGACAGATAAGACAGAAATTGATACGTTTTGACGCGGAGAAAATGGACAAAGAAGATGAAGCGGACATAAATTCATCGGAAATTGACTTGCAATGTGAAAGAGAAAACGAATTATTAACGAAATTAGCCGAAGAATTAGAATATTCGGAGAACATTCCGATAGACACTGATATTCAAGGATCATGTACTTCCGTTGAAACAACAAACATAGGTTTTACGGACGCCAGTGAGTGTAATAAAATCGAAATTGAAAATTTTGGCGTTGAATATGAAGTTACTCAGGACACGACTTTTTCTAAACGTACAGACATTTCGTTTACAGATAAAGTAGATCATGGTAAAAAAGACGAAGCGTTGAAAAATGCGAATAGCTCTATCGCTGATAGAGAAACTACTGAATTTGACGAGTCCCAAACGCAAGATATATTTAACGCAAAAGATTCAACGAACCATATTGATAATATTGAATTTACAGAAACCTCGACCAATAGTAACGTAAATGGCGTGGAAAACACGTCAATTCAAATTAATTCAATGGACACTGTAAAACTCAATATTACAAACGATTCCATTATAAATAATTCATCTAACAAGCATACGAATTCTGAGATCTTGGAGGATACTGTGGAAGTGGACAACGTCAATAGCCTGAACTCCTCGGACGAAATTTTCTGTGGAAAATTAATACGAACTAGTACACAAGCGGTTGAAAGTTCGGAAGAACAGGATACTATATCAGTTACAGATTCAGTCTTTGGAAGTTTACCATTGAGTCAAGACAGTCAAAATACAAACGAATCGGATGTAGAAATTCCTCATCCGGAGTCGTTGGATTTCAGTCAACCCATATATCCAAAATTAACTTCGTGCACGGAACCTCTGAGCTCTATCATCGAACAGTTAACTAATCCACTATGGGTGCGAAATTTATCAACATATTTTGAAAGTAGAAAGCTTCAAACTATCGGTGATCTTGCGCAGTTATCCGAACGCGAAGTAAACAGAATTCCTGTAAAAAGTCAGTCAAAAAGTGAATTTGTAAAAAGTGTTTTAAAGCGTTTTGAAAAGACATATTTTGTAAAAGACGCAAGTAGTGTAACTCTATGCCTGAACGATGCTTTGAATAATAAAGCATTTTCTGTTGTAAATACCAATGTACCTGCACAGACGGAATCTGTAACAACGCAAACCGAATTGACAAATATTGCGACTAATAACGATGCATCAAAGACGTCGAAAATTGTACCGGAATCCACCACGGGCGATTCTACGAAAGCAGCTGTATTGTTGTGCGCAACAACATCTGAACCTCTTCTAGAAACAAAGTCAAATGGGCAATCACCGTACGTCGATACCTTAAGCCTTATTTCTTTTTTTTTCTTTTCTTTCTCTTGTAATTATATCGGTACTATTTTCGGTAAACCTTACGTTTAGAGGAGGCAGCTCCGATGACCTTTATTAAAAATGGGGGTCGATATTAGTTAGTGTAATTTTTAGGGGGGGTCGGGGTGCAGCCCCCCAGTTAGCAAAACGAATTTAATATGATACCGATCAACTCTTGGGGGATGTTTTATTTTGTGCTCCGCAGGGCTCATGGAACGAAATACCATCTTCTTGTTTTTTGTTACCGGTAATTTTTATATACTAATACCTTTTTAATAAAAAACAAGAGGTAGCTAAAACTTTTTGGGGGATGCTCAAGAGTGTGACCTTTGTAAACTGTGTGAACGTTAAGGTCGCATTGAGTATACGTATACGCAGATTCTAGTGTAATACTAATTAATACATTTGTATCAATAACTTTTTAATAAAAAACGAGCGACGGCTAAAACCTTCTGAGGGTCATTCAATAGGGGTGACCTTGACAACATATGTCAAGGTCAAGGTCATCGTAGCTGCCTCCCCTAAATGTAAGGTTCACCTTATTTTGTTTTAATAAGATTATTAACGTCGTTCGATTGTTTTTCATCTAAATATTTTATTTTTATAATAATGCATGTGTACTAATTCATTAAAGCCTATGTGTCGTTTTCTCTTTATATCTTCGAAGGAATATTATCTTTTAAGACTGGAGTTGACAAATCACTAGTAGATATGAATTATAATAATGCGGTAAAATCGAAAGCAACGTTTTTGATTTTATAAATTAAGTTTATTTTCATTTATGTTGGTTCATTTTATAATTTCGTGCATTTATACTACACAGTGATGACTTGATGGCTATGATGATGACGCATTGTCATTATTGGCTGTGTCAGTGTGAAACTTATAGGGACAGAGTAGAATAGGACAAGACTGAGAGGCATTGGCGTAAACCGTACGTCCAAAATACTATTCATGAATGGAACAAAAATGTATCTTTCGTGGTTATGGAGACCCTACTACTATACAGGGTGTTCAGCCACTCCTGGGAAAAATTTTAATGGAGGATCCTAGAGGCCAAAATAAGTCGAAAATCAAGAATACCAATTTGTTGATGGAGGCTTCGTTAAAAAGTTATTAACAATTAAATTCAAAAATTTCAAATCGTTCTAAAAAAATTATTTTCGGTCGCGGGGGTCAATTACAACCATTTTTGGTCATTACACATATTCCCGAAATCCAACGCACTTTCTAGGAAAAAATTCGAGAAGGTGTAAAATTTTTCGACTGGAAAATAAAATATCAAATCGTCCTGGAAAAATTATTTTCGGTCGCGGGGGTCAATTACAACCATTTTTGGTCATTATACATATTCCCGAAATCCAACGCACTTTCTAGGAAAAAATTCGAGAAGGTGTAAAATTTTTCGGCGGAAAAAAAAAATTTTAAATCGTTTTGGAAAAATTATTTTCGTTTGCCGGGTTCAATTACAATCATTTTTGGTCATTACACATACCTCCGAAATCCTATCCACTTTCTAGGAAAAAATTCGAGAAGGTGTAAAATTTTTCGACTGGAAAATAAAATTTCAAATCGTCCTGGAAAAATTATTTTCGGTCGCGGGGGTCAATTACAATCATTTTTGGTCATTACACATACCTCCGAAATCCTATCCACTTTCTAGGAAAAAATTCGAGAAGGTGTAAAATTTTTCGACTGGAAAATAAAATTTCAAATCGTCCTGGAAAAATTATTTTCGGTCGCGGGGGTCAATTACAACCATTTTTGGTCATTACACATATTCCCGAAATCCAACGCACTTTCTAGGAAAAAATTCAAGAAGGTGTAAAATATTTCGACTGGAAAATAAAATTTCAAATCGTCCTGGAAAAATTATTTTCGGTCGCGGGGGTCAATTACAACCATTTTTGGTCATTACACATATTCCCGAAATCCAACGCACTTTCGAGAAAAAAATTCCTCACCAAAAATCTAATTAGGCGCCAAAATTTTTCAACGGAAAAAAAAAATTTCAAATCGTTTTGAAAAAATTATTTTCGAATGCAGGGGTCAATTACAACCATTTTAGGTGAATAGACATAGCCCCGAAATCTTGCGCATTTTCGAGAAAAAAATTCAGTACGGGCAGAACTTTGAATGTTAATAACTTTTTAACGATGCCTCCGTCAACAAATTGGTATTCTTGATTTTTTACTTATATTGGCCCCTGGAATCTCCCATTAAAATTTTTCCCAGGGGTGGCCGGACACCCTGTCTAGCGTGACGTCAGAGCGGGCCTCTATTGCCCTTGCCCCGTTTAGTTTGCAGGTGCCTAGCCAACAAGTCATCTCTGGATAGTCCATGTGCAACATGCATCGATTAATAAAATTCTATCTTTGTTTAGACAAATATCAAACGCATCGCTATCATTTATGGTAATTCCCATCGCACCAGAAGATGGAAGTTTCAATTCTAATATGAATGCAAAGTCTATGCATTCGTTAAAATCTGTTGGTACATGCACTAGCACTGATACTGTTTATCATCCGGAGGACATGCCGCCCAGAGCTAAACCTACAAAGTCTGTCGCATCTCAAATGGCTTTGGAAGATCTTCTGGATGAAATAGATGTTAATTTGGTATTGGAAAGTGCAGTCAGAAGATCTTCCCCAGAGAAAATTCTTTCCCAATACAAGGTAAAATGCTCGGAATACAAGCTGAACGACACTTACGCGTGTCTCCCATTTTTATCAGCCAGTCCAATTGTAATCCTTGAGTGAAACTCGCGGAGGATTAATTTTCATCGTCATTATTATTATTTTGATCATTTGAGACTTTCTCGATCGACTCTTCCTTGCCAGCCATCAATTATAATTCATGTAATTGTAACTAAAACGTTTAAAAAAAAAATCGTGTAAAAGGAATGTCGAGTGTACACGATGAAAATGTGTATTTAAAGTTGGAATGTTTCTTGCAATTACGAAATAAGTATGTTTTAAAACTATTAGTCTCGTTTTATAACATTGATCAGATAGTTGCGTACATCGAAATGAAAAGAAAAAGCTACTTGTGTACAAAACTTTTTATTATTCGACTATAAACATATCTTGGCAGGATCAATTGTTTTTTGAAAATATCGAAGAGAAAGAACAAAGAAAAGTGCTTTGAGTTCATAATTATTGTACCATTATAAGGAATTTTGAAAAGGACCTCGTATTTTTTATTAGCGTCTTGTAGATTTTAAGCATCGTACACGTAAAAGTAATTGCTACGCTATTGTTTATTAATATTTTCGTAGAACAAACTAATGATGGTTCCTCAAGTGGATTTGGAGAGGGAAACTATGAGAATGCTTGGCGCCGAGAGCACGAAGAATTACAATGAAGTGACATTGAAGGCCTCTTGCCGCGCGTGTGGAGTTAACAAAGTTCTACTGCGACTTCCAGACATTTTCAGTTCCGACAAACAATTCTTCGTGAAAGTATTAAACGCATATCGGAAGAAAATACAGACCAGCGATTGTTTGAACATACTTGAGTTCGCGGAAATCAAGGATGCCGTTTGCCAGAAATGTACGTCGTCGGAACTCGCTGAAATGCTGTCGACAAAGCTGAAAGAAGAGGAACAAGAGGGAATAAGAAAGCCCATGACGGAACTGTCAAGCTTGGACGCTATGTTGAAAAGAATGCCGATGGACGTAATTATCAGCCATACAGTGGCGAACGATGAACTTATTCCGTCGCGTGTTGTTTTAGAAATAGCTTTACAGAACAATAGCCCGAGCGATATAGTACAGGCATTAGAATCTCAGTCGCCGGTGGTTACGAAAAACGTTTTCGATAAACTTTGGTCTTCCCAGTTCGCAGTTAAACACATCGAGGAATCGAATAAATCTAACGAAGAATTGCTGAAAATTTTCAAGGCTGTCAGCTCGAGGCTCAGCCAGCAAGAGCTACTGAAAGCATTTTCCGAATCCATGAACGAGAAAATAATGGTAAAAGAGGAGAACGACTAAAATGTAAATGTCTGTATAGATCGTATTATGATCCATGTGTCTGACTGATATTTATTATTAATATTAACTATAATCAAAGTTCAGTTTTCTTTCAATGATACCCTACATGATATTCACGTATATTATACACGTAACATTTTGTAGTTTTTTAACTAAATTTCAAGATGAATATTTTACGAAAGTGGTATTATATTACAGTATGACGTTAATTTTCGCAGGCTTCCAGTAGAATATCGAACGTATCTAGTAAGAGGACATATCTTGCTATCACTTAACATTTTCAAACGCTATTGTATTAAATTGTATTAAATATTGTAAAGGTTCAATAATACTTAACTAAATGAGATTATATCACTCACGATAAATGTACGATACTTTCACATAAATGTTTGTTACTAAAGAAACCCTCACGTTTTATTCACTTACATTACTATTTTAGCAGTTTCGTTGGAATAATAAAAATATGATAAGGTTATTTTTACTTTTTTCATTGATTTTTCAAAACACGCTCAATATCCTATTACCGTAGTTTCTCGCTAATTATAACAGATTTATCCTTGCAAGTTCCATCGTAATTATTTCCACCAGTTCCTGGAACTCTAGCCACTGCATTTGCAGATTAAATGTCAAGGTACTATACACAAACTAAATTACGCAAATATTATAGACTAAGAAGGAGTGTTTAAGATTTTATATTAAAATATTTCATTTTGTCCATTGTATTGCATTTTCCCTGTGACACTGGTATTAATTTATTTATGTAGGATTTACAGAGAGAATATATATGTGAAACATGTTAAAACAGGATTGTGTGAAAGGGCTGCATAATAATTCGTACCCCGTTATTAATGTATTCTCTTTAATAACAGAATTTTACAGAATTTAGAGAAACTATTCTTAACACGTCTTGCTAATGTGAAGTGATGCTCGGAACTGAACGTTCGTTAAAAATTCCCGCTCGGCTTTTGTTCGTGGCACGAGAAGTACCGAGATTGTCCTAGTCGCGCTCGACTCGCTGCTGTACAGTCACATATGCCCAGAGGTGCCAGAAAAGCATCGACGGTGCCCTACGCACACATGCCAGATCACGCGTACGTGAGCTCGTGGAGTTTCGGACAGTCGACAAAGGCAAACTGACACATGCTCTCTTTCTCGATTCTCCGAAGCTGCCCGAAGTAATTTCGGACCATCTCGTGGAAGTCGAGAGAGGAAGGCTCACATTTGCCCTCTCGCTCTTGAACAGCTGAAAATCAACCTCGTGTCAACGCCGTGTGAAGAACAAATGTAGTTGCTCCATATATGTATGTATATTAATAATTTCCGTTGTTCATTGATAATTTGTGTTAAAACGTTTGTGTTCGATGTGATTTAATTTGTTCATTCTTGTAATTATATTATTTTTTACTCGTTCTATTGAGAATGGCTAAGTTCACGTCATTTCTCGATAGAGCGTACAGCACACTCGGCATATGCAGTGATGCCAGATTCAGCACCGAGTGCACTACTCACACATGCCAGATCACGCGTACTTACGTGAGCTCGTGGAGTTTCGGACAGTCGACAAAGGCAAACTGACACATGCCCTCTTTCTCGATTCTCCGAAGCTGCCCGAAGTAATTTCGGACCATCTCGTGGGAGTCGAGAGAGGAAGGCTCACATTAGCCTTCTCGTTCTTGAACAACTGACATTCGACCTCACGTCAACGGCATACGATTCCAAGTCACGACTGCCCAGGTATTTTTTATTTTACTATAACCCTTTTTACCTGAAGTATAAGGTAATAAGTACGATGTATAAGGTACGACTACATGTACTTTTGAATTTTCCTACAGTCCTCCGCCGGCCTCTACTGACTGCTGCTGACCATTCCTCATACTTCTGACAACGTATAGCGATTACTACGTGTTACTGCTTGCTCCTGCTGGTCTCTACATGCCTCTACATGCCTCTACATGCCTCTACATGCCTCTACATATCTTTACATGTCCCTGCTGGTCTCTGCTGGTCTCTACTGGCCTCTGCCTCCCTCCGCTCGCCTTTGCTGCCCGCTGTTGACCACTCCTGATACTTCCGACAACGTATAACAATTACTACGAGTTACTGCTTGGTCCTGCTGGTCTCTACATGCCTCTACATGCCTCTGCATCCCTCTGCTGGCCTCTGCTGGCCCCTGCTGACCCCTGCTGACCACTGCTGACCACTGCTGACCCCTGCAGACCACTGCTGACCTTTATTGACAACTTCTGCCATGATATATATGTATTAAAACTTTGTATAATGTAAATCGATGGCAATAAATGATATAATTTCAAAGAATTCTATGTGTTCTCATCATTTTTACCTTTCTTTTCCTCTCCAAATCATTGCCTTAGTTTTGAGGGACCGTTTTTCCGGTTAAAATTGGATTCCCAAAGTGTCCAGCTCTCGTACTTGCTGCCAAAATCAAAAATTAACTTTCAAAAGTTAAGAAACAACTGGAAAGTCCTGAAACAGCTGGAAAGTCCCGAAACAACTGGAAAGTCCTGAAACAACTGGGAAGTCCTAGAATTTCTTGGAAACGCCGAAAATTCTTGGAAACCCTGAATTTTTAGCAAAGTTCTGCGTTTCAGGACTTCTGTGGTGTTTCAGGACTTCCTAGTGGGTTCAGGGATACCAAGGAGTTTAAGGGAGTATTATAACTAAGGTAATGATTTGGAGAGGAAAAGAAAGGTAAAAAATGATGAGAACACATAGAATTCTTTGTAATTATATCATTTATTGCCATAGATTTACATTATACAATGTTTTAATACATATATATCATGTCAGAAGTTGTTAACAAAGGCCAGCAGTGGTCAGCAGGGGTCAGCAGGGGTCAGCAGGGGCCAGCAGAAACCAGAAGGGGCAAGCAGTAACATGTAGTAATCGTCACACGTTGTCGGAAGCATCGGTGGTGGTCAGCAGTGGTCAGCAGAGGCCAGCGGAGGCCAGCGGAGGCCAGCAGTGGCAAGGAGTGGCAAGCAGAGACCAGCAGGGGCAAAAAGTAGCAAGTTGTAGTCGTTATACGTCGTCAAAAATATAAGCGGAGGTCAGGAGAGGCCAACAGAGGCTGGAAGAGGCTGGCAGTAACCAGTAGTAATCGTTATACGTTGTCGGAAGTATCAGGTGTGGTCAGCAGTGGTCAGCAGTGGTCAGCAGGGGCCAACAGGGACCAGCAGAGGCATGTAGAGGCATGTAGAGACCAGCAGGAGCAAGCAATAACACATAGTAATGGTTATACGTTGTCGGAAGTATCAGGAGTGGTCAGGAGGGGCCAGCAGAGGCCAGCAGGGGCCAGCAGAGGGATGTAGAGGCATGTAGAGGCATGTAGAGACCAGCAGGACCAAGCAGTAACACGTAGTAATTGTCATACGTTGTCGGAAGTATCAGGAGTGGTCAACAGCGGGCAGCAAAGGCGAGCGGAGGGTGGCAGAGGCCAGCAGAGACCAGCAGGGGCAAAAAGTGGCAAGTTGTAGTCGTTATACGTCGTCAAAAATATAAGCGGAGGTCAGGAGAGGCCAACAGAGGCTGGGAGAGGCTGGCAATAACCAGTAGTAATCATTATACGTTGTCGGAAGTATCAGGTGTGGTCAGCAGTGGTCAGCAGTGGTCAGCAGGGGCCAACAGGGGCCAGCAGAGGCATGTAGAGGCATGTAAAGACCAGCAGGAGCAAGCAATAACACATAGTAATGGTTATACGTTGTCGGAAGTATCAGGAGTGGTCAGGAGGGGCCAGCAGAGGCCAGCAGGGGCCAGCAGAGGGATGTAGAGGCATGTAGAGGCATGTAGAGACCAGCAGGACCAAGCAGTAACACGTAGTAATTGTCATACGTTGTCGGAAGTATCAGGAGTGGTCAACAGCGGGCAGCAAAGGCGAGCGGAGGGTGGCAGAGGCCAGCAGAGACCAGCAGGGGCATGTAAAGATATGTAGAGGCATGTAGAGGCATGTAGAGACCAGCAGGAGCAAGCAGTAACACGTAGTAATCGCTATACGTTGTCAGAAGTATGAGGAATGGTCAGCAGCAGTCAGTAGAGGCCGGCGGAGGACTGTAGGAAAATTCAAAAGTACATGTAGTCGTACCTTATACATCGTACTTATTACCTTATACTTCAGGTAAAAAGGGTTATAGTAAAGTAAAATATACCTGGGCAGTCGAGACTTGGAATCGTATGCCGTTGACGTGAGGTCGAATGTCAGTTGTTCAAGAACGAGAAGGCTAATGTGAGCCTTCCTCTCTCGACTCCCACGAGATGGTCCGAAATTACTTCGGGCAGCTTCGGAGAATCGAGAAAGAGGGCATGTGTCAGTTTGCCTTTGTCGACTGTCCGAAACTCCACGAGCTCACGTACGCGTGATCTGGCATGTGTGAGTAGTGCACTCGGTGCTGAATCTGGCATCACTGCATATGCCGAGTGTGCTGTACGCTCTATCGAGAAATGACGTGAACTTAGCCATTCTCAATAGAACGAGTAAAAAATAATATAATTACAAGAATGAACAAATTAAATCACATCGAACACAAACGTTTTAACACAAATTATCAATGAACAACGGAAATTATTAATATACATACATATATGGAGCAACTACATTTGTTCTTCACACGGCGTTGACACGAGGTCGATTTTCAGCTGTTCAAGAGCGAGAGGGCAAATGTGAGCCTTTCTCTCTCGACTCCCACGAGACGGCCCGAAATTACTTCGGGCAGCTTCGGGGAATCGAGAAAGAGGGCATACGTCAGTTTGTCTTTAACGACTCTCCGAAACTCTACGAGCTCACGTACGCGAAAGTGGAATGAGGCGTCTCTGGTGCACCCGGGACTCCGTCTGGCATCTCTGTTTTAACAGAAGCATGTGAGAAAGTAATGTAAATACGTGCGTTACTTACGAAGATTTCTTTCTATGTATGACACAGCTTGTTTCACCATTATTTATATCTTTTACTAGGTAAATTTAATTTGATCATTTCAGTTGAATAACAGTAAGAATAGAAAAAGCGATTAAAACTACAAACGTAACCAAACAACCGGTTTCCAAAGATATACAGTCGTATTTGAAATGAAAAAGTAAATGTGAATAAGAAATATATGGGATGTCGGAGAGCAGGAATCGTATTTTGATACTAGTTTCTTTGGGAATATACAATTTCAATTATAATTGATTGCGTGTCTCCAATTTCGATCCAATAACTCTAATGCTTCGAGTAAGATATAAGATGCGACTACATTTACGTGGA